ATATTAAGAATAATAATAATAATAATAATAATAATAATAATAATAATAATAATAATAATAATAATAATAATAATAATAATAATAATAATAATTTTTATATACATAATTATTATTGTAATAATAATAATAATCATAAAATTAACCTTATTAATAATAATTATCCTATTCCAATCATTAACGTACAGATCAACCTTTAACATATTAAGAATTAGATGATTAATATTTAAATAATTTAAAGAAATCTCCTTCAGCAACTACTTTAGCAACTAGAAGAACTGTATCTCCTTCACCAATCAGAAGATCAATAAAATAAAAAAAAATAAATGAAAAATTTTAACCTTTAATTGTAAAATTAAAAGGAGACAGTTTAGATTAATGTGATTTTAGTCAAGCAGAATTAGGAGATGAAGGATTACTATCTTTAATAACAATTATTAAGAAGACAAAAAATTTAAGAGTGTTAAAATTGGCAAAGAATAAGATATAAGATGGAGCAGCATAATAATTGTTAATTGAATTGATAGAGAAACAAAATGAGAATGATCAAGAAAACAACTAAATATCAACTATAAATTTATCAAGTAACATGCTAACTGATAAAATTATAGATACTATTCTTGATTTATGTAAAATGATATAATAATTATATTTTTATTAGGTAAAAAATACTCTAAAAATATGCAGCATTAATCTTTGAATTAGATATATTTAAATTAAAACATCATAAACTTATCAAGAGTAAAGAAAAAAGTAGATGAGATTAAGAAATATGGATTGATAATAGCCATTTGACTTAGTTTTAATTTGATAATCTATTATATTTATATATTATTTTTTTTAAAGAGTAATTTGAATTATTATTATCATTATCATCTTTTTTTAGTTTTTGTTTATTATTAAATTGTTGATCTAAGTTTTGTTATCTTAACTTTATCATCAACCTTTTATTCTTATAATTTTTTAATCTCTTCCATTTGAATATATTTATCCTATTCAAATTGTTGATATATTTCTCTTAATAAATTTTCAAATACAATAAACATTTTATTTTATTTCTTAATAAGTGATGTTTTTAACTATTAATTTTCTTATTTTAATTTTTGAATCCATTAAAGTACTATTTATTCAATTTACTAAGTTCTTGTTTTCCAATGTAATAATCCTTGTTTCATTACATGCAATCTTTTCTCATATATAGATTTGATTGATGGTGCATAACTAATAGTAAATTATTTATTTTAATAAGATTCTAATTAATTTTCTAAATTATCAATTTTTGTTTCCTATATTATTATAATTAATAAATACCAAAATCATTTTCTCATCTATTAAATCTTAATACATCTTGGATAAATTAGTTTATTAAGAAATTCTATTGACTTTCTTATCAATTTATTCAGTTAACAATTCTGAACTCAATGCTTAACACATGAATTACAATTCTTTGAATGCTTTTTCATAAAGCTTTTAAAATTCATTTTTAGCTTTAGTATGAATATTATTAATTTAATTCTAAAGTATTTCTTTATCAGATTATTCTTTGGATAATCGTTAAGTGAACAAATCTAACTCGCCTTTTGTCATATGCAAGTCTGATTCTAATGATAAGATATATTATTTGATATCTTAAGTTAAATCTGTTGCTTAAACAAATTCTTCATGTTGTTATTTTAAATCTTAGATACTTTGTTGTAATTGTGATTATTTCAAATTATATTCTTCTGTTAATGTTGTTAATTATTATCTTAAGAATCTTTCTTATTTTGATTTTAATTCTAATTCAATCTTTAAATAAACATTCTCTCTCTCAAGAAAACTAGCTTAATCTTAACCTTATGTAGGATCTAAAATAAATAATTAAATAATACAAATTTATTTTAGAGCTTCCAGTTTATTTTATAAGAAGCTAATTTATTAAGGTAGTATATCATCCTTTGTACCTGATTATGATATCTAATATTGTTATTCTTCTTTTGCACTTTAACCAGAATATTAATAATCATTATTATTATTATTATTATTCTTATGCTTAGAGCTTGTTATAAAATTGAGTTCTTGAACATCTTATAAATTATTTTTAGATTCTGTAGTTTTCTTTTCTCTTCCAAATGTATTATGCTCATTATTTCTACCTGATTATTCAGATTAGGGAGTTTTTAGGTTCTCTTGATCATAGATGTCTATTCCTAAGTTATTTCTAATCTTTGATAATTTCTAAGTTATTTATTCTATAAATTAGGAATCATCTGCATAAAGCATTTAATCATCAGCCTCAAATTAACTACTCATCTGTTAATATTATAAATATTATAATAAATTTTGTTTTTTTTGATATGTGCAATACATTATAATAGCTCATCCTGGACCAACAGAGGCTTAAGCACCACTTTTGTCTTCAAAGTACATGTAATCCATCATAAGTGTGACAGCAAGCAATAAGGCTTTATCTTCTTTTGAAGCTCCTTTAGGGAAAATCAAACTGAAATTGTCAGCATCTCCAATCATATTTTTACAACAGTCTTTTCCCTTCTTCATCAAATGAGCCACAACCTATTGATATATTTAAATTATACATCTCCATTTGGTACTTTAATCACAAATTCAACTTTATTACAAGAGTTACAAGGACAACTGCACCAAAAATAAGTTTGGCAGCAACTGGCTTCCACAATGTATCTGAGATTATCATGTATATCCAAAACATGACATCCAATATTACAGAAATACCAAGGATTAACAATTGTTCCTAATTTCTTATTTTCATCATTTTCCACATATAAAACTTCAAGACGAGGTCTATTTGATAACATAACACAAAATACCTATTAAAGCACAAGCAAGTGCATTAATATTCCCTTTTGAATTTGAACACAACTCGTTTATCATCTTTCATGAACTATTTAGCCAAGGCAGGTTAGAAATCTTTACAACCGTAATTACTGATCTTCATTTCAAAAGGTCTTGCATTACCTCTAATAAATGAATAAAATAAATAATTACGGAAGACAGAGTCTAGCACAGGTGGATGACTTCTCCTTGCATTTGAATAAAGCCTTCTACTTTTTCTTTTTTCCTTAATCATCTGCTGCATAGACCTTATATACATTTGGAGTTTCAAATCCTAAAAATAAGTCAAATCATACCTGTAAGAGCCTCAAACAGCTCGAATTTCTACTTAATAAAGATACCGTCTTGTTAACCCAAAATATCCAAACAACTACTGGATATAGCTTGGATTAGATTTTGTGCCTATTCATTCATCTAAACCAACACAGCCTATCCCATGTTTCCAATCTGATTGAAAGCAGCTTACATATTTGGAAGTCAAGTAAATGTTATGAATAAAAAGTTAATATTAATTTGTATACATAATTAACAGTTACATATAAATATTGTGAATTAACATCACCAATCTTTAGATATTTCAAAATAATAATCAAACTGCATATGGACAATACCATCCCCATCAGCAAATAATAATTTACCTTTATAATGACCTCTTGCTAGAAATCCTGATGGAGCAATCTAAGATTCCATATCATATATTTGTATATGTTTTTTAGGAGCAAAAGAACCAATAATTTCTTCATATGAATCAACTAAAAATATAAATCAAAAATAAACACCTTTTATTCCATGTCGTCTTATAGTGTTATATAGCTTTAATCCAATAACACAATCATTTTTTACTTTAAAATGCAATCGAATATGATATTCTTCACCTTCTTTTATTTTAAATGGTGTTTTTTCATTTTCTTTCATTCCGAATTATAAATCTAATGCAATTGATCTTTCAGGTTTATTTGGAAAGAGTACTTCCATCAAAAAGAACTCTACTTCAGGAGCTATAAAATCTAAGATGAGAATTTTTACCTTCATCTTTAAGTTCATCAATATTTTCCAAAATAGCCTTTTAATATTTAACTAAGGATTCATCTTATTAATTTTATGAACAAATCACAGCTAATGAAACTCTCTATTTATTAAAATTCAGATTGTCTAAATGAAAATCTTTGAGCTTATCTATTGCATTAAAAATATTACATCATTTTCTGATAATTTGTCTACTGTACAAGATTATTATCTTTATCTCACTTACGATTATGGTAATGGGTCATTCTATTTCATAGGGGGAATAAAAATTTATAAATCAAATAAATATTGAATATCAAAAGATTATACGATTTTATACTCCTTAGGATCCTTATTAGCCATTATCATCATCATCCTCATCATTTCTTGAATTAAAATTTTGCTAATTTTAAAACATTTATTATTATTGTTATTATTTCTATTGTTTAAAAATCAGATAGTTTTAATTGTCCTAATCAATAATATTCTTTAAGAATGTAGTTTTTATCTTAGCTACTTAATAAGGATAATCTGTTTTATAAAATAAAATGTAAGGAGTCTATTAAATATATAAATTCTATAAGGCTGTTTAAATGCTTGGATATCTGCATATTTATTCATCGTTTAATAAAGTATATCTAGATAAGGTGAAATAATGTCCATAGTTAATTTAAGCTCCTGAATGAACAATGACAGCCTACAAATATAGATTCTGTTAATTGATTTGTATTTTATTAGGAATATCAACCTTAGTCAATATTTTAGCATTTCCCGAATGTTTAAAATCAAATCTATTCAGTGTAATTATGAAATTCTTAGCTGTTTTTTTGATAGAGAAATGTCTTTTAGCATTAGTTTTTGAATTACAATTATCACATTAATATTAATTATCTCCATCCATTATTTCAGGTTTACAATTCTCTTCAATCAATTCTTCTAGTCTTATTGAATTTGCATTTGGAATTGAAAGACTTAAATCCAAGATGTCTTCCTGAGTCTTTACGACCTTATTGCAATTTAAACACTCTATTGTCCATTCTATTTAACCCTAAAATGAATCCTTTATCAAATTCTAAATAGTGTAAATATTATACTTCATAGATTTTTAACTTTTTTAAACTTGTCTCAATCTCATCTAATAGGATCTTTCCAAATTCATTAGCATCATGCTAATTATAATTATTCTTAAATTAATCTGGTAAGGTCATCCTAAATTGAATTGGATTGATGCTGTCTCTACTAGAAAAGGAAAGTAAAGCAAATAATTTTTATAATGACAACAATAAACCTATATTTGGCTTGTTTCCAACTTATTTAGTTTAAGTGTAATCTTTTAATTACACAACGATTCTGTTAATTTCAAAATCTAATACTTGTTGTCTAAAATCACTGCAAAGATGCAATGCTTAAATAAAACTATTCATATAGCAAGTATTTCCTAAATTCTCTAAACCTCGAAAATACATAATTTAATTATTACTATTAGGAATACTAATATTAATCTATTATAAACAAAAATCATGAATAATTTATATCAAAATTGTCACTGATCGGAATCTTCCAAAAGTTTTAAGATTGATACTCTCCTTCATCAACAGGAGGAAAATAAAGATGAATATTTTTATTCATCTCCACATATGTAGTGATTTCATCAGTATTATATTTATGGATATTACTTTCAGGGTCTATTATGAAAATTCGACTAATATCCACATTAACTGCTTAATATGCTGTAGAATCCTAATATATAAATATTAAAATACTGTTATTCTATTTCCAAATCCACAATAAAATGGACTTTCTCCAATAAACAAATTCCTAATTTCTTTTAATGCTGTGATTTTGAATAATTCTGGTGTTCTATCAATAACTTCTCTCTTAAATGCAGGAAACAAACTATCAGGACTTAAAATTACAGGTCCTTTAGGTAATTTAGTATTTTGCTATTGTAGATTTTAAATAAAATCTTTAGTTTGATCTGCTTAACCTATTGCTCTTGCTGTTAAATAGATAATATTATATCCCATAGATTGTATATTTTAATAAAGATTAGCTACTCCATCATGATTCCAATCAGTTCCTAATTTTGGCATTAATTAACCTAATATATCTGATTTAGTTATAGTTCCATCAATATCTGATATGACCAATTTAGTTTTTTAATCATACAAGTAGATAGTTCCATGTAATTCAACAATATCATTCTTTTTAGGTATACATAATCTGTATGTAATTTTATTAGCACCTTTTTATAATCCTAATTATTTTAAAATTGATGAATGAGGTTTAAGTATAGGTCTTTATGATTTTCTTCTTTTTTAGATTGAAGTTGTACTAAATGTATCAACAGAATCTTCACTCATTTTTCTAAGTCTATCTTAAGATTTAAATTATTGATGTTATTTTTAACTCTACTCATTATTATTTAATCTTTAACTATTAGTATTTTATTCAATTTAATCTGATCCTTTTTTCTTACCAAAGAGAACACTATACCATTATTATTATTATTATGTATTCTACTTCTTCTATTGATCCAAACTATCAATAATCATTTCTTGATTATAGACTTGTTTAGCTAATAATTATATTATTCCAGCCTCTCTACTAAAGAACTTATCTCCTATCTTAAAAACAAGATCTTTATGATTTATTATTTTAATTGAATCCTTTTCAAATATTGAAAAGGAAACCTTGTGTTATTCAAATAGTTGCAATTTTTACGTTTATGTTAAATTTTATTATTAAATTTAATATTAACCGCAAAGAGATAGTTCCATAACTGATTAACGTGGAGATAAGGTCTCTTTATCACTATAAGTAATATTGTCTTTCTCAAAATCATTTGTTTAGATATGTTTTTCTGATTATTGCTACTGGAATTATTTTTGTAATTATATTTATGATAATCCCTAATATTATAATAAAATGATTACTAAAGATGACGTATCTACTTATTAAAATTCTTTAAGGTTATTTGTTGTTTCAATCTTAACTCCATCATCTTTTTTTTAATTAGACCCTTTACCCCAAAATTTTAGAGTTTGAAGCCAATTACTATTTTTCTTATCACTATTGAATAAATCATCAGGGGTCTTATAATTATGGGATAATCTAAAGTTGGATGCTTCATCAAAGAGACTAAATTGTTTAGATTAACAATTATACGAATTCTTCTCAGAAAATGTATCATCAGATTAATAACCAGAAGAAAAGGAACTTTTTTCAAAATATGCCGAACCTTCCTTTCCCAATCTCATTTTCACATTTGTCAAATTTCCATTCACAATAATATCAACATAGTAATCTTAACCATCATATTTACCAAATCGAACGTGAAATGGATTAGATTTTAAGGATCCATTGTGTTATTAAACAACAATTATATCAATACATCCACTTAGATAATACTAAAAAAGATTAGATTTAGATGGATTACTTGTCTTGGATCAAATTTGGATATAATCTTTTAAGTTATAGAGGTCATTATTATTAATAATATATATTAATCATTTTTAATCTTTTTTCTTTTTTTATTTTAAGAATTCTTTTCTTAAAGCTGCATCATTTCTTTATAATTATTCTAATCTTTCCTTCTCTACTTATGCCTTATTCATATCACCAGCAATCATACAAATTCTATCAGTTCTTTTTGTATGATCTGATTCCAAGTTCGATTTCAATATTTACATTGCAAATGGTTTAATCACTCTGGCATCCCAATATCTAATCCCATCGAAGTCAGCAAAACCCATATAACTTCCAAATAATTTACTAAGAACTGTCTTTCCTTATTTAATTTCACCTTCAAAATAATCTGTTGGTTTGTTCTTCACTTTTCCCAATTAGACAATACAATTTAAATCTAAATATATAATATTTAATACTATTAGCTTCATCTATAAAAGAAAGAGCTCCTTAAGATTCATTCTTCATTGTTCCAAAGAATGTACCTGAGTAATGTTCAGATGAAAAAGTACAAATTATTTTTTGATCTGGAAATTAGATTGTTCTTTTTCCATGATTTAAAATAGTCAATGAATTTAAACCTGCTTTTGCTTCATAAAGAGAATAACCGAAAAATTTATATGATTTTTTGGGGCCATATACTAAAAAATAAGATAGAGGTGGATGATGAGATATCTAAATATAATGAATTAATTGTACTTATTCACAATAAAGTTATGTACCATCTTCATAACCACCTTCAAAAGTTTCACCTAAAATTGGGTTGAGAGGTTTAAGAAATGAATTCGCTTAAATGTAATTAGAAATGAGAGCTACAATACTTAATTTCATTCTTTCTAATGGTTTTTATAGAGAAGCAGCCTTATTCATATACAAAGGAAAGAGAATTGTTTACATAAATGTTTTTTCTAAGGCTGATTTAGGTATCATAGCTTTAATCTAAAATATTAAAAGAAATCAAAATTACAGGAAAGGAAACTGTTGTTAAATTGAAATTTCCACTAAGTAATTTCTGACCTACTTATTTAATCATATTTTTTCCTACACTTCTTGCTAAATCAATTATCTTTTCATCTTAACAAGCTGTTCCTCCTTTTTTATGAGCCGAAGGAATTCTATATTCATCTTTATAATCAACTTTCTTAAAATTTAAAGCATAATTCATAATTGCATTAAAATCTCTATGATTACAATGTTCTCCTTCATCAAACACTATTGAAACCTTAACAAGATCTATTTCATCTGAATCTTCTTCTTAATTCTATTCAGTTTTACTAGGTTGATGCTAAAGTTATTATAAATCATTTTTAATTATTATTTATTATTATTCCTCTACTTATTTCTTATTACTTAATTAATTTTCAGATGCTTCTTATTTATTATTATTATTAAGATTATTATTACTATGTCCATTCTCATTAACATCACTGTTTTCATTTATATCATCTTCTCTTTATTTTTATTCATTCAATTCATTAGCATAATTTGCTGCAGATTCAAATCCACTTCCTTAAAAATCACTTACAAACTAAACTTTTGGACTAGTATCACTGGCACCATTAATTTATCTTCTCATATGAACTAAACAAAATTATTATCTAATGTATTACCTTTAATACTCTTAGCTACTTGTACACCTGAACCTTGTCCTCCACTTTCATCACTAATATCATCAAATTTAAATGAATTTTATTTTTGAACACTTCCTTTATTGGGAGATGATAAATTATTAATCATAAAGACTTGTGTTTATTATTTACTTACAATAATGAATTCTTTAGTCTCATCATATTAATTATTCGAACTTTTGAAATTCTTTTTATAAAATTCAAGAGCATTATTTGAAAGTAATTTGTCTCCATCTAAATCATTTTAATCATCAACATATTATGCTGAAAACATACTACCTTATATTAATGCATAATCAGCTACATTCAATTTTGATGTATGAATATATATTTTTACATTATCATTTTTAGCTATTTCAATGTAATCATTTTAATTGAATTCTGCTATATCAGTTTTTAATTTTAATAACTGTCCTTTACCTGATGGGATCACCTTCTTTTTTGAGAATTTAACCAATTTGAATATAGCTTAATGTAGAATTTTAGGATTTCTAAGTTAAATATGAATTATTTACTAAAAATTATCAAATAAAATTATGTCTATAGTTTGAGTTGATGGATTAAATATGATACCCAAGATTTCATGTTATTTATAAAATGATCCTATAATACCTCCCAGTAATTCAATATTGCTTATTAATAAATTAAATCCATTATCATTTTTTAACAAATAATTATTATTGTTGTTTATTGACCAATCATTTAAAGAGACCACAACACCTGTAGTCAACTTAAATTCATTTCCATCTATTTTTACAAGTCCAATTCCCAAAAGAGCATAAAATGCTTTTACGTTTTGCATTTTTGAAGAAAAACAAATCTGTAAATATCCTAAAATCTTATCATAATTTTCATTTTCATCAATCATCAACTTAAATACTCGTCCTTTTGCTGTTCTCACATAAATCACTGACTTTAATTATAAGCTTTTATATTACTTTCTAATCATTTGCTTGCTAATAATTTTTTTTCTTTCTTAAAGATTATTCACATTTTTAGATATCAACTTCATCTCTAACAAAGTCTCCTTTATTCAAAGAATAATAATTATTATAACTATTAGATTATTAAGTTTTGTAACACAATAACCTACCCTTTCTTAAATCAAAAGAAAAGAAGTAATTGTAAAGAGTTCCCCATTTTAAATACGACACTGCACCTAATTTTCTATCGATTTTTATCGCCTTTCATTACTACATAAATCTTATACTTAAGACTTTGGGAAAGGAGCCTACTTTATATCCTCATCGTCCTCTAACTCATAAATAACACGGTTATTTTATTGCATTTATTATTAATATTTATAAACGAGGTAATAATTTATATCTCATCAAGTACATTCTTTCATAATTTAATTTAATTCATCATCAACCTAACACTTTTAAGTTGGTGTTACTTTATATTAATAACTATTCTATATTTACTTTATTTTAATAACTATTCTATATTTACTTTACATTCAAGATGATCAATTTTAACAATTAATTATATATAAATATGCCATATAAATGAATACATTTAATATATTGAGATATTATTATAAGTAATAGAAAATTACAATATCTTTTTTTATAGAAATAATAAATTTATTATAAATTACATAAACTCAAATTGATTAATGAAGTAATTATTATATTTGTTTCCAAATCATTAAAAATCGTATTGTTTATTAGAAATTATCTATTAAAATATTTCAAATTATATTCCACTATTATTATTAAATATTGGTTTAAAGTATTGTTTAGAAATAACAGATATCTTCTACTATCCATCCAATTTAATAGACTTCTCTTTTGCCCATTGAAAATCTAAAATCATATTTGTTGAATGATCCTGCTCATTCTATAGTGATAATTACTACTATTGCTTTATTTCTTTCTCGATGTGTTGTTTCAATTGTTATCTTGCTTTTTTTAATTGCTCATTATTATTATTTTAATGTTGTTTTTTGCCTGCACTTGTAGTATTTTAATTATATTTTTTATCATCTTCTTAATAATTCCTCTCCTAAAGCATTTTTATAAGTTGGAATCCTGTAATTTTATGACATAATTAATTTTTATTATTAATAATAATAACATTTTCTTTTTAGTTGAGATTGTAGAAGATTTCCAAATATTATGAAAAACGCATATCATTAATTTGAGATGATATTGGAAACCAAAATTGAATGTTCTTTTGATAAATTCTTTTTTCAATTTTCTTCTTATTTATTAACTATTCAAAATTATCATTATCGAATTCCGAATTGCTTAAAATGATTAATTTAATATCCATTTACAAAGGAAGAGAAATAATTTAATCAAGTTAACTCATTCTTTGAGGATCCTAGTAATCCATTAAAAATATAATTAAATATTAATTCTTAATAATAGAGATTATTACATACCTCTTATGAGACAACTATTTTATCTAATTTCTCTTGATATTGTGAGGTTTCATCAACTGAAGTTGAATTAATAAATGATATCTAATAAACATCACAAATAGGAGAGTATTCCTCATTTACACTCCATTTATCAATCATTATTTAATTTATGATTTTATTTAATATTTCTAAATCAGATTTTCTGTTTAAACATTTTAATAATTAATGAGCCTAAAAGAAGATCTATTGTTTTTTTGGTTGAGCAAGATTTGTGATTTTGTAATTATCATAAAATTTGATCATTTTCCATTTGTACTTATAATTTTAGTAATTTTAATTTTGGATATTGAATTAACTATTAATTATTTCATCTCCAAGACTCCATTGTATATGTAAGATGGAATTTATTATAATTTACACTTGACTAACATCTTAATCCTTAAAGATTAATTACAAGATTTAATAGATTCTGACTTTACTAGGTAATTGAAATTTGGATGATTATTTAATGATCAAAGTATCATGTGAAGCTTTTTTAATGATTGTTAATATTTCTTAAGTTTTACTATCAATTTCATTAACATTCTGCAATTTTAATTGGGAAGGCATATAAATTTTTTATTGTAATTTCAAATCCTTATAAATCTTCTAAGTTGACAATTTCAATTTGAAATATTGAGAGAATTATGAAGATTTTAATTAAAGTGCTTAAATAAGTTCTTTGATCATGATCTGTTTAATAGACTTGTATATATATTAATCAATGTGTTTTTTATCTTAAAGTGACTTTTATGATTGAAATTAGAGGTCTTTAATATTAAATTCATTGATAGATATGATTTTATGATTTTAAATTGTAATTATGGAAGTATTATTTGAAATGTGAGTTTGTGTTGAATTCAAAAAATTGAAAATAAGAGTTCCATCTTCCCAAAATTATTCTTAATCTTCTTAATTTAAAAATTAAGTAAGTATTCTGGAATGAGAATCAGAGTTTTAATTTTTCTTTTATTTTTTTATGACTTTTGTATAAAGATTTATAATAGTATTGTATCTATCTTCTTTGTCATCAACACCAATGATTACAGAGCAACTAAAGATTATAAAGATAATACCTTTAAAATGAATTAGTTTCAATGAATAAATTAATGTTTTAATTATCATTGTCATCTTAACGAAAGACAAGCAAAAAGTTTTGATTTAGTTCTCTAATAAATTGCAATAGAGTATAACCAATGTCTATATGATTGATGACAATTATAATAATGTTTGGATCAATTTGAATTTTAGAGATCTGATTATTATAAAATCTTAAATTTAATTATTTTGGAAATAGATCTCCAATTCTAAGAAGTGCTTAATATTTAAGTCCAACTTTATTTATTAATGTATTTAATTTGTAATCTTGAAATCTAATTAAGAATTCTGATGTTTTTATATAAATTTCTCTTAATTAATTAGTTAAGACTGGGACCAAATAGATATTGTTATTGAATGGTGAGTGGATGTCTTATTAAATAGATGTTTGTAATTCCTTAAGATATGGTCTATAGATAGATAATAATAAATTGATACATGAATTTGATTTCTATAGTTTTTGAAATGTCAATTTAACTTTCTTGAAATCCTAGGAGTGTTAATTGTTCAATTAAAAATGCTTCAAAATTTGATTTGTTAGATTAATAGAATGGTTCAATAGGTCCTGATATATATCCAGAAGCATTCATACATCCCATTAGTATTATATATTATAAATTATAAATTAATACTTATGTGACTTAATTTAAATATTATCTTTAAAAAAAATGAGTGGAAGCATGTATGATTTATCAGTAGCCACATATTCTTAGGAGGGACGTATCTATTAGGTAGAATATGCAACAAAAGCAGTTGAGAATTCAGAGTAATTTGAATAAATCTAATTAGGACTGTGATTGGAGTGAGATGTAAAGATGGAGTCATTTTGGGAGCAGAGAAATAAAAATTTTCTAGATTATTGGAAGACAATACAAATAAGAGAATTTATAATATCGATCTCTAAACTGGAATGGCTTTATGTGGAAAATTGCCAGATGGAAGAAACATTTTATAAAGAGCAAAAGCTGAGTCATCTTAATATTAAGATATGTATGCTATTCCAGCATCTGCCCATGTATTATCAGATAGAGTAGCATAATATGTTCATGCCTACACAATGTATTCTGGAGTAAGACCTTTTGGATCTGCAAGTATTAATATTCATCTAATTATTTCAGCATTTATTGCAAGTTACAATACTTTTGATGGTTATGAATTGTACATGATTGAACCATCAGGAAACAAATATGCTTATCATGCATGTACTCATGGAAAAGGTAGAGCTGTTTGTAAATCAGAATTTGAAAGAAGAAATTTCAAAGATCTTACATGTTAAGAAGCTTTAGTCTATATTGCTAAAATGTAATAAATATATATTAATATTATTAAGGTTAATTTTAGCACATGAAGAATTCAAAGAGAAGAAATATGAATATGAAATGACTTGGATTACTGATAACAATGGACGTAAACATCAAAGTGTCCCTCAAGATTTGATTAATAATGCTGTATAATAAGCTGAATAATTAATTGAACAAGATTAAATTGGAGAATGATCATATATATCTACATAAAGACAGCCATAAATTAGTATTCATAGTTTAATAGATTCTCTTCCACTTTATAAATTATTAGATTCATCAAATCCAGAATCATTCTTTTCTACAAAGTATCCATTTGTCTATCTATTTATTGACTTAAATTCTATCAATTTATTATGAATGAAATTAAATGTATCTGGATATTAAGATTCTAATAATTATTTGGTCTCCTCTGATACTTGAACTCTTCCTCTTTCTCCATTAGATTCCATCTTATTTGAAATCATTACATCTGCACCATATACATCATACCTTACTATCTCAGTCCCTAAAATACCAGCTATCACTCTACCCTAATCATTTATTCAATATACTTACAGTATGTATTCCTATTCTCATATCTAATCCATCAAATCCTATTATCTATCTAACGTTTCTTATTATTTCAATCATACCAAATCCCAATTCAACAACATTTCTAGCTTCCTATGCAGGATTCCTTTGTCTTATATCTATAATTCCTAAAGCTACATAACAATCTCCTATTGTATATAATTTATATGTATTCTAGGTTAAACATTATTTATCAAATTCAGTAAAGAGATTTCTAAGCATATTTACTACTTATTCTGGTTCTACTTTACTTGAATATTCAGTAAATCCAGCTATATCTGCAAATAATAATGTAGCATCTTCCAATTATTCAACCAGAAAGGCTCTTTGATTATTCGATAAGAATTATTTTAATATATGATTAGGCAATAAATATTTAACTAAATTTTCAGATTAACTTTTCTTTATTCCTAAAGATCTCTTATTATTAAAAGTATTCAAATCTTAATAAAACATATTATAATGTACAGAAAACATTAAGATACCCTAAAATATAGTATAATAAGCTATTGGCCAACTATGAAATTTTATTAATACAATCATAATCTATGCAAAGCAAAAAACTAATAGAAACATTAATTTATATGTAATTTCAATTATCTATAATGAACAAAAAAAGCAAAGTAATAAAATACCTTCAGATGCCTATAATTCTATTAATTCTTCACTCTTTAACAAGATAAATTCAAATAAAATACTTAACAATAATATTATATAAGTGCCCAAAAAGTAATTACTCTTATAAAATCTATGTTTCAATTTCTTATTTTAAGACAAAGCTAACATTAATAGTATCAATGCAGCCACTAATCTTATTACAATTATCAAATTAGCAATAGCTATGATATCATATTACCATATTATAAACAATGTAAAAGTCTTAGCCAAATATTATAAAAAATGCAAATAAATTGTTATTAATACTATATTTCTACCTTCAGCTACCTATTCTGTAAATTCCATAGCTAATTAATATTAATGATCTTTAAATCCTAAATATAATTTCTTTCTTTCCAATTACAAACATTCACTTATAACATTACTATTATCATCTTCTAAATAACCTTTAATCTTATCAATTTCTATATCATAATCAGGAAAATCATCAATTAAATCTATCTATAATTCTCTTCTTAATTTTTAAGAAATATCAGAGAGTAAATTTGATTTTTCTAAATATGATTATTGTAACTCTTTATCTTAACAACTATTATCTTACTCAAGATCATATTATATGTTTTGATTACTATTAATTTTTATTTATCCTACAGTTTAGGCTGGTTAAGGTAACCCTCTCATTAACAAAGTCTACCTTTAATTAGTCTTCCTTCTAAATTACTTCACTTGTTCCTATGGTCTATTTGAATCTTATGAAGATTCTTATTAAACAGGTATCGATTACTTTGATGAGAATTATTGTAGAATATCTTATTATTGGTTATAAAGAGATACATCATCTTATTTGTTGATAATAATACTATTTTATCTCTTCTATGAATTCTAAGCAAAAGAAGATGTTTATTTTGTTTGATTTTAATATCCTTAAGGTTACTATATTTGTAAAGATGATTAAGGAGAAAAAACCATTTAATTAGATTCTTCATTCTTTAATATGACACCTCTCTTTTTAATACCTTTTTTATCATTATTTCTCTTTATATCTTTGCTTACTTAATAAGTGATTAATTCTCCTTTTCCTTTAGCAGCCACCTTTCTTTAAGTAAATTATAAATCAGGCATATTGATTTCTTAATAAGCTTCATTAGATAATGTGACTTGTCCATCCTATCCAGTTGAACACACTCGACTAGTTGTGTTTACTGTATCTCCTATTAATGAAAATTAAGGTTTGTGATGACCAATGACTCCAGCTATTACTCTACCATAATGAATCCCAATTTTTATTGTTAAATAACCAATTTACCCATACTTCACTTTCTTTGTATGTTCCATCATTTCCAATGACAATTACACTGCCTAACAGATATTAATTATAATATTACTCTTTTCACACAATTCTAATTGTTAAATTTAGTTCCTTAATCTACAGCTTTTAATCCACCAGCAGCCATATAAGTTTTACCTACAGTCTCAATCTTCTACATTCCATTTTAAGTACATAATTAATCAAAAGATCTGAATAGTCCATCCAATATCTTAACGACATTCTCCTTCTCTATTGATATCAAATCATCAAATCCACATATATCACAAAATACTATAGATACATTTCCTTAATTCTCAGCTATTTCAAACATTCCCTCTAATATATTATATCATTTTTACTTGCATTTATTCTGTCCCTTATGAATTTTGGCAATAAAATAGACAATACATTAGTCATATTAGAAGTCTCCTAATTTAATGTTACATCTAACATAAAATCTTCCCTTTCTAATCTTATCAATTTATATTGTAATGTCATAAACAGTATACTTGTAGCTATAGCTATTATTTCACCATTGATCACCACAAAATATGTAACTTAAACTATTGAATAATCAATAATAGAAAATTTTTTAAGAAATCCTACCATGGATATAAGTACTAATATAAAATTAACAATAGGTAAATGAACTCTAGATTAAAGTATTATCACTATATAATTTTAAGTAATCAATATTTCATAGATTCCTTGTATTTCAGTTGTTCCAATATCGCAAATAAATTTGATCAGACATCTAATACTAACTATTGCTAAATTTATAAAGAAAAAATGTTTTGGATATATGTTAGAACACACTAAAGACAACAAAGCAAATTCTAGTGCTATACCTAAAATATATGTCATGAAGTATAATGTAGTTTGAAATGAATTCAAATTATATACTACATACAATATTATAGCAATTATTTCTAAAAAGAAAAGAGTAAATATAGATTTATATTTTTCTAATTTTAACCATAAAATTTTAGATAATCTTTTGAATTTCATTTCAGTATCTTTATTCATAAACTTTAATGTAAGTGGATTCACTTTATCTTAATTTACCTTTAAATTAGATCCTGATACCATCTCCTAAATAGATATATCTAAATCATCATTATTCCTTTTAAATATTTTACCAGCTATAACTGCTATTCTTTTAATAAGATTGTGATATTTCTTCTTACTAATATTATTTTTACCATTTATTTTTGATTAAATCTAAGATATCTCTTCATAGCTTTATTCACTTTTTATTAAACTTTAACAAAACAATGGCTAAATCACTTCAATACATGTACTAAGACATAATTAAGCAAATATATAGAAAAAGAAAACAAACCATGAATTTGGATCAATAAATAATTCTTCAAAAGTTTCTATGTTTTCATCAAATGAATATTTAACAGATAATAATGACATTGTAAGCCAACAAACAATATATGTAAATAATAAAATTATCCATGCAACCATTTTTTAAACTGTAGAAACACATAATTTTACAATATCACTTCCAATTAATAAAAGTAGTAACATCTATCTGATGATACCTATTTAAGTATTATTATAATATAAGATATAGTATGATAACCATAATAAAACTGCATCAAGTAAGGCATTACCATTTATTTTAAATACAAATGATATAACTTTTTTCTTTTTAAAAGTTTTTATATTGATTTTGAATTGTTCTTGATACATTTTAGAATCAGCATGATAATTTTCATTGAGTTTTGATATTAAACTTGCTATTTGTTATAGAATTAACATTAAACTCTAATAAACTGTTAACCAACCACCTTCAATCAATTAATAATTTTATGCACAATTTGTTGAATACATTAGAAATAAAGAATACAAAATTAATAATGATCTATAAAATGAGAATACTAGTAAATCGTCATAAACTTCAGCAAATATTCTACTCTCAAAGAACATCAATCCACAGAAATCTTCAAAATTATTTATACATATATCTGAAGTAGGCATTTTTTAAACATCCTTAATAGTATTAATTTTTTTTAGTGGATTTTCCATTATCTTGTTCATTGATAATCTTTAATTTATTTTCAATTTGGTACTCATTTTTTATATTTAATAGTTAATTGGAATGTGAAATAATTGAATCCCCATATTGGCTTTTCTAAACATTTAAATATCATTAAATGAATCTCCAATTGCCAAGACTTTTTTATTACCTTAAAATTAAGTTTAGATTATTTTAATAATCTCTGCTTTCTCTTTTGCATTAAATTTATATGCTATCAATGAATTACAAAAATATAAAAGAAATATTAAATGAGTAAATAATACATTATCTTCAGATATGATTTTAAATTATTCTCCACTTAATATTATTGAAAATGCTTTAATCTCTGGATACATTTAAGATTACATTTACTAACTTTTACCCAATTTATTTTAACTATCCTAATTTTAATTCTGTTCAACACTTTTGGATGGATACTTATCACTCAAAGTATTTAGTCTAAGGGCTTTTGATTATTACATAGTGTTAATATTCGTATTAATATTATTAGAATCATTAGATTATAATTATTATGCCATTTAAGCCAATTAATTTTTAATTACTAATTTAGCATTATCTGAATCTATATATAGTAATTAATCTGTTGTTGATAATAATTTAGATTTATATGCAACAGGTAAAACTCTATTCAAATCATCACCTGATAATAAAAATAAACTTAAATCTGCTTATCTCATTTATTAAATTAAAATCTTAGCATCTGGTCTTATTTTCTCTTTAATACCTAAAACATGCATAATTTACATATCTTTCTCTATGTCATGAAATAATTAGATTAGATCATTTTAAGATTAAGAAAACTTGATTCCTGAATATCTATCAAGAAAATTGGCTTTTTCATTTTCTCTTAAATAAATTTTAGAGTATACTACTGTTCTCATACCAGCCATATGTAATTTTAAAAATATGCGATCCCAATATTCACGACTACTTTTATCAATGTCTACATATGATGGAATTTAATTGAACTCTTCTCTTACAATGAGAACTGAATTGATGAGTTCATCTTCTTAATCATTATCAGAAGAAAATTTAAATTATTCAGCCAATTTATCTGGATATTATATTAATACTCCTAATCGAGGATGTAAATTGGAATATTAATTAATTGCCAGAATTTAGAATTCATGAATCTCTTTTAAGATTTCAATAATGTAAGTAATTTTTCCACTTTATTCATTTGTACAAATAAATTTGATATCAAAAAAATTAGCAAATCTAATTAATTCTTAATCAAATAAATGAGATGTTGAATCATGAATGAATTAATCATCTGATTATGTAAATTTTGATATTACTTCTTAACATAATAATAAAGATAGTACTGCTTCTTAATAAAACATTTAAGATTATCCACATACTAACTTTTAATAAAATTCTTAATCTTTATAAAAAGCTATTTCAATTTATTCTTCATCAAACTAAAAAAATTAAGTTTAATATTTATTATTTTTCTAAACAAAAGATGATTACTTTTTTAATTAACGAGAATCTTCTTTCTTTGTTAATTCACTATCACTTCTTTGTTTTTTTTATTTTTCACTATTCATTGATAATTTCTCTTCTAACGGTACTAATTGAATTTCTTCAAATGGACTTTAACCTGGAGACTATTAAATTGAGAGTGATTAATTAATAATAATTGATCTATTAAAAAATGGTTTAGGTTTATTCCCCTTCAATTCAGGTGTAATTTTACAATGAGTATCATCTAAATCTTCAGGTTTTAAATTTTCTACAATATTATGTCCAATTAATTCTGAAATATTACCATCAGAATTTTTAAAATTTGCACTATCCAATTCAGATTTACTCAATATTCCAGATTATTATAATGGTTAAAATGTTGATAATTTATTATTAAAGTTATTTTATGCATCTTCATCTTTTAATAATGTTTGATGTAAAAATGTAGATCTTTATTTCATATTCTACGATTTACTTATTGATTTTGTTAGTTATATTGTATTTTTACAACTACTATTTCTTATCTTTTATAATTAATCAATAGCAATTTATTCATCAGAGTATTCTTCTTGTTCAGGAATTCTAAAATTTGGATTTTATTTCAACTATTATGTTAAATTATCTTTATACAACTACCATCCATTTTGTATCTTTTTTTAACTGAATTTGTACATCATATCTTCTATTATTATTGATCTAACTCTAAAATCTCCAGATGTTAATGTTCCAGTCTTATCAAAACACACATATTCAGTCATGACTAAATCACCTATAGAAACAGAATTCAATTATTAATAATTGATCGTTTATTATTATTAATTTTCATTATTTAATCCTCCAATGTTAGTACCAACTTTGATTCTCATATCAAATTAACTATTTTATTATGATCTCCTATATTTAAAATGAGCATATCCCATTTCAATTAAATCTATACAATTATAAAAGTATATTGGGGTTGTCTTTAAATACTGAATCATATAAAAAACCAATGTAATGCTATCAAACATGGCTCCTTCATATTCACTTCTACACATTTAAAACGAAGCAATTAACCAACTAATAAATGTTATTATTATGCTTATGGTCAAAGTCAGTGCAAAAAACATTCTAGATTTTTAAACAAAAAATGATTTCTTCTCTGCCATTTTCAAATTATCATAACACAAACATTTCTATCCTGCAAATAATACCAACCCAATTAAGTACTAACATGTTTTCAATTGTTCTTCTCTCCTTACTACATTTTATCTATTGAAATTTTCTCCCTTAGGGTCCTTTTTTAATTTGATATAACCAAAAATATTCTCATTTGAGTCTTTATCAAATTAAATTTGACCTGTCAATATCTTTTTATAATCAAATCCCTAGGCTTTGTATTTACCATTTTTTAACATTGTTAATTATGTTGGTTACCTTCCATCTTCTTATGTCTAACCATCTAATTATTATGTAGAAATTCCAACAATATCATCTGACACATCAATAATTAATAAATCTGCAGGACAAACTTCATTTCTTTTTAAATAAACTATATCACCTACTTCTAATTGTTACCATTGAACATTTTCATATAGTTATAATTTTTCTTTTTTTCTCCCAGACTAAACTGAATGAGGTTTTTTTTATATCTCAACTTTTGATATTACACCTTATGGTTCTTTGGATATAAGTTAATTTTCATTTTGTTATACAATTATTTAAGACTTATTACCTTAATTTATTTCTTTCCTTAATCTTCTGTATCTTGTGACTTCTCGATTATTGATTTTCTTATCATATTCCATTTTTCGATAATCAAAATAAAATGCTTTTGTGATCTATAAAACATAGTGCATTGACAATGGTAAAATGTAAACAACTAAATCCTCTTAACTTTGAATATGTAATTATTAATACTTAATTTAAAGAGTGCAAAAATGAACAATCATCACTACATAATAGATTAGAACCCCTATTCTTTCAAATTACTTTAAAAATAGATAAAAAAGTAAATTCTTTAAATCAAAATACCCTGTATTGATTTTATTAATTAATTCGCTCTATTTCATTCCTTTTATATTCACAACCTCTCCACAATCAATTTCTATCTATTCCTCTCAAATTCAAATAAATACTTAATAATGAAATCTCTTCTGGTTTTGCCGAGTTTTAGCATTATCATATTTATGTTTCAATTACTCATATATTAATTTTCCTAATGTTTTCATTATACTTTTATTAAATAATTAAGAATATCATTTTTATTCAATTTTATTAATTTGAATTTCCAAAGTACTCAAGTTTATTCCTCTTTTAGTCTCTAGCATACTGAAAAATTAATCAAATGGAGATATCTTAAACTTATTTGATTATAGTTATATTTACAATTCTTTAATTTTAATCTGATTACTATTTTTATTAATTAGACTGAAAATAATTAATATGAGACTTAGAAATTTAATACTTGTATAAAAACTAATAAAACATTAAAAAAAAATGTAAATTAATGTATTAATTCATGTTATTATAATAATATATAAAACAAGCAATCATTAAATATTTTACTATGAAGCAAATAAAATAAGTGAATTAATAGATTATATTTTATAATTGATACTTTGAAACTTTAGTAATTGTTACAAAATTGAAAATATAAAGATATATTATTATAAATATTCTCAAAAAATCTCTAATTTCATTATTACGATAAAAATGGAAATTAGATCAAACTAAATTGAAATAAACTCAAAAAGTTTATGAATCGAAGATAAATAAAAATTATAAGAATATATTTCCAAATTTTAAATAAACCTTCTAATTATAATTATATTAATAAACCTTAATAAATGTAAAAATATCATATGCCTTAAAAATATTCTCATTGAAAAACTAATTATTTATAAATGATATTTTTATTCTTACAAAATTGATTTTATTTATAGTTACCAATTCTCTTTAATTCTATTATTATTATAACACTTAATATGTTTATAATTGAATTCATCATATAAAATTCTATTTATAATAATAATATCAAGTTTCTTGATATAATGATTTTGTTATTTCAAATTTCTTGATTTCAACAATTCATATAATGATTTAACATAATTAATAACTAAAATAAAATTATTATTAGTAGACTATCTTTTAAATTAAGAGGAATGTTAAAATTGAAATTTTTAATTCAAATTGTACATATAGAGATGACTCAATAGATGTTTCTAGAATAATAATTCGAATTATAAATCAATTATATTTCATAATTGCCAATTTTCTAATTTTGTAAATTATAAATAACAGTTTTGAATTATTTATTGATCATAAGATATTTAAAATCTATTTGATATTCCCTTTATTACAGGTTTTATAATCTGAAATTAAACATATAAATAAATCAAACCATATTTATGTTTAATCTACAAATTGTCTATAATTCAATTTTATTTTTATTTAGCAATAAATTTAACAAAATTTAATAACTATTTGCATTCAACTTGAATTCTATCAATCTCTATTTTATAAATTAATTTAATACAAAAATAACTAATATACTTTTGTATTTTTTGATTATGAGCTATAATTTTTATTTAATATGAAGTTTTCATTTTTGAAACATAATTTAGCTGAGCTTATTGGTAAAGCAGAATAATTAGATTCACCAAGCTCAATTATAAAGAAATTCGGTCCATTCCTTTTAACTAGTTTGTTTAATCAAAAGCTATAAGAAAGTCAAGAAGTCATAAATTATATGGAGAAATATATTGATAAAAGTAATTTCATTCGAAACATTACACAGGATCATCATGCTAAAAATTGGAGAACTAATTATAGAAAATCAGTTGAAAGTTTAGCTTGTTCAATCATAGTTGATAATTAAAATATTATTGATAAGCATTACACTAATACATTAAAAGAAGATTAAATTACTTTACCAGAAGCTTTACCTTTAGTATATACTTTGGTTATTTAAAAAATAAAGAAGTGGAATATTATGTATGAATAGGAAGTTTTGTAAAGATTAAACAATTTACTCAATACATAAAAATAGGAACAATAGAAAATGAATCTAAACATTCTATATTAAAAATATTTCCTATCTGATCTTGGATTATATTATCCAGAGTTATTAGTTTATTCATAAGGTAAGATCTTTTGTACTGAATTACCCTTGGATTATTTTATTGGGGAATTGAAAGTAGAGTATAAAGATTTCTTTATTGAAGATAACAATTTAGTTGATTTATAGATAGGTGATTAAGTTTATGTATTTATGTACCCAGATGAATTTGAGTATTAAACTATCAAATCTTTTATGTTAAAATATGTGAGAATCAAGAGATTGCAAGAGTTGTATTCTAATGTTCATGTTGTTTGGTGTTATAAAGGAATGAAAAAAAAAGAGTTACTTGATGCTATTAGTATCTGAGAGCTTGTTTTATCATATATATTAATAATCAAGAAAAAAAAACATATATCAAAATAATGAATTATAGTAAATTGGTTTTGAGTTTGTTTTCTTCAATTAAAATAATAGTATCATATTTTATGTATATATATATATTAGAATAAATGTTTATATTAAAAAAATATACATTTATAAATTAATATTATTTATTTTATAATTTATTAAAGGAAAGAAAAGATGAAGAAATTGATTGCAGCTTCACTATCATTTGTATCCATTTTGACTATGGGAATGGTATTCAAATCACCTTACTGAGCATTATTTATTGAAATAAATTATGATTATTATTAAAAATATATAACACAATCATTATCATAAACTATTTATAAACAATAAATAAAACAGAATTCTTATTATTTATTAACATCAAATATATGTATCTATTTGATTATGTATAACCACATTTAATTTTTAAATAAATAATATTTTATAATTTTGAGATTAATTTTATGAAAATTTGTTATGATATATGTATGAATATGAATAGATAAAATAATTCAAACAAAATGTATATCTTATTCTTAAACTCCTAAACCATTTAATATAGTTGGAATAGTCTAATTCATTTATGGAGGTCCACAAATATAAAATTTATCATATTATGATACAAAGCCAATATGTTTTTAAAAGAATACTTTATTAAATCTTTCATTCACACAACATACATTTTCTGTCCACTCTTTTAATTTGAGTATCATTTTAAAACATTATTGGGATAATTATTTTTAAAAGTGTAATAATGGAAAATAGATATTGGAACCTATCAATTCTGATTTATTGGCTGCTGCAAATATAAGTGTAATATGTAAATTAGTATGGAATTAACATTCAAATGGATTTAATATATCAGCAATTTATTTACCATATTTTTTCTCTACAATTTAGTAAATGATTGATTATAAAAGAAAATCCAATAAGTCTAGAAATGGTAAAATTCCTGTTCCTCCACATATAATAACAATTTTGCCTTTATTTGGTAAAGATAATGATGGTCCATAAGGTCCCATTATTTCATATTATTCATATTGATTTTAATGAATATATTGAGAGAATCCATTCTTTGAATCATACTTCTTTATTATTAAAGGAAGTTCATTTAAATATTTTGGTTATAAATGAAAATGATCAACCCATTCTTTATTTTGTAATTGTGTGTCAATCAAATTTAATAAATACTTTCTATATTAAACATTTTCTGGGGCCATACTCAAAATACAAGTGTATTATCTAATTGGTACTTAAGAGTTGGAATGAACTTTCAATTAATAATACCTTCCAAATTAGTTATAATTTGTTAATTATGATGAAATTTTTCTAAATTCATTATTAAAACCAAAATAACTAACTTTATCTGATATTTAATTAATTGTAATTAATTTCCACAAATTTGTATTATATTATAAAATGCTGTTATTTTAAATAATAAAATTGATATTATTGATTCTACCAATTGTATTCTATTTAATCATTTAAATTGCTTTATCTGAATGTTTAAATGGTGGACAACTACCATCTTCTAATCCTTAACCTCCATAAATAAATCTTGATATTTCTCTTCCTTTTGTTTTTTCCCAAATATATTATCCACCTGGATGAACAAATCCTGTTAGATTTATGATCTCATTATTAAATATAAACCACATTTAATCTTTATATTCTCTTTAAATGCTTTAAAAATCTAAAAAATATAAATTTAATTATATTACCATTTTATAATACATGTTATACAAATAAAGCATCTTGAATAGTTTTAGGTTAACATTACTATTCTTCTTTACTTTTAAAAATGATGGAAAACAGAGTTCCATTTTAATAAAAGAATTCTAGAAAAACTCTCCAAAAGAATATCAAAACATAAGTAATCCAAAATCCAATCAAATTCCATCTTCCATCTTCAACATAATAATTATAAACTTCATAGAATCCAAGTCCACATTCAACTTTACCAATCAAATACATGAAATAACCTATATAAATATGAAATAATTATTAAATCTTAATTGTTTTCTATGTTTTCTTATTTTCAATACATAATTTTAAAATTAAACCTCCAATACTTTATAATCCCATTAGACCTAGAAATGCAAATCCAATAGGAGCATGCCAATAAGCCAAATGTTCTTTACCATGAAATTATGGAGGATTCCAAATCAAACTCATTAATATATCTGCTATCATGGTAGGTAATACACATAATCCCATAATGATACTGTGTAAATTTAATCTTTATTTTAAGAATATTCCATATCTATTTGCTAATAATCCAATATCTACTAAAATTCCCCAAACTATGAAATTACTCCATTTATGAAAGTAAAAGACAGTATGTCTATTTTCATTTATTTCAGTGAGCATCATTTCATGATCTAATATAATATTAAATGTATTCATACTCTATTCATCTTAATTATAATCTAAGAATGTTCTATTTGATTGACTATCATTTAACTCTTATGTAATTGTAAGACTTGCAACAGATAAAATAACAATGATGGTAAACATATAATAAGATATTTATATTATCTTTAACTAATGTAATGATGACCAGAATTAAATACTCCAATTTGATTATGTCATTCAAAATAATCTCACTTATTAGTTTGATTACTAACTGTTTCTGTAAGTTAATTATAAAATAAGATATTATAAATTATAATAAATTCTCCAAATAATTAATCAATAAAAAGAAGACTTTTTAAATTCTTATATGACTTTTAGTTCTCAAATGTGTTTTTGTTCATCTAAGAAGTTTCAGATAGGTATTAACTCTTTATTCTGATCATAATTGTGTATTTTTTATAATATTCTGAAATCTTTCAATTTCAACTAATCTAAATTAATTGTAACTAAAATCATTAACATTTGCAATTTGATTCTTAAATATCAAAATAACTTTACCAATTTATAGATACTAACCTTATAACATAATAAAAGATTACAATGACATATGGTTATTGATTCATCAAGAATACATTAGATTTCTCAAATATTCTTAGATTGCATCTTTGAAAAGCTTAAACTTTAATAAGTTCAAAATAAGACTTATTTTAAGTTATTTGAATGATCTCCTATCATGAGTACTGAATTGTAAAGATTTAACAAAAGAGAATTCTCATTTGATAAAAATGCTCTTATTTCTAATATATTACATACAGACACAAAAATTGATTTGTATTAGGAATAAGGAATTTATAATGATAAATTATTTTAAACTATATTTTTCTAAATGTCTATTATATAATTGATTTTTTGTTAAGTACCCATGATATTAGATATACTTTAATTAATGAATAAAAATATATGAGATCATCATCTATTTGACATCTGTTAAAAATATATAATTTATATGTTTCATTTATTGAGATGATATTATAATATTAAATTTATAATATGAAACATCTGAAATTATCTATTCCTTGTATGAATTAATCCTTTCTTTATAAAGGAAACTTTTAAGACATCAATTATTAAGAGCTTGTTCAATTTGCAGAAAGCAAATTAGGTAAAAAATTAACTTAAGAACTCTACTTTGTTTATATTAATGTGGAAGGTGACAATTTTATAATAGATAATGATCAAAAACTAAACAATTTAAAGAAATTAAATTCTTAAGTTTTAAAGATCATCTTAAAAGAATTTGAAAAACAAATAGTTCTTCATCCAAATACAATTTGTTCTGTTTGTCAATAATCTCCAATATAAAATATTAGATTTAAATGTGTTGTTTGTGAAGATGTAGATTTATGTCAAAATTGTAGTATAGAACATAGTAAATTACATCCATTAATTATGATTTCTAAACCAGAATAAGTATAATACTTAGAAAGTTTTTTTAAAAAACATATGAAAAAAGTAAAGAATATTTTAAATTGTTCTATCAATAAATCTAAAAATACAGTAATAGCAATTAAAGATGTTATTATGAAAAAAAAGAAAGATTATTTTGGAAATCAATAATAATAATAATAATAATAATTCTAATAAGGATAAATAAAGAAACCTCCAAGTTAAGAAGAAGAAGATGTATTAAACAAAACCTTAAGATTATCAGAGATATTTGAAGGATAACCAAGTACTTATGAGAAATTTGTTAAATAAAATAAAGATTTGACATTTGAAGAATTAGTGGAAGTAGCATCTGAATAATTTGCCTGAATAATATAAATTATAATAATAATTCCAAATAGTATTATCATTTTTTATGAATTTAAGCTGACATTAATCCTGTAGTTGTTTAATACATCTTAAATTAATCCTTTATATATATTTACATTTTAATATTATTTCTAATCTGTTGCCCAAGGAGGTTATCCTTTACTTTTTTGATATTATGAATATTGTTATTTTGATTCTAAAGACATTTATTACATCATATGATCCAATTAATCCATCTTCTAAGGAGTTTATTATTATTAAACTCTTTATTAGTTAACTAATTGAGGGTTTTACTATTATTAATGAGTCTATTGTGTAAGTTGCTATTAGAAAATATTTGTTTATTTATTATCAAAGTATTATGAATAAATGACATAATTATTATTTTGAGGGATATAATTCTATAAATTATAGTATTTCTTAAGGAATCCCAATAATTTTGGTGATGGTCGATCATATGCTAATTTTTCTGGTGTCAAAACTTCTTATCTGAGCATTTCTTCAAAAAGCTCTTTGCCAATACCTTTTCTTTGTACAGATTCATGTACATAAAAGTCAAGTACACATATAGGTTAGATTTCTTTTATTACTCCATTTAAATCTCTATGAAATAAATTTTTTCTTCCTATTTTTAGAATACCTAAACATTGCTTAGAAATACTTTTGAATACTTACTTTTCCTTCTGACTTAATATACATCTTTTAATCAGTCTAAAAGAATCTAATTGGACTAGTTATAACTTATTTCAAATTTTATGCCTAACTTATTTATAAATAGATTACTAATGCAGAAGCTTCACCCATGATTGTAATAACAACATCAAGTTAAGGATTACGTTTTTAGTTTCCATTTAATATTGTTATTCCATTCTCATTAACTGACATACATTTTGATAAGTAAAAGTTGAATTACATCTAATTAATTTATATAAATAATTCATTCTATTTTATAAATTCATATATATTCTAATTAGTAGTATTAGAGTATATAATAAGATTATAATTATTATAAATTCTATTTGAATAATGTATATCTTATTTTTTATTGAATTTTTAAATGATATTTAATATAGATTTTCTACTTTTATTCTTTTAATTAAATTAGTGTAGAAACTCTAATATATATATGAAACATTTTAATTAATGTTATATATGTATATATATAGTTTATGATATAACAATATTTTGAGATGGATAATATATACAAAAATAAATAATTCTATATATAATTAGAATGAATTTAATTGAAATAATAAATTGTTTAAGAGAATGATTTTTATTTGTAGTTGTAATTGATCTTTTTTCTTTAATTAGATTATTGATTTTTGTTTTCAATAATAATTTATTATTTTAATTTTTATTATCAAAATTGATCAGATATTTATGTTTATATAATAATGAAACAAAAATTACAGAAAATTAAAAAAATGAATTGTTCAGTTTGTTTGAGTGATGATTGTTAACTATTTACAAACAAAATTTGTAAATGTTAATTCTGTTATGATTGTGTTCTTAATTGGATTGAAGAGAAAATCAATTTAAAATAGTAAGTCAATTCAATATCATGTTTAAATCATAAATGCAAGTAAATAATTACATTAGAAAACTTTCGATAATCAATAACGAATAAACAAATTCAAGAAAAGTATATGGAAATTATGTTAAAAAATTATTTTCAACAAACACAAGACATTAGACCTTGTCCAAATAATAAATGTAATTATTATGCATTTCTTCCAACTAATAGATGTGGCAAAGAATTCTCTTGTCAATAATGCAGTAAAACATTTCATTTATATATTTAGATTTTAATTGGCTTGATAAACAATATCTGTCATATGATAAATTATTCTTATTAAAAATTAAAGATACAAAAAGTGACATATTATCATCTGTCTTTGAATTCATTTCAACATAGGAATGTCCTAAGTGTGATTCTAAAATTTTGAAAAATGGTGGATGTAGTCATATGACGTGTAAAAAATGCAATTTTTATTATTGTTGGAGATGTAACAATTAATTGAATGACAATGTTCATAATGAATTTCTATGTTTTATTAGAGTACTTTGTTATTTGTTAATGATCCTTTTCAATTTTGCTGTTACATTTTATTACTTAGGATGGCTTTAATACTTCATTATGATAATTTGTTACCCATTATATGGATTGGGTCTATCCTTACTATATAATTCCTACCTTATCTTACCTACAACTATAATAGCTACATTAGTGTATACATACAAATAATGGCCAAAATTAAGTCCGGTTAGAAAATAGAGATTCCGCAAATCCTAAATAATATCCATTATAGCATAAATAACAATATCTATCATTTTAGCAATAGCTACATATTACAATATTTTCAATATTACTTTATATCAAGCCCTGAGTTATCACTACTACTAATTTATTATCATTATATCAGGAGGCTCTGTAGTGTTAGTGATATTGCTATTCAATAGTTTTTTTTATTAAAATTGGCTCAAATTTTTGATTTGAATATGTTTTATATATTTATTTATAAAAATACAATTATGTAATATATATAATACTCTTTTAGTAAAGAATACCTTTAATGCAATTCAAATTTATAAAAAAAACTTTAAAAAAATAATAAACCTTTATCATTATTTAGATTCTATAAATTGATAAACTAAGTTCTTGTATTGAATTTAATATATAATATAAATTTGATTCTTAAAAGTAAATAAAAAATAAAGTCAGTAATCATAATTAAATTTGATATGAACACAATTAGAAAAAATAGACCATCTTATGGATCCTTTTAAGAAATATAGATAAATGCATCTTGTTCTTCAACTCCAAAGTTGACAAAATCTCAAACTTTTATATAAATGAAGGCAAAATGTGCATCATCAAGTAGTAAAAATTCAACATCGACAAAAATAAACTCACCTTATTAACCTCATTAAAAAAGTTAATTCTCTGTTATAACTCATTCTGATTCATAAGACATTCATTCTATACTAAATGAATGTGTGTAAATATTCAAAGAAATTTAACAGAGTTCTATAAATAATCAAAATGAAGTTGTTTTACTTGATGTGAAAGAAAAGATGCGTAAAATTGAAAAAATAGTTGAAGAAATTTTACAATATCAAAATACTAAAAATTTAAATTAAAACAAGATCTCCTAATATATGTTATAAATTATTGAAGAAAAAAAGCAAAAATAATAAGCTATATAATCAGGAGATAATTTAATAAAGTAATAAGCTAATTAAATTCAATAGTTGGTATTTATATTACATAATCTTAGAATCAAAGAATTTCTCTTTATAAATGATGTTTAATTAAATTAGTAAAATATATTAATACAAATATGTTTTCAATTTATAATTATATAGTTTTTTATTAATTTATGTATTAAATATGAATTATTATAATAACAATTACCTTCAAAGAATGATAAAAGTTATAAAATAATATTCAATTAATCTTTAATATATAGAATTAATACTTTTTATAATATTCAATTAATTAATCATTAATATAACTAAATAAAACTTCTATATATTATATTAAAATCATAGAAGAAGAAAATGTGATAAACTATATCTTAAATATATAGGAGATATATAAGATTGATATATATATAGTGATTAACTATTCAATTTTAAAAAATAGTATATTTTATACAATATTTATTTAGATTATGATTTATCATTAGGAATGTTTGGATTAACCTTATAAAAAAACAATGATTTATACCATTTTAATTAATTATTAGAATTAGAATACTCTTAAATATCAAATTTTTGTGTTTAAAAAATATACATGGAAAGTAAATATCAAAATTAAAAGGGGGTTTAGTTATTTTTAAATTCTAGAGATAATATTATATAATATATAGATTAAATCTTGTAGTGAGTATGAAAATTCATAGAAAGATTTCTGTTTTAATTATATAATATTGTCTCTCATTAAGTGAATGTGAAAATTAATAACGTATTTTCTATAATATTAAGTTTTTATAAGATTAATCAATAAAATAAATATATATGCTTCATTTATGATTGATTAAGAATCCCACTTAAGAATGTTCTAATAGATAATGAGCATTGACCCAAGGATGATGTTACATAAATAGAGGAGTACCATCTGTACCAACTCCTCTCATCAATTATTCTTTACCTCCAGGATGTTTATTTAAATAATGAGTAACATCATAAACTTTAGAATTAATAACTATCCATGCTGAATCACTTGTGTTATGTTTAGATACCTATGAATATTTTGATATGATGATATACATCTTCTAATGTAAGTTATTTTAATTCACATTTCTTAATGCTTTCATTTAAAGCTCTTTTTGAAATCCAACTGGGTGAAGTGTTTTCTTTAGGTTATTATCCAAATTTAGGAGATTCAGGTTAATTTTATTATAATTGTATTGTTTATTGTGTTTCTTAAGTGACAGAATTTCTTTTTTTTGGTTGTATTAGTAAATCATCAAAAATACCTTTTAAGGTGTCTAAGTATTTTTAATTTGTTTTTTTAATGACTGCAATGGAATAATCAACACTTTCAACCTTTCTTGTTCCTTTATATTTTTCTACAAGAACTTTTTCGTTAGAAATGTGATAGATACTACGATTTTGTCTTAGTTAATTCTGAATATATTGTTAAAACAAATACCATTGCAAGTGTTTTCACATCATGTCTTTATGGTATGGTAATATATGTATGTGGACGCTTGAACTCAATTATTTAATCAATTTCATAATATTGATTTTCTTCATCACGTAAAGTCAATATATCAGTCTAGAATTTCTGTTTGATATCATTTAGTATAAATGTAACAACTTCCTCTAGAATTTCAAGTTCAACCTCATCTTGCATCCAAATAAGGGTATCTTGTCTTTCTTCTATATACAAATTGATTTCTTCCTTATTATTCATATAAAATAATCAAAAATGGGTTGCACTACTGCAAAAATAAATGAGCCATTAAGTTAAAGACTTCGGCATAAAGCTAGTGAAATTTTTAAGAAACTAGACATCAAAGGTAATGGAACCATTGATAAGGAAGGAACAGAATAATTTTGGTAAGAATTTAAATAATTTACTAAAGGAAGTCTAACTTTGCAAAATTAAATACAGAAGCATTATTTGAAGCAGTAGATTTTGATAAGAGTGGAGATATTACAGAAGAAGAGTGGATGGCATTTTGGGAAATTGTAAAAGAAAATGGGTATTCAGAGGAAGAAATAAATTTAGAAGTATCAATTAGATAATTAAAGAAAGTTGGATGAATTAATGGATGGTAAGGCATGGGTACAATTCAAAAGAGTAGATAGATTTTTAAAAATAGATGAAAAGAGAAGAGGTTCAAGAGTCAAATCAATTGTGCAGGAAGAAAAGAAGAAGCTTTCTATCATCTAACCAGCACGATTATAAAAGAGTAAGACTATGGAAAATGAGGGACATGATATGCAATAAGAGAATTAGCAAGAATCTTGATAATATTTATAATTAGATATAATATCATAGTTAAATAAAATTGAAATCTTCAACTACTGCAAGTTCATTTTCATCATCAACTTAAATAACATTTGTTAGAACTTTAACTATAATAAGTTCTATAAATTTAATACATCTCTATATTAACTAAGAAGATTAATATAACAGTACTTTCATAGATGGATTGTCAATTAATGATAATTAAATCAAATTATTAATACAAGATTAAATGAAATTACTTAAACTAATAAGATCAACAATAATTTATTGTAACTAATAATAAAGGTATGAAATAAACATATAAATTAAATTATTCTTATAAGATATTATATAATAGTTATATCTATTCTTCAAATGATTCTAAATTTCAAAAATACTTATTAGATTTCTCATAACAATATTTTAATATCATTTTAGTAATTATTATCAATAAGATTTATTAAAGCTCTTTAACTTAGTTATATAATGCATTAATCTTTATCAATTTATTCTTCAATTTTCATGTGTTTTTTTAGGTTCTTATATATCGAGGACATTGTTATTAATAAAATTCAATCTTTTTAGAGTTAGAAATTCTTATAAATTATTATTCAATTACTTTACTAGAAACTTAAATAATGGTGAAAGAATTTTGAAATAGAATCCATACTTAAATTGATAACCTTCATCTTTTAATAAATAATGGACATAATATTCTGAATTGTTTTGAATTAGTTATCAATTATGAATACTAAATTATAAATTTTCAAAGGAGAATAAAGTAGAAGAAGAATATAATAATTCATTATTAATATTTTTATTAATATGCTTCAATTTGACGTTGTAATCTATTGACATTAGATTTAATTCGATTCATTTATGTTTATTCAGCATTCTATACAATTTCATAATCAATTAATGGTTAAGAGTATCTTGGATCAAATTCTTCTTCTTTTATCACTTAGAATTTATTTAATTCAAATTATCTTATGTTTACACGAACCTAATCAAGATTTTTATCTATTCTGCTCATAAGTTCTAATAAATCTTATAAGGAATCTCCAGAATCAGGGAATATTAGAACAGGTTTCTCTTTGGACCAATTGTCAACTGGAATTTCAAATGATTTATGTAATACATCTTCTAATGTTTCTGCTGAATTCTTAAGTAGGACATAAACCTTTTAAATTTCTTCGTCAATATTCATAAATAATCAACTTGGTGACATTTTGTAAGAATTATGTAAAATTTATCAAATTTCCTTATAATAATTTGATGGAATAATCATTGTTTTTCCTGTCAGCTGAAATGACAGCCATGAAAGCCTTTAATGAAAAGACATTGTCCATATATTAAAATATGCAATTTCTTGATAAGAAACTCAAAATGAAAATACCAAAACTGAATTTAGCCATTACAACTCATAGATTAATATTTACTAATCACACAAACATAGATTAATTAACTGTGAATGATGTTAAATTTGTCTATTTCGTTATACCCTTATAGCATGTAAAAACTATCTAACCAAAAGTAATCAATACATCCTATATGAGACTGGATTTCTATCATCTAAAATAGATCATATAAATATTGAAACTAATTTGGGTGAGATTGCCCTATATGGTGATAATCTTGAAGGGCCACTCTTATAAATCAAAGGTAGTATAGAAAAAAAGGAATGGCTTCAAGTACAAGAACAATAATAAACATAATCAGTTTATCGTGGAATGAAAAGTGAAATAGAAAAAAAGGAGAAATAAACATAATAAACAATAGATACTGTATAAAGCACATTTAAAGGTGGATTTGAAGAATTATTTAAGAATGCTACAGAATTAAAGGAGATTTCATAATATATTAAATAAAATATAAAGAAAGGTGAGAATAATGAGATTGATGAAATTCTATCTAAAATTGGTTAATCAAGATTAGATAAGTAATATATATTAAATAATTTATATAAGAACTGAGGATTAATTTTATGAGAAATTGGCTGATTAAGTATATAAACTTTGTGTTGAATTGTTTCCTAAGATGGGTGGTATAATATCACTTTTAGATGTCTATTATTATTTTAATAAGAAACGTAATTCAGATTTAGTGAGTCCAGAAGAAATATTAAAGGCAGGTTTATAATTTTAAAAATTGAATTATTAAGCAAAGGTTGAAAGATATGATGGTATTTCTGTAATTGAATCAAGTATTTATGATAATAATAATATTTTTAAGCATAATACAATAGTGATAAAGATTATGAGAATACTTTAGGAAAATATATATCTTATGAAATTGGATTGACTGCTGAATAATTAGCAAAGAAATTGGGGATTTCAGTTATGATATGTAAGATTAAACTTAAGAATGCTATAAATTAAGGGAAAGTATGTGTTGACAATAGAATTGAAGGTACTCGTTATTTCAAAAATTTAATAATTAATATTTGAACAAAAATTTATATAAAATAAAAATATGAATTTATAATAATAAGAAAGACAAAGAGTCACAGATAATTTAAGTTAAATATCTTAATTAAGTACTAGAGCACCTACAATTATAAATTAATAATAAGAATCATTACCATTTATTTCATATACAACTGAAAATGTTGATAGATAATAAAAATAATAGGAAGAAAATGAAAGAAAATAAAAATTAATGGCAGAAGCACGTAAATTAATGGTACCCACTTAAGAAAGCTAAATTAAATCATAATTAAGATAATTAGGATAACCAGTAACTTATTTTGGAGAAAATGCAGCTGATAGAAGATAGCGTCTACGTACATTATTAACAGATCATTTAATGTAATATGGTAGATTACCTTAATTTTTTAAATAATAAAACAATCACAATATGGGAAATTTAGAAAATGAATATTTCTTATATGAAGGAGTAGAATAATTAAGAGCTGCTAGAATTGAAATAGCAAAATTATCACTTCATAATGCAGCACTTAGAGTTGAAAAATTGAGATTAAGAAGATTAACTGTTGATGCATTATAAGAAGATTAAGAAGTATTAGAAGAAATGTAAAAAGTAAATCATTTTGCAATTTAAATGTCATAATTTGGTGATTCTTCAGGAATATCTAGATCAACTATTAGTCCAAATTAATAATATCTTGCAACTGCTGGTGGATCTGGAGAATGTAAATTATGGGATATATAAACTGCATCACTTAAGTCTAGTTTTTTAGGACATTTAACTAAATGTCATTCTATTGCATTTCATCCTTAATCCTTATTAACATTATCACCTTAATCATTTGCTAATGTTGCAACTGCTTCAGCTGATCTCTCTATTAGATTGTGGACTCTAGATTTGGAATAGTAAGAAGTTGAGAATTTAGGAATGTTATAAAAATCAATTGTTTTGAAAGGTCATGAAGATAGAATTAATAAAGTAATATTTCATTAAGATGGTAAAAGATTAATTAGTATGGGTTTTGATAAAACATGGAGATTATGGGATATAGAAACATAAACTGAATTAATGGTTTAAACAGGACATTCTAGAGCAATTTATTCAGGAGCACTTCATCCAGATGGTTCATTATTATTTACAGGAGATTTAGGAGGATTTGGAATGGCATGGGATTTGAGAATAGGTAAAGGTATTTTACCATTTGTTGGTCATGTTAAAGGAATATTAGCTAGTGATTTTAGTATGAATGGTTATCATATTGCAACTGGAGGAGATGATAATTTTATTAGAATTTGGGATATTAGAAGAAGAAATGTAATTGAAAAAATACCTGCACATATTAAATTGGTAAGTGATTTAAAATTTTAACCAAATTATAGTAAATTCTTAATTAGTGCTTCTTATGATGGAAATATTAAATTTTGGAATTCAAGAGATTGGAGTTTGCATTCAGTTTATGAGACTTCTGATACAAAAGTAATAAATATTATTTATTATTTTAGCATACTTCTGTTTGTATTACTGATGATATAAAGACTATGATTTCTACAGGTTTAGACAGAAAATTTGTTATTTGGTAATGATTTATAATTAATTATTTAATTATTATAATAGAATATTAACATAATTCTTAATTTTTCATTCTTGAAAATTGTATTTATTAGTCTATTTAATTTAGTAATTTATTATATCAAATTAATCATAAGTATAATTAGATATTGTAAAAATATATAAATTGATAGATAAATTTGTATATTATTTTATAAATAAATTATGTAAAAGGTTTTTTAATTGTTATAATTAACTTTTATTTATATATTTATAATATTAATTATAATTATAGAAATTCATACAAAAAAAATATTTAAAAACTTTAAGAATAATTTAATTATAATATATTTTTTGATTAGTTGAATCAAATTAATTGTTATTTTAAGATAAACAGAATTTTGAAGGCTTATATTTATAATTAACATAATGTCTAAGTTAAGTGAGAATATAAAGAAATTTCTTAGAGAACTTGATCAATTTGGAGTTGTATTCAAACCAAGTATAACATCAGATAGTGAATATAAAACAGTTTTAGGTGGAATATTATCTATTCTGCTTTATGGAGTAAGTTTAGGATATTTCATTTACTAATTTGTTATTTGGAAAGAAGGTGGCATGTTACCAAAAATCACAGTGTCAAGTGAAGTAATAGAGACTTAATAAATTTATTTTGATGAACCTTTATTTTCAATCAGAATGAGAAAGATGAATGATACAAATATTGATCCATTCAATCCTTAGAATATAATTATGTTACCATTAATATTCTAATATATAAATGGACAATTAAGTACTACTCCCAGTATTCCAATAATAAATAAAACAAATAATGATAATGAGTTTGTAACAATATATTTCAACAATATTACATTAGCCATTAGTAAAGATAAAACAATTGAATTACCAGAATTGGAATATATGATTTTATTGATTGATTGTGTTCCTCAATTATTAGCAAATAATACAGAAATGAAATGTGCCAATTCAACAACAAGAAAAAGCTTTTTTAATTAATCTGTTAATACACTATACTTTACGACTTTTGTAAAATAATTTAATGCTCAATAAGAAAAAATTAATACATTTGGAAATGAAGTAATTGTTGCATTAGATCCAAGTTCTGTATATTTTTCAACAAGTACTTTGTAATTATAGGAGACTACTATAGACAATGGATTATTGTTTGAAAACACTTATTAGAGAAACTTTATATTAGATATATCAACAGCTGGTTAATAAGTAAATAGTAAATTTTTTTCAAGTGTAATAAACTCTACTACTTATTTTATCAACAATTATTAATTAAATGGAATCAAATCAATTTAATATATTTAATACCCAAAAATTAATGAAGTCTTGGCTGATACAGGATCTATAGTTTCTATTTTACTTTTGACTTCAGCATTTGTAATTATGACTAATCAATATTTTTTGGAAAGTGAAGCCATTTCTTAAGTTATAAATATGTTTTATCCAAATCTTAAATATTTAAAATATAAAAAGAATTGGTATGGCAAAATTATCAGAATTGAATTGTTAGGTAGAAATCTAAATATCAATAAATTCAATGTTTAATATGGGAAACTTAAAGAAGTAGCTTAAACAAAATTAACAATAACAAATTAAATATATGAAATATCAAGGATTTAATTTATTTTACAATCTATGATAGATAGATCTAATCTTAATTATTCTCATATGATTGGAATCAAAGAAAACAATTTCATTGAGAATACAAAAGAAGAGAATGAATTTGATAATCAAGAAGGTGAGATCTTTAAGGATTCAAAAGTGGTAAAAATTAAGATTTATTTTAGATTCCATCCAATGATAGTAAACTTGAAATATAATAGAATTAATAGATATAACAAACAATGTTCCCAGATCAATCTAGTAATACAATTCTACCTAATGAAACATAAAAACTTGAAATATTTTAATAGCTTAAATCAGAAAATTAAACTTCCAATAATGATAAATAGTTTAATTCAAAAGAGCTAATTGATTAAGATTTTGAGTTGCTTATTTGTAAGAAAGATAGAACTGAAGCTTAAATATTGCCTTAGTTCTTTGATATCAATAAAGTCACATGATATTTATATTACTTTATGATTAAATTACTCTAAAAGATAGATTAATTTGGAGTGACATTCTAATCCAGAATCCAATATTCAATTTCTCATTATAAGACAAATTTTGGAGGAGCAATGTCTATTATTTTATATGGATTGAGTTTGGCATACTTAATTTATATTATCATCCAATGGAGAACAGGATAAATCCTACCAAAAATTACTACATCCTCAAAAGTGGAAAATAATGAGTATTTTGAACTCAATGAAAAATTCGTTGAGGTTGAACTAAGAAAATTTGGTTATTCTAATATTGATCCTTTTAATCCTAATGCACTTATTCTTTAACCTCTTTTATACGTTTTCAAGAATGGTATACCTTTGAATAAGCCACTTGTTCCAATATATCAAATAACTACTAAAGAAGATAAATTTCATCTAATAAGTTTCTCCAATTTATCTTTGTCAATTAGTGAGATGAGAGATTAAATATATCCAGAATATGAAGTCATGCTTACTTTTGGAACTTGTCTTTAAAATTTTGTATAAGAAGGATAAACATGTGCAAATGAAACAATTATCGAATAATTTAAAAAATAATCGACCAATACTCTTATTGTAAAGTATTTTGCCAAAGAATTTAATACTAAAACAGAAAATCTAGAAATTATTGGAAGAGAGTAAATCATTCCTTTACAATCTAGTAAGGTATTTCAGACACAAACATATATTTAAATTACTAAGACATCTGTAGATGTAGGTATGTTATTAGAATCAAAAAATGAATATAAATACATAAATGAATATCGTGTAGTAGGTTCCACTCTAGATTTAGAATATTACAATGAATTTTTTGGATATAATGTTTATATAGCATTCTTATATAAAATAGATAATATTTAGATTGAGATTTCAATTGTTTACACAAAAATAAGTGAAATACTTGCAGAAGCAGGATCTATTGCATCTACTCTATTGTTATTATCTAATTTGGTTATATTTTTTAATAAAAAATAATTAGAATTTGAAACAATTAATAATGTTATTTAGATATATTATCCAGAGATTAAAAATACAAAAATAACAAGGAATATATTTGGATAAATAAAAAAGGTAGAAAAGAATGGAAAGTAATTGGATTTATAATCATTTAATAAATATTATCAAAAATTATCCCATATTGGTGAAATCAAATTAACCATATTTAACTAAATTTATGAAATATCTAGGCTATAATTCTTATTGTAGAATCTCTTACCATCAAAAACAATTTAATAAATTCATCATTAAGGAATACCATTCCAATTCTAATATACAGATAGTAATAAAGAAGAAGAATAGTCAAATATTAATAAAATAGATTATAGTATCAATTAAGATTATTAATATAAATTTAATACTATTGTATTTAATTATTTTTATATAGATTCCAAATAATATTAGTCCACCTAACATTAAAAGCAATGATGTTTAAACTATATCTCAGACTGAATAAAAATTAATTCAAAGTCAATAAAAATTATTAGAAAATAATCTTAATACATAAGTATAATAATTAAAAGACTCAGACTTCGATCTATTGATTCAACCAAAAAGTGAACTTCAATTTAATTAACTTTCAAATCATCCTGATACAATTATTTAATCTGAATTGTGATAATAGTTAATATGATGATATTAATAATTATAATACTTTTTAATTTAATTTGAAAAATGTTGAAGCTATTAGAAAATCTTGATTAATTTGGGGTGGCATTTTAACCAAACATAAAGTACTCTAAAAATTAACACAAAACAGTAATCGGAGGCATTATGTCAATTATATTGTATGGTTTAAGTTTTGCTTATTTAATTTATTTACTAACTTAATGGAGTCAAGGATAAACATTACCAAAAATTACAAACACTTAAAGAAGCATTAAAAATTATGAATATAAAATGAATGAAACTTATGTATAATTTGAAACAAGAAAGCTTTCTTAAACATTTATTGATCCATTCGATCCTAATGCTATAGTATTATAACCTGTTGTTTATACTTTTAAAAATGGACTGATTACAGTATTATAAATAGATTATGTATCTATATTGATGAACCTTAAGCAGTAAATTATCCAGTTTAAATAAAAGATGGATTTATTGTATTGAATATATCCAATTTATCACTTTCAATAAGTGATGAGAAATCAGATCAAGCACCAGAGATTGAAGTGATGATAGCTTTAGGAAAGTGTTAAAAGCGCTTTTTATTAGAAGGACAATAATGTGCAAATCAAACTATAACAGATGGCTATTTCTAATAACCTACAAATTCTCTTCTTCTTCGATAATTTGTTAAAGAGTTTAATACAAATGATGAAATTTTAGAAACTATTGGAAGAGAATAATTGATATCTATTTAACAAAATTACACATTTTAAATTTAAACCTTTATTAGAATGTAAGAGACAAATGTTGACACAGGATTTTTATTTGAATAGATGCAAAAATATAATTTTATTGTAGATTATAGAGGTAGTAATGCAATATTAGGTTTAAATTATTTTGGTTAGATTTTAAGTTATAATATATATATGTCCTTANATAGATTCCAAATAATATTAGTCCACCTAACATTAAAAGCAATGATGTTTAAACTATATCTCAGACTGAATAAAAATTAATTCAAAGTCAATAAAAATTATTAGAAAATAATCTTAATACATAAGTATAATAATTAAAAGACTCAGACTTCGATCTATTGATTCAACCAAAAAGTGAACTTCAATTTAATTAACTTTCAAATCATCCTGATACAATTATTTAATCTGAATTGTGATAATAGTTAATATGATGATATTAATAATTATAATACTTTTTAATTTAATTTGAAAAATGTTGAAGCTATTAGAAAATCTTGATTAATTTGGGGTGGCATTTTAACCAAACATAAAGTACTCTAAAAATTAACACAAAACAGTAATCGGAGGCATTATGTCAATTATATTGTATGGTTTAAGTTTTGCTTATTTAATTTATTTACTAACTTAATGGAGTCAAGGATAAACATTACCAAAAATTACAAACACTTAAAGAAGCATTAAAAATTATGAATATAAAATGAATGAAACTTATGTATAATTTGAAACAAGAAAGCTTTCTTAAACATTTATTGATCCATTCGATCCTAATGCTATAGTATTATAACCTGTTGTTTATACTTTTAAAAATGGACTGATTACAGTATTATAAATAGATTATGTATCTATATTGATGAACCTTAAGCAGTAAATTATCCAGTTTAAATAAAAGATGGATTTATTGTATTGAATATATCCAATTTATCACTTTCAATAAGTGATGAGAAATCAGATCAAGCACCAGAGATTGAAGTGATGATAGCTTTAGGAAAGTGTTAAAAGCGCTTTTTATTAGAAGGACAATAATGTGCAAATCAAACTATAACAGATGGCTATTTCTAATAACCTACAAATTCTCTTCTTCTTCGATAATTTGTTAAAGAGTTTAATACAAATGATGAAATTTTAGAAACTATTGGAAGAGAATAATTGATATCTATTTAACAAAATTACACATTTTAAATTTAAACCTTTATTAGAATGTAAGAGACAAATGTTGACACAGGATTTTTATTTGAATAGATGCAAAAATATAATTTTATTGTAGATTATAGAGGTAGTAATGCAATATTAGGTTTAAATTATTTTGGTTAGATTTTAAGTTATAATATATATATGTCCTTATACTACAAAATAGATAATATTTAATAAAAGCAAATAATTATATATCCTAAATTAAGTGAAGTTTTGGCAGAAGCAGGTTCTATAGCATCTACTATATTATTGATATCCTATTTAGTTGTTATTTTAAATGAGAATCAATTATATTAAGATGCAATTAATTAAGTAATATCTTTATATTTTCCTGATTTTGCTTCAATTAAAATTAAGAAAAATATCATAGGTTAAATTATATAAGTTGAAAGAGATGGAAAATTATTAGATTTAAATTCATTTAAACTTTAATATTCTAAATTAAAAAGAATAAGTGAAATCAAATTATCAATTTCAAATCAAATATATGAATTATCAAGGATTTAAATAATATTGTAAACTATCTTTTCATCTTAATTTATAAATCAATCCCATTAAAAAGGGATTCCACTTTAAACTTCATATTTAGAACCTTTTAAAGATGAATAGTAAAGTATAATTAAAATGGATGTGAATACTAATTAGGAAAATCTTCTTAAATAAAATTAAATTGTAATAAAAATTATATATAAATAGGTACCTGCTTCTATAGATAGTTTAATTGAAAAGAAGATCTCATAAGATGTATCATAATAGAAATAATAACCATGTTAATAAGATACTTCTTAAGGTGAGATGTGTAATTAATTAAATTAAAGGGATTAAATTAAAAAATCTTATGATGTTATACTATAAGAATCTGATTTTGAATTATTGATTCTGCAAAATCGAGATTAGAATGATTAAGATAACAAAATTAAATGATTTAAAGAGAATATGATCAAATATCAGCTCCACAAAACATACATAATAAATCTGAATCTTCTTTTTGATCTAAAATAGCCTATTTAATTGCAGAAAATGGGATTTCCTCATGAGGTTCTTTGCCTACTACCTTAAATATTAATCTTGTATAATATTCACAAAGCATATCCAAAAAATCATCTGTATTCTATATATATTTAGCCAAACAAACTTTAGATAATTGATAGATCTCTTCCCAACATAATTACCCATTCCCATCTTAATCAGATATTTAAATAAATAGATCTAATTTTTCAATTAATGTTTTTGCTCTTATACTAACCATTAATTTTAAAAATTCATTCCAATTCAAAAAACCACTATAATTAAAATCTATTTTATTGAATATTTCTTATGCAAGAAATTCACTTTACATAAATATTTAATATATCCCTGTTCTATATGTATCATAATCAACTCCATCATCTACATTATAATATCTATATCTTTAGGATGTGATTTATTGTAATGCACAATATAATATATAAGTATTATGCAATTCATATCTTGAAAAATTAGTATCTTTCAATATTTTTGGAATTCCTTATATAAATAAATCCTTATTGATATTCAATAATTTATGTAAGCTTCCTTTTTTAGTTATAAGTTCTTATGTATTTTTCTCTATAAAATTGGTTGAATTTCTGATTTACTCTTTTTAATCATTATTAAAATTCACTTCAGGTGCTTCATCTACACTAATATTAGCTTTTCTGTGTAAAAATTTCTTTAATAGAGGTTCTAGAAGTTGTGCAGCCTATTATATTTGACTATATGATGTATATATAAATAGAAATACTTTTCAATCAATTTTTAACTTGATATTTATTCTACATGAATAGCCATTAAATCTTCATTCTAATCATCCTATTTAAATTTAATTTTCTTTAATTCTTAATCATACCATCCTTCAATCTTTTCTAATTTCTCTATCTTAGGATTTTTTACAATATAATCATTTGACATATATTCTTAATATTAATTTTTTTATTTTGTAGTCTTACCTGTTCTAGACATCTAATTTATTATTGGTGTGAAATTAGAATTTCTTTTTATTTCAGCATATGAATGTTTCAATTCTTTTGATGTTAAAAATTCTTAAGTGATTTCAATTTCCTCAGGCATTGTTTCTACTCTATAATCCTGATTTACTGATTAATAATTCTAATATATAAGAGTATTAATTATCCCATCTACATGATGTGAATAATCTGGTTCTGTTCTTCTTATTGTTTATTCACAATGATGTTATTAACAACAATTCTCAAGGTACAATAATTAAGCATTGAATATTTCTTTATAGACTGTAGAAGTAGAATAAATAAGAAGACTCTAATTGATTGGAATATCAAGATGAGAGTAGACGGGGGTTCCATCTTTCAAATAGAAATATAATTTCTTGGAATTTATCTTCAGTCTGAATTGTCACATAATTTACAATCATACCTATTTTTAACTACGGCAACAAATTCTTAGAATGCATGCTTATCTTTAACAGAATGATCTGGTACATACATAAAGATATACTACAAAGTATTTGTATTTAGATACAACTAATTTACTATAACTATCTATTTCATCCTTAAGTATTATTGATATTATTACCCATTTTATTTAACAAAATATCGACATTCTTAGTCAGTTGATGTTTTAATTCTTTATGAATGTTGAGAAGTAATGATCTGTCTTTAACAAACATTTTCTTATAAACGAAATCTAGAGTAACTCTTAACTAAATTATTATCTTTTTAATTTTAATCCTATATTAATCTTCCTTAATGAAATTTAATTGTTTCTTAATATTTTGTTTCTTAGATTGTGGACTCTTTGACTTCTGGCCTTCGTTCAAAATGTCGAGTTAATAAAAAAGAGGGAGGAGTCTCTCTTGATGTACTTGGTTGGTTCCTAAAGAATAATTTCTGAACCTAAATAGTTTCTTATTGATTTCTTTATTTTCTGTATTATTGATAAGAAGATTTACAAGATTTTTGAATAATCTCGTGAGTACTATTGCTAGATTTTTTAGGACTTTCAAATTAAGATTTCATGATTTTCCTTACCAAAGGTTATGTTTCGAAGTCTTTTATTGAAGTTACAGAAGGTAACATGATATAATAATAAATATATATTGAAATAATTAAAAATCTAAATTCACTAATATTTCCAGGATTAGATTTTAAATTTAGTTAAATATTCATATCAATTTTTTTAGATTCAAAAAGATCCAATCATATTAAAAATCTAATTAATTATCATTTACATAATTTTATATCAAACCGTGTTTTTTAAAATAATAGTCTAATTGATTGATTAAAGAAATATATTAGAATAATTATTTTATAGAAAAATGATTTAAGACAATAATATTCATTAATTTTGTGTAGAGTTTGAAAATTTCAATTTAAAATTATTTTATCTGTGAATTACTTAATATTTTGATTTTGAATTAAACAAAAGTATTGAGTTGTTTGCAATTAAAAATTATTATAATTATAATTATAGAGTCCATTTAAAAATTAAATCACTAAATTGTTCATTCAATATTGTTCTTTTTTTAAAGAGGCGGTTTTGAAGATAGAATTCTTTGTGTAGTCAAGTTTTCTTGCTTTGGAGGGTGATTTAATATTTTAGTTGTTTGATTCACATTCTTATTCTATTTATTATATATCATATATATATATATACTTATTTTAGATTGTCCTAAATTAATTAAGTTTTGCTTTTCATAAAAAATTAATTTTCTATTTGTTTTGATTAATTAAAAGAATTATCAGATGTTGGTTATGTTGTTTAGCATTACTTTACAGCTCTATCTAGAGATTTATGTAAAGAAGGTAAAAAGTATTATTCTGGCTTTTGATTATAAATGAATTTCTTCAGTTAATCACATGATTTTCTTTCTCTCTTTTATTCTTAATTATTCACTAAGAATTACGAAATTTTATTAGAACCAACTGATGCAGAATCTATATTAGACAATTTTTTAGCTTTATCATTAGAATTAGAAGCATTTTTACTATTAATTCTTTAGTTTCTATTTAATCTTAATCGCTCTTTTTCTACAGGTGTTGTTGGATATTTCAATCGATTTTTAATTAGAGGAGTTTTAATTGGACCTGCTTTTTTAAGATACTAAAGGAATTACAAAGCTTTAATCAAAATTTTAATGTTGTTTTAGAGAGTATGAACTTTAAGAGTTTCAATAAATGTTAATGGTGAATCATCTTTTCCTGTAATCCATGGATGTTCTAAACATTAGTTAACACTTAATCGATCTTCTGGTAGATAGGCAATAGTTTTAAGAAGAAAACACTTTGCCTTTTGATTAATTTCATATTCCCAATTCCATTTCATCTAACTAATTTTTTGAGAATAAGACTAAATATCATCCATTTTTTAGAAGAAAGGATGTTTTCCTTAATTTAATAAATTAAACACTACAATTCCTAAAGCCCAAATGTCTACACTCTAAATAGATAACAAAATATAAATTTACTCTATTGTATTTCTTTTTTTAGATTTATTCAGGTGCCATATATAAAATAGTTCCACAATTTTCATTCATTAATTTAGAACCTTCAACATTTGTTAATTATGCTGATAATCCAAAATCAATCAAGGTTACATGTAAAGTTTCTGGATCAATCATGATGTTTTCTACTCTTAGTATTAACATTTACCAGGTTTAATATCTCTATGAATTATATTCTCTTTATGTAAATATTAAATAGCTTCAAGTATTTGTTTTGTTATTAAAATGACTGTCTCATTGTCCAATAAATTTTTTTGGTATTATTTCAATGTAACTCCATTAATTAGATCCATCATTATGAAAAGTTTATTTTTTGTTTCTTTGCTCTATCAATAAGAGTTCAAACATACAAAAGAAACACGCACAACATTTGGATGAGATAATTTAATTAGAAGTTGAGCTTCTTATCTCAAAATCTCTATTTATTAAGAATTAAAAAGAACTTTGTCAATTATTTTGATTGCTACTTATTTATTTGACATATTAAGAGCTTCAATCACAGTAGAGAATGCTCCCTTCCCTAAAATCTTAATAGGTTTGCAATATTATTAAATAAAATTTTTTTGTTTCTCTTCAGGATCTGATAATATATCCTCTATGTTTGTTATTCCATTTAATTTTTTCATATATATATATATTTATTATTATACTATTAAGAATAATATTTATTTATAGTATAATACAATCTATGAAAAGATGAGTAAGACTTAATTATATTATATATATGAGATTATTTTTATATTCTACTTAAAAAGTATAGATAAAAATCTTTATATTTAATATTCTCTTAGAATAAAAAAGTAGGATTGATTATGTTACAATCTCTATTTTGTTTCATATATACAATTAGACTATTATATAACATTATTCTAATCGTAAACAAAATAAAATTATTATAATTAAATGTTGTAAGAAGTATAAGTTTTCTTTATAAGCCCTCTTTCATAATATAATAGGATAAATGACGAATCTTTATAAAAATACAAGTATCTACAATATATGGGATAAAATAAGAATGCATCTATTATTTGTTCCCTGATACATTATGCTTTTAATAAACAAATATCAAGAATCCTAGAAAGATTTCTTGAATTGATAAATACTTTAAAGAATTAACCGACTTCAATGGAATTTACAAATTTAATTGAGTCAACCAAAAATGCGTAGAATCCTGTTTAGAAGTTCTTTTAAAATCTATATCTGATAGATTAGAAAAATGAAATTGCAGGTAAAATACTATTTGATATTTGTAAAATAAAGGGTTGGTTGGATGATAGTTAAATATCATATAATAATATAGCAAAATATTTTTAGATGAGGATTTCATTTCTAACTTGTAATGAAATTTATGGAATCAAATTCAAAGATTCTATTGATCTAATAGTTGATCCTACTAAAAAATTCTATTATTTAATCCCTGAATTAATAATTAAGAACCTTGAATAAATATCATGTCCTTAATGTAAAAGTAAAAATGAATTTATTTAATTGATGTGTGAACATAAACAATGTTACAAATGTCTACTTAAGAAATTAGATCCATTAAAATGTTGTGGAAAACTCAATATCAAATAATATCTATTAAATTAAATTAAAAAGCTAGAGTGTCTAAAAGAATAAAATGAAAAGTAAAAAATATTATAAAAATATTATGAAAGTTCAAATTAATCATTTGGACATACAGAATAATAATTATAATAGAATAGAAGTGTTAGAAATTAATTGAATCAAGATAATGATAAATTAAAGAATTCTTCTGTTATTGATATTCTATATGAATGTAATTTATGTTTTAAAAAGGTGTATACTTAATTATTTACATTATAAGATTGTAAACATAAATTTTGTTATGATTGTATGTTCAGAATAAAGTTACAAAATAAAGATTGTCCCATCTAAAACTGTTTTAAAAAAATAGAGTAAAATGAGGAAGTTTAAACTTGTTAAATCAAAAATAATTCAGATAATAAAGAATAAAAAATTATTAATTAAAATCTAAAATAAAGCATATAAAATTAATCAATTCTTAAAGTAACAGAACAATGTTGGAAATGCTATAAAACATTTAATTATAAATTGTTTGAAATTAAAAAGTGTAATCATAAAATTTGTCTTTAATGTTTATCAAGTATTGAGATGACATATGAATCCATTTATTGTTTCTATTACAAATGTTAATCAACATTTACAAAACATGAGTACAATATGTACATTAAGAATTTACAATCAATATAAAATACTGAACCTCCTCAAATGCAAAAAATAATTATTAACTAAAACTAATCATATTTTAATTGTGAAAATTGTTAGAATAAGAGAAGTGAAGATCAAAAATATGTCTTAAATTGTGGTCATTCTATTTGTTTTACATGTATAACTTAGGATGTATAATATAAAACATCATGTTGTTATTTAACATCATTAGATTTTGATTATTAATAATTTAGGAAAAATCTGATTATAAATTGCTAAGGTTGCCAATGTCCTTTTCCAATAAAAAATTTATTTTAATTGAGGTGTAAACATTTATTTTGTTTAAATTGTTGTTCAAAAATATACTTAGGAAAACCTTAAAGATGTTTGGAAAAAAAATGTGAAAGGCTAATATTTGATATTGATGATCTTTTTAATTTCATTTATAATAAAAAATTAGAGTAAAGTACGGAAATTTCTAACTAAGAAGAATAGAAAAAAAACTCAAATTCTAAAGAGGATTAAGAAGAAAATAAAAATGAATAAAAGTTAGATAAAAAAGATAATAATTAAATGAAAGAATAAAGAAAATTCTAAGAAACCAATATACATAAATTTAGTTATAGATAAAATAATAATAATAAAGAAGAAGAATAGTCTTTTTAAGTCCAAAAATCTGTAATAAATTTAAAGGAATATAAAATAGATGAATAAAAGAAAGAGGATATAAATATACAATCAATAAAATAACAAGAAATTATTACACCTAAATAATAGATTTCCTCTTAAAATGATGAATAGACAAGATAAGATATTTAAAATTTTTTAGATGATAGCTCAGATTTTGAAAATAATTTTGAAGAGGAAATAATTATTTATTAACAAATTGAACAAATTAAATCTGCATAAGAAAAAGAAAATGAGTATTGTAAAGGAAATTGTACAAATTGTAATTAAGAATTTTCATCTTTTAACAGAAAATAATTGATTAATTGTAAATCTCATTAAATTGGAGTTTGCTGTATTTTAATAAAATTTGAAAATTGTCCTCAATGTGAATAAACACTCCCTAAAAAAGTTTCAATAAAATAAAAGCTAATATTACCTACCAATCCAGTAGAAGAGGAATATATGTTTGAATCTACTATTATTAAACCTTAATCAGCAAATTATTATCCTATATCACATCAGTAAACATATTAAGGTTATAGCGAATAATTGTAAAAATTGGAAAGATAGAGGAATAATCAAAATTGTGCTATTAAAAGAAATGTAACAACTGATACTGTAAATAAAAGAGTTTTGGAAAATCAATAAGCTTTTGATGATAAGTATAAATTTAGAAATGAATTTGTATAACATAATGAATTGGCTTTGCTTAAATCTTCTCCTACTCCTTATGTACAGCAATCCTACTATCCATATAGATATGATAGAGTTAATTATGGGGGATATGATCATAGAAACAGATTGGAATTACATAGTAGAGACTTTCATTTAAACTCAAAAATTACAACTGGATATTCAGGGAGATTGAGTTGAATTATCATAAAAGGTTTTACAATTTTGGAATTTTATCCATTTTTATATCAAATTATTTTAAGTTAATACTAATCTAATTTTTATATTTTTCTTATTTATATTATTCAATCATGTATTAAATAATACCAATTTCAGATACAATAAAGTCTCGATACCCATAACTTAAAGATTATTACTTATGCCAATTTTTGGGAGAAAACAAATAATCAGCTATAATATGCTCTATCTTGCATTATCTTTTAAATCGACGACTAAGCAAAAGTCTAGAATACTTTAAAAGTCCAAGGATAAATTATAAATCATAATAATCATAAGAAATCACTAAAATACTGAAAGATTGTATGTAAATGGAAAATCCAATATAAAACTTCTACGAAAAGCTTTTAATATTTGATAAAGATAACCTTATGACAGAAGTCTTACTTTAAGACTTTTGTTATTCTTATTAATTAACATAGAATGGATAAATAAGTTTGAATTCTTTGGCTGATTTCTTAAATTTGAATATTAAAATCATTCCATAATTCAATATTTTAGGTAGAGGCAATAATGATTTAATAATAATATAAGATAATGAAGAATATTATTTTATTATTCCAGAACCATAATTCTAGTTAGAAACCTAAGTTATTTGTTTTAATTGTAGTAGGAATGTCTATGTGTACATGAAACCCTACTGTGATCATTAAATTTGTTGGAATTGTCTCTTAAAAGAGAACCAATAGTGTTAGATGGATGATTTTCGATGTAGATGTGGATAAGTTGTTTTAAAATAGTAAATTGAACAATTTTAAAATGAAATCAGTTCTATAGCTAAAACCAATCATTTTAATTTATTATTGGAATAATTCTATCATCAGCAGAGTTCTAATTTAGTATTAAGAAAGAGTACAATTCGAACTAACAAAATAAAATAGCTCAATGAATCTATAGCAGAGTAATTTACTGCAAGTGAAATTTAGGCTTCTCTTCTTAATGAAACAACTAGGGTTTTAGAGCAATTAGAAGAAGTTTGTTGTAAATGTAATAAAGAATCAAACAAAGCTTATTTTTATTTGAGTAATTGTACACATAAATATTGTATTGACTGCATTAGTTAAGAGTTCTCATATAATAATTGTGGAGGATGTTATTGTGTTGCATGTCCAAATAAAATCTCGAGAAAAGAATACGAACAATATTTATAATAGATAAATATTGATATAAAAAACATCTAAGTATTATCTCTTTAAAAAGGTAATACAAATAACAAGTGTAACAATTGTCATAAAATATTTTCAATATTATTATTTTCAATTGCAAATTGTAAACATAGTTTTTGTGATACATGTTTAGAATAATTATTAGATGTTAATTATTTTTTAGATTACTATTGCACTGTTGTTAATTGTAATGGTACTTTCAAGAAGTAGGATTATGAAAAGTTTAAACAAGAATTTAGATAAAAAGTGTAAATATCATATTCTGAATTAGAAAATTCATGTAATCAGATTTCATGGGATTTTAATTAGTTAAATTAAAGTAAATTATGTTTGTAATAATTTTGTAACTCATAATCTGAAATTAAAGACTAAACTTGCTCAAAATTAAAAAATCCGAATTTAAAAAGTAAAACCATAACTGAAACTAATTCCACAAAAATTACTCTACATAATGAATAAGAAACCAATCTTAATTGGAGTCTTTTAATAGATAGATGCTAATAATGCTTGAAATAATCTTAATATTAATTATTCTAAGTTCCATTATGTAATCACAAATTTTGCAATTCTTGCATTTAGAATTCTATTTAAAATAAATAAAAAGATTAAAAATGTCCTAATAAGGAATGTAAAAGTATATTTACTAAAAGATCTTATTAAAATTATTATAATAATTTATTACTAGATAATGAGATCATAAATACTCATAATATTATATAAAATTAATAGTAAATAGTAAATTAAAAATAAATAACATAATCAGATCATTTAAATTAATAATTGTAAAAAAAAAATCAATTAAATCTCGCATATAATTTTAATGCATTGGCTAAAAGTTCAACAAATAGTACTACTGATTAATAATTTTGCTCATTTTGTAATACTTAGAATGAAACTGATTAAATATTTGTTATCAAATGCGGACATTAAATTTGTATTAGATGTAGTCTACGTCTAAAAGGTGAAAATTTTAGATGTAGTAAATGCTTGACTCTTTTTGACAATATTAAATTTAAATGGTTTAAATAATAATGTAAATATAAATGTGACAATTGTTAGAAAATCTTTCCTGTTGATTAGATTTTGCCAAATTTAATGTGTAGGCATTTCTTTTGTTATTAATGTCTCTAATCAATTTATGAAGATAAAAAGACAATATATTGTTGTGTCAAATCATGCAACAAAATTTTTAATTCTGATCATATTTTGTAATTTTTAAAAGACTTAAAACTTAAAGAAGTAGATCAAAATAAAGCTATTCAAAATAATGCTTTGTAAATTAAAAATAAATAATTCGTGGCCAAATAATAGCTCATTTAATCAAATTCTTCACCTAATGCTTAAATTACAACAGCAAGCTTATCTATTTTATCTGATTAGTCAAAATATAAATAAGATGTTCAAGAAATTAAAAAAATTCAATCTTGCATGATTTGCAATTCTGACTTTGATGACTATAATTAGCCAGTATACTTTGCATGTAATTCTCACATTATTGGCATATGTTGCATACTAAAAAATTATCATGTTTGTTATATATGTGATAAATTGATATGATAATTTTATTATATAAATAATGTAGTTTTAATTTATGAAAATTTTTTATCCGATACCTCCTTTGAATAATATATATAATAGAATATTTAAATAAAAATATTAAACTAATTTTAATGAGCCAATAAAATTCAATATAGGATGTCTATTGTATAAATCAAATACTGAATAATCAATTTAAAAATAGATGCCAGATCAAAAATATATATCACGATTAGAATTTCTAAATTTAGTAGTATAATCAATTTAATTTAATGCTCATTTTTATAAATAATTTATTCAAAATATACTTGAAGTAATAAATGAGGTCATCATGTGAAGGAATGAATTTTCATCCAAATATTTAATTAATTTATCAAAAATGAAGATTTTGCATTTAATGATAAACATAAAATTATGTTAATTAAATGTCTAAATTTTTAAATAAAATTAATATTTTTATGGCTTTCTTAGAATCTTTCGAATTATAAGATTGTGTTAGAATTACTAAATAAGCTGCAATTGAAATTAATGATGATAAATGCATAAATTGGTGGATTAAAGTTTTTCTATATAAAAATGTTGACTTATTTGGCAGAATAACTATTAATTTAAATTATAATATACCATTAAAGGAAAAAGAAATATTTTTAATATAGACTCAATACCGATATGAAAAATTATTTTTTGTTTCAAAAAAATGCATAAATATTAAATTTATACATTAAAAAATTCTTTTGAAAAATAATATAGTTAATATTGGGAATCATCGAGATAATATTAAAGACTATTTATTCAAAAGGTTTTAAATTAAATTCATCAGATAAGAAATCTAATTCTCAATGCTAATTTAAGAAAATCTACCCAAAATTGAATTTAAAGTGTAGAGATCAGTCACAAAGAAATAGCAAATCAAATATCTTAAATTTAGGACAATTAATAAAAAATAGATACATAATTTTTTATAGAAATATTCTTTTCTATCTAAATTAAATAATAAATGATAAAATTAGTAAAAAAATATGCTCAAACATACATTTTGCTTATAAGATTATAGACAAGCCAAATTAAACTCCTCCCAAGCTATTATTTATTTCACTGCCTAAACTCATAATTAAAGTATTCAGATGGAATTATAATTGGAATTAATAAAAGTGTTAGCTCAAATAATTTTAGTGAACTACAGTTTATATTACCTTTGATTATATTAATATTAAATCCAGAAAAAAATATTGAAATTTATCTATCTTCTTACTTTTGTTTTAAAAAACAGAAAATTATTAGAAAAGCTAAAGAATATCTTTAGAAATAATTTTCAAAAATAATTTCTCGAAATCTAACTAAATAATATTTATCTTAGAAGACTTTAACCAAAAAAATAATACCTTGAATATTTTTATGAAGTAATACATATAATATAAATGACTTTCTTAAGATATCAATTTAATAAATTAGTTTAAAGTAGAACTAATTATATTTTGATTCTTCCAAAATTTTAATTTAGTTCAGAATATTAATTCAATCACCTTTCGGATCATGCTCTATGTGAAGTTTAATTTCTTTTAAAAATCTTTAGCAATTCTTTTTTATAAATTTAATAAATTAAGTAAATCCTTATTAAATAACTTGGCATCTTCTAAATTTCTGATATCAATAACTATTATAATTTTTTTTTAAATGTGAGATTGCATATGGTTATTCAAAAGATAATTTATACCTAAACTTGAAAGAAGTGATAATAATTCTATTCTTTTTATGATTCTATGTATGAATTTCCTTATATTCTTACATAAAATCAATTTCACCCAATCTCTATTCTCAGCTCTTTATATAAATTTTTAGAAGAGTTCTTAATTTAATTAAAAGAATTGGTAAATGGAGGATAAAAGTTTTTAATTTTTTTTGAGAGTTTCAAATATAAATTGTAGATTTAACTAATAGTATTTATTGGTAAAGAAAAAATTTATAATTTTTTTTTTTTAATTTTGAACTATGCCATTTCCAAATACTACAACTTTGGGAACAGTAATTTGAAGATATCCAGAATTCCATCTGAAATAAGAATAATGGTAGAATCAAATTAATCTTTTTGAAATAATAGAAAAAGATCCTCAAAAAAAGTTCTAAGTAGAAAGTGATTTTAAGAAATCAGAAGAATCCCAGATATTCTTATTTTAACTATGGAGACACAAATGGAGAAAATGCAAATAAAACAATTTACTAGTGACAATTGATCACCTAAGAGAACACCTTGAAGCTGTTCATATAGGCATCAGTGATTATAACTACAAAATTTTGTTGTATGCCAATAGAAATTCATGGCAGGCAAAAATTTATCAATGAACAAATGAAAAATAATGCTAAGATGATAAAGGAGACTGTCAAGTATGACCAACATGCCCAAAAAAATCCAGTTTAACACATCTTATGCTTATTATTAATATAATCATTATTAAAATTTAATTAAGTTTTATTTTTTTTTTTTTTTTTTTTTAACTTTTAATGATAATAATCATAATAATAATTATTAAATTATTTAAATATCGAATTTATCATGAATTCTCATTCTGGAACTCTCACGGTATTCTCTTTTTTAGTTGAACGTAATTTTGGGCTTTTCGAAATTAAAAGTTACGAATCATATTCTGGAGAAGAATAAAATAAATTAATTTCAGGTCATTCACTTTATTTTGACAACTAGCATGTTCAAATCAGTTATCCTTTTGATTTGATTTATCAGTCAAACTTTTAATTGATTAATAACCTAAATAATGAAGAAATTCTGTAATGCCCAAATATTATTTTTTAGAGAAAACCCAATTAATCATCCTATTTCAAGTAATATAATTTCCTAATTGCTATAAATTGACTAAAGCTCCCCTCTAATTTTCTAATCACTATAAATTGACTAAAGCCTTCCTCCAAACGATACGCAAAGCATATTATTATAGGAAAGTACAAAGAAGAATATTTTAGGCTAATAATGGACGTCCTACAAATGAATTTGCATCTGAACGAGTTAATCCTATTTTAGAAGACGAACTATTTTCCCAATCACCCAGTGGCCAAAGACCTCTTCCTTAAGACACACAAAGTATATAAATGAAGGAATAAAGATCAAAAGTCTTTTTTTTAGATGATAATGGCTAAATTTTCAATGAATTCTTAAGCATAAACACTAGTTCTTCATGATTATACTTTATACTATATTTTAATTAAATGAATCAAAAATTAGTCAATGCTTCGATTATGCTCATTTTATAGGATTTATGTAGGTATTGCAAATAGACTAAAAAAAATCCGAGAGATTTGATAAATTGTTATGTTCAACCAGGTAAAAAAGGCATGGATGTTTATGGTTTTTTAGAAATGGTAAAAAAAATATTACCTTTTGCTTAAAATGAAATGATTGAAAAAACTTTTTCATTTATACAATAGAGATTTGAATATCAATAAATAACTAGTGAAATTTTTGAAGAATTGATGAAAAAAATTGAATCTTAAATGACCAATTAAGAATTATTTTAGCAAATAAATTTCAAAACAAATTGTTAGAATGTATCAGAGTAATAAAAGAATATTTAAATTTCTAATTAATCCATTTAAGTCAATTAAATATAGAATTAGCATGAAAAAAAACCAATATTTGATTAAAATTTTAAACAATCAGACTATTCGAATTACAATTCTATACAATAGCTGAAATAAAATATTTCAAATTAAGTTGTTTAAAAATGCAATAGATCTGAAATAGAATTAATTAAAACTTTCAGTACAAAATTAAATAATGCTAATATTAGTATTATTGATGTTTTTAATAAATTTGACAACAATAAAGATCATATGATGAATCAATTAGAATTTTAGAAGATGATTTAGATTGTAATTAAAGATATCAATGAATATGAATTAAAAACACTTACTTAATGGGTTTTTAAGGAATAAAACAAAGAATTAACAACTTTTCAATTTAAAAAGATCTGTGAGTTTCAAGAATAAGTTATTCCAGTTGTTCCATAATCTAATATTATGGAATCAAACTATTTTGAAAATCCTGCTAATTAGAAAATACTACAATCTAATTATTAATTCTAAGAATTCTATGTTTCTGATTACAATCTTGTAGCTATGAAAGAATTTGTTTAGAAATATCAATAATTAAAAAGTCAAAATTAATTATATATTGACCCTGTTTTTCCACCAAATTAATAAAGTTTAGGAGCTAGATTCTAGAACTTTTAATGGAAAAGAATACCAGAGTTTATATAAAATCCAAAATTCTTTGTCAAAGAAAATACAATTAACAGATTTGGTATAGGTAAATGGATAACACCAGATGATTTATAATAAGGGTAATTAGGAGATTGTTATTTCTTAGCTTCAATTAGTTCATTAGGAAATAGGAGACCTGATTTATTATTAGAAACATTTGTTACTAGAACTTTCAACCCTCAAGGTCTCTATGGTGTCAAATTGTGTATAGATGGTGAATGGAAAGTAATTGGAATAGATGATTATATTCCAACTTACTACAACAAGCCTGCATTTACAAGAGGGAAAGATTAAGAAATATGGGTTATGGTTATAGAAAAGGCTTGGGCTAAAGTATTTGGTTCTTATGAAAATATTGAAGCTGGATTTCCTTCAGAAGTCTTAAGAACTTTAACAGGGGCACCAACAAGAAGCTTATTTACGAATGATGAGAAATTTATTGAGGATTTGGAAAGTTGTATTAAGAATAGATGTATTATGGTATGTTCATCCAAAAATGAGAATAAACAATAATATAAACTTATGGGATTAATATCTGGTCATGCATATACAGTATTAAAAATTAAAGATGTAAATGCAAATACAAAATTGATAAAACTTAGAAATCCTTGGGGAAAAGAAGAATGGAAGGGAGATTGGTCAAATCAAAGCTAAATGTGGACTCCTGAGTAAAAGATACAATTTAAAATAACAAATAATAATGATGGAGTGTTCTACATGAGTATCAAAGATTTTCTTAAATATTTTGATGACTTATCTGTTTGTTATGTGAAAGAAGGATATTAATATTAGTCTATATTAGTTCAATCAAATAATAAGAAAAGTGAATATTTTAGTATCTAAATTTAAAAGCCTGGATGTTATTATTTTACAATAAATTAAAAGAATGTCAGGTATTAAATTAAAAAAAATAAATAGATTTGAGAATAGCAATAACTATTCTCCTACAAAGATTTTGTTATTTAAAGGGGATTGTTTAATTAATGGTAATTTTAAGTGTGAAAGAGAATGCTGGTTGAGTAGTGATCTTGAATAGGGCTTATATACACTTGTTATCAAGACTTAATGGAAGTTTTCTAAAACGAATAAATATACTTTATCATCATATGGACCTGCTCAAGTCAACATTAATAAGATAAACAAGATTCCTAATTTATTATAATAGGCATTTCTTTAGTTAGCTAGAAAAAGCATCAAAAAGAAGGGTTATTAAAAGCATCCTGAAATTAAGTAAGCTTATGAATTTCATCTTAAATAAGGGTATCAATATCTGTAAATAATTAGTTATGGATTTTATTATGTGGAAAATTTAAGTGGTAAGAGTTTTGAAAGCAAAGTAAAATTTTCATAAATGGATGGTTTAAAACTCAGAAAACCTTATAGAGGAAATAATTTAGAGATTAAATTATCAGAGAATCAAGAGTTCTTAGCTTTATTAAGTGTTTCTAATTCTGGTTATGCTTTTGGAGTTGAAGAATAGTATGTCGTAAAATGAATAATCTGATTAAATCCAAATGACAAAATGAATCCTATTATAAACTTAGATTATATTTATCATTTCGATTGAAAATTAAAATATAAATATTATTATGATAAAATCTCTTAAGTGTATTAAATGTTAATTGGAGACAAAAGAAAGTGCATCTTATAAAGCAAAATGTGGACATCTATATTGCAATAAATGTATTGACCAGATAACTGCTGAAGGAGGTTCAAATTGTTCAGAAAAACAATGCTCTTATTTTCTAAACATATCAGATCTAATGAGCAGGCAAATGCAAAAACTAACAGGAAGCAATCAAATGGTATTTGGGAAATAGATTACAATTTTTTAAGGAGATTCTAAAAAAATGAGTATAATAGCTATTTATTATAGCATCACCTTCTTAATAAAATAAAGCAACAGCTATAAAATAAAATAATCAAAATTCCAATACTCCAATAAAATAATAAAAAAATACTCAACCTAGAAGATCATTTTAAGAACGTTCCCCTGTTGTAATTTAAACAAAATCTAAATCTCAAATGCATAAAATAACAGATAAGGTATTACAATAATAAAACAGTACAAAGATTTTTCAACCAAAATAATAGCAAACTTAATAAAGATAATAATAATAACAATAATAATAATAACAATAATAATAATAACAATAATAATAATAACAATAATAATAATAACAATAATAACCAAAAGTAATTCAATAATAACAAAATTAATAAATAAAATAATTGATATAACCTAATTAAATATAACCATAAAAATAAGAAATTAATATTGAGGATAGAATGACTGAATCTATCTAATATAAATGTGATTATTGCAATACAAATAATTCTGGATTATTTCATAATGAAATATGTGACCATAGGTTATGTTATGATTGTATCTAAAAATATTATGAGGACTTCTGTGTCTGTTTTGTTAAGGATTGTGGTTGGTAAATCAATTAGGAATAATTAAACTAATTCATGTTAACTTATGTTACCTTTCAATTAAATGAAGTTGAAGAAATCAAATTAAAAAGACAGCAGTCTTCATCTGATCAATAAGATATTCTAATTAGCAAATTTTAATTTGAAGAAGTCACTTTATAACATATGTAAATCTCAAATATGAATGAATTCATAAAAACTTTTGATGAACTCAAAATTAAGGAAAAAAATTATATTGATCTCAAGTTTGGTCCAAATGAAAAAAGTGTTGGGTCCAATTACACTGTCACATGGTAGAGATTGAATGTTATTTTTAATGGAGATTATTAATTTTTTGCAAAATCAAATGATAATAAAAGGTTTGGATTAGGAAAGTACATAGGTCCACAAGATATAATATAAGGGTAATTAGGAAATTGTTATTTGTTGGCTTCAATATCTGCATTGGGAAATAGAAGACCTGATTTATTATTAGATGCTTTTATAACAAGAGCAATAAATGAATAAGGAATATATTGTATAAGATTATGTATAGATGGTATATGGAAGGCCATATATGTTGATGATTATTTCCCAGTCTATCCTAATTTAACTCCCATTTTTACTAAAGCTAAAAATAATGCAATCTGGGTCATGGTATTGGAGAAAACTTGGGCAAAGTTATTTGGGTCTTATCAAAATAGCGCATCAGGTTCTATGTAAGAAGTGCTAAGAGCTTTAACTGGTGCACCAACAGAAGTTATCTGGACTCAATCTCCAGAATTTATTGCTTAACTTCGAAAATGCCTTGACAATAGAGTGATTATGGTTGCAGCTACTTAGAGTAGTGACATTCAACCAATTACATAAGGATTGGTTCCAAATCATGCCTATTCTGTTCTTAAAATCAAATAAATAAATCATCCAAAAAGAGGATAAGTGGAATTGTTGAAATTAAGAAATCCATGGGGAAGAAAGGAGTGGACAGGAGATTGGGGATAAGATAGTCCATTATGGACTCCATAATTAAGATAGGAATTAAAGTTAGATATAGAAGATTCAGGTGTATTTTATATGGATATTGGATCATTCATGCAATAATTTAGAGATATCCATATATGTCATGTCAAATAAAATTATTAATATTGTGCAACTTAAATCAAAACCAATAAAAAAAAGGCTGTATACTATTCTTTTAAAATTACAAGGGAAGGAGATTATTACATTACTATAAATTAAAGAAATCAAAGATGGGCAGGTAATCCTAAATATAGTAATGCCAAACTACTTATTTGTAAAAAAGAAGAAAACAATACATATACATATATAGCTGGTAAACTTAGTTAATTTGGTGAAGTATGGTGTAAATGTACTTTAACAAAGGGGGAATATATAGTTTTTGCTAAAGTTTTTTGGGAATATCATTAAGAATTTTTCTTTGTTCTTTCTTCTTATGGTGTAGAAAAATTAGAATTCAAATAAATTAAAAAAGTTCAAGAAATGTTATCAAGTGTTTTCATTAAAAAAGGATTTCTTTAATAACCCAAACGAAGTTATGACACAATGGGATAACCAAAGATACAAAGTTGTTATAATTTAGATAGACTGGATGGTTGGGGTTATTATTTTATTGACAATTAATCAAATGTTAAATTAATTAGTAAAATATCCTTCCATAAATTTTATGGATTACGATTTTGTAAACCTCATAGAGGAGTCACACTCAATATTGAATTGCCCCCTGGGAAATAATTTATAGCTGTAATCAAAGTGCTATCAGGATATGAAATAGAATTTACTCAAAAGGTTCAATTTCAACAATGATGCTTATATTTAGTTTTTGTAATTTAGTATAATTAATTTGTAAAAATATTATTAATGTAAAACTAATTAAAAAGTCATAATTGTTCCTCAAGAGATTCTATTTCTGTACTAATCCCAGTACTCAAAAAATAGACCTCTTATTGAGTATCTTCTCCATTTTCTAAATATATATTATAATCAATTTTATACAGAAAAAATTAAGTAATTATTGATATCGCAGTTTAAATATGGAATTTTTAATTCATCTAATTATTTCATTAACTCATAAGAAAAATATTTAAGAGTCAATTAATTTAAACTAAAAAATTTAATCAATTAAAATTTTATATCAACTTCTTAAATTGCTCTAATATTTAATAAACCAAATTACGAAAGAATAGCTCTTATAAAAATTTCAGCATGAAATTATTTTGGTATTTAAAAATTTGGTGTGTTCTATTCAGTAAATGATATAGTCTTATGTCCTTTCTATTGTAAAAATTATTTATAGACATTGAATATTTGTAGTAAATCTTTGGCATCCTATGTTTTAAGAATATTGTATTACTTAATAAAATGGCTATCTTACATGAAAGATTTGAACAGAATTGACATTTTCTGCGCTTGTTATTATTAAATCTCCAATATTCACTATTATTATTATAGAGTAACATTAATACTTTGTTAGAGAAGCTCATTTGCTTTTTTATTTTTATCTCTAATCAATAGATAATTATATTAATTACCGTTTTGATATATAAAACCAGTCTGGTTCATGAGAAGAATTCACTAATAAAGAGTTTAAAATGTACCTACAACATCTACTAATTCTTCTACAATATCAGCTTATAATATTTAAATAGTTGTTTAATTAATAGTTCTTGTATTTATAACTTTTGATTCAGATTATAAGCTATGTTTTTTATCTTCTTCTATTCCACAAATATCTAATTAAAAATTTAATAATACTGTTTCCCATTCTAAATTGATTTTTATTAATTATTTAAGAACATTAATTGATATTCATAGAATTCATGATATTAATTCAAGTTAACATGATTCATAAATTTTAAAGAATCTTAAAGTAAGAGTACTAAAAAGATATGTAAACTTATTTTTATCATATCTTTAAAGAATAAGAAAATGAAAAATAAATTCATTATTAATTAGATATATTATCATTAATCTTCAAATTTCTTTTTGGAAAAAACAAATCCAATAGTTCAAATCTCATTTGTGTCATGATTTTATATCTTATATTTTCATCCAACTATAATTAGCTTAAATAATTAGCAGCTATGCATGTATAATATCCACAACTTGTACCATCCCACTATTTTAGAAAATTCTATTTTTTTTCTACTTAAAATTAAAAATTTATATCTTTAGTAAGAGCTTAAAATACTGTGTTAAAAAAGAATACTACTTATGAAGATAGCTATGTGAATTAAGAATCATATAAAACAAGCAATCTATCATCTAATTTCACTTCGATAAATTACCAATGAAAATTTGAACTATTAACTACAAATCCAATCTTTTAATATATCCGCCAAAATTTGTATTAGATGGCACTAAATTATTTAATCTGTTCTAAAAAAAGACATAAAAATTTCGATTTAATAAATTCTTAATTTTTAGGTTCTTATTATTTGAATATGCAATTAGTTATGAGAGATGAAGGAAATAAAATTAGTCTTTTATATTATTTTCTTTTACTAGGAGGCAAGGAGAAATAATTAATTTCATCTTGAATTTATAAATAGTTCATATATCCATCTATAATATTGGTATTTAGCATCATTTTAGGATTATTTAGTATATGAAATTCTGGATCAGATATATTTTGGTTATATTTATAATTATTTTCCTCATCTTTGAACTTTAAAAAGTATGAAAATCTATCTTGAACTATTTCTTATTTGTCTTAATAGGTTATAATCTAAAATTATTTTAAATACATAATATTTTTATCATTAAATTTGATTGTATCAATTTATATAGTTTTCTTAAATAAATTGGATTATTCATACAAATCTAGATCACCTTAATTGATGAATTTGATGTTATTCTTGGATTATATAAATATTTCATCTTCAATTGGTATATAATGATATTCCAATAAATATTCATTAGGTTCAATATTTTATTATTGTAAATCTTATATGTAAATTTGATATTCTGAATTGATATATTCTATGTATTTTTCAGAAATTTCAATCTACTTTTAATTCTATTATTAAATTGCTTATTATATGTTCTCTTCGAATAGTTTCAAATATATTTATTTAATTTCAAGTTATAAACCACAGAAATTTCTATATAATTAAGATTACTTCAATCTCTAAATTTCATCTGAATTATCTTCATTATCTTTACATTTCATTTTATTTATAATAATAAAAATTATAAAAAAATAAAAAAAAATTCAATACATTTTCTAAATTCATTTTCCTTTCTTCAGTTTCTTATAAAACAAAATGCTCTTTAAATTCTATTTCATATCTGTCTTATTTTTATAATTAACTATATTCGATAAGTTACTAATATATTCAAGAGCAATACAAGTATATTAACCACATGAATAAGCATCAGATTAATTTAAAAAATTAGATTTAACATAAATTTTGAATTTATATTAGTCTTATCGAATGTTTTATTATTGTAATTGATTCTTTTGAAGTTCATAAAATAAATATGATAACAAGTCTCCCACCATATAATAATGTTGATGGTTTCCCTTTAAAGAATCATATACAAATATATATCTCTCTGTTACATTTACTGTAATCAGATACCAATGAGAATTATTTTTATTTATAATAAATGCAATATTTTGATAAATAAGCCAAAATTAATATTGAATTGTTTTAAAAGATTCTAATTTTTCTAACATTAATAATAACCATTTTTCTTTGAAAGGTTAAGTATTTAAATTACAATTAGTAATAAAATCGGATGTAAAAATAAATAGTCTCTTATAGCATTCTCTTAATGATTTTGATAATCTGAAGTATTTTTTTTCATCCTAACCAAATAAATAATTAGCATATCCATCAATCATGGAACTTGTCCAAAATTTGCCTGTTTCATTAAGCAATTATTCTTCTTTTCTCCCAATACATTAATTTAATTTGACAAAAGGATATTGTGAATGTTTCTGAAAAATTAATATCTGTTCTTATTCATTTGTTTATTCTATTTTATTTATTTATTCTAATTTATTTATTTATTCTAATTTATTTCTTTATACTAATTTATTTATTTATTCTAATTTATTTATTTATTCTAATTCATTTTCATTAAATAGATCCTCCTCATAACGAATGGTAGCTTTTTATATCATTTTATCTTCATCTATATATTTCGTATGAAACATCTCTAATATCATAACAGCCTAATTTTAATTATTATATTCAAAGATTTAGTCTTATTTTATACAACTACAATTTACAACAGATTTACATTAAGAATTTGCATCTTAAATATTCTTTTTAATTTTTTTCTCTTAATTAGTTCTCCAATTCTATAGATCCTATTGAAAATCATCATATATGTATTTTTTTATATTTTCATTTTTTTATTCTTGTTAAATTAAACAATACATTGTTTAAATCTACAATTATTTTGGTTTATAATCAATATGAGGTAGTTGTATTTAAGTAGTTGTAGGATTGAAATTATTTGTTTTGCAATCAATTTAATTTTAATTCTATTACTATATTTTGTTAACTTAACACTTATCATTTTATTCATCATGACCCCCATGGGATATAATATATTTTTTATATGGAACTTACAAATATTGCAATAATAGAGATAATTTTTCATTTATATAATCTAAAAATTCAGATTATTATGTTTCAATAACTTAAAGTGGTTTTTAATATGTTTTAAAAGCTTGTCCAATTTAAGATGTTTATTAAACTTTTTAATATTCATTTTCTGATATTTCAACTATTTTAAATAATTTTCTATGCTACATCAATAATAATTATTTTATTTTATAAATCTAGTATTTCATAAATATTTCTACTTAATATCAATTATTCTAATAGATCTTTTAAAATACTCAAAAATTCATTAAATTAATAAATATTAAACTCATTAATCATCATCATCATCACTGCTGTTATTTTTATCCATTAAAGAACGCATATATGTATCTATTGGTACTACCTTTCTCGGAATCTCTTCATCTTTTAATTTATTCATTAGTGATGGGTTTCTTTCTGCTTTTACCATACTTGAAGTTTGAGGTGTCATAAATCCTCTAAAAGCCCAATGAATTTTAAAATAATAAGGATGAGTTTCAGATAATCTTAGATCCTAAAATTTATTATTAAAATAATACATGATCTGGAATCATATGCTAAAAAACACATAATGGTTATTGATCTATAAATTCACATATATATTCTGCATATTAGAATAATGATTTTCCATAATCTCCATACTTAAATAGAACATTATCTAAAAGTGCTGCCTTCTTATGAACTTTCTAATGAGTAGTTGCATGTTATTTGAATTATGAATACCATCTATAATAATTTCAATATTCATATTACCTTCTAGCCTCTTAATGAGTTTTAAAGACTAAGGCAACTTTTTAAATTCTCTCTTTTCCTGTTTTTTCATATAAATCAAATCTTGCTGATTAAACATCAGTTTCAGGTGGTTTTGTAGGAATATGCTACTCAATGTAGCTTCGTCCTTCTTCCGAAATAATATGACTATTCATTACACAATCCATTATAGTTTCTGCTAATTCATCTATTTCCATTGACATTGTTATTATTATTCCAAATTTTTTGTTGTTTCTCTTAATATTTCATTACCAAATATTACAATGAATATATAATATATAAATTATAAAATCAATTATTTTTTACAAATTTTTGATTGTACATATATATTATTCAATATAATATAAAATATAATTTACATAACTTCACAAAGGTTGAGTCTATTATTTTTCTTAATATTCTTTTATTTATTAGTTTTGCCACTCAATATTAGGATCATACTTATAAAAAGGATGAATAGTCTATGTTTAAATAGAATATAATTACCTTTGCTTATGGATATTCTTACAAGAATTGTAAATCTTCTGATTCAAGATTCTCTTCAAATTGTTTTTCTTGAATAATTCTTTCACAATGTAACTCTATTAATAATAAATTTAATTTACTTATTGTTTAATCTAATTATGTCTTTATTTATATGTTATTCCAAAATTATGTATCAAATTGTATCAAGTCTGTCTAATATTCTTTAATGTATGGTAATAGTGTTCCTTAATATTTATTTACTAAATTTATTATATAATAGTCTTACAAAACTATATTAACAATAATTAATATTTGTGATTTACAATACGATTCTATTCAGTTTCATTGTTTCTCAATTTGTTTAATAATTTAGCACATAATAAAGGTCTTTATTAATTTATATATAAACAAACTATTTATTTAAATGCTTAAAAATTAACTTCTTTGTTATTTAAATTAGTATGAATTAAGACTTAAGCGAATTTATTTTACATTTTAATAATGTCTTCTGATGTTTTTAATTGATTTAAAAGTTATTCTCCTGAGAGATCAAATTTTCTTTATATTTCTCTATTAAAAATATGTCCTTCTATTGAAAACTATTCTCTTAAGGTTTTTTCTTCTTACTCTTTTTATTGCTACTTTGCTAACATTTTTTTTTCTTTTGGTGTTAATTTCTTTTACTCTAATTTTCTCTATTCTTAAACTTTTAATTTAAGTCTTTCTAAACCTTCAATCATCAATCCTGCAGATTAAATAAAATATTTAGTATCATATCTCTTATCTATAGCATCTATCATTTATAATAAAGATCTTAATGTATATCTTCTTATTGAATATTGATAAAAATCTAATTAATCATCACACATTTCTTAAAACTATTTAAATATTAAATTAAACTACTATAAGGCAGGACCAAGATAATTCAATCTTAATAATGTTCTACCAATATTGAGTTCAAACCAAATCATTTATAATTCATATGGATCTGATCCATCTTTTAAGAAGAGACTTAATAAATCTTATGATAAAACTATCATATTTGCTTGTAAAGCATATTTAATTGTCTAATTATTTAAATATCTATCTGCTAAATCTAGTTATCTTGCTCTATCAGCATATTCATAAGCTTCTTTAAATTATTGTAATTTTTTAAGAACTTTTGCTTTAATCAAGTATAACTCAGGTAATGTAGCAGTATGTTCTATAGCTTGATTAATAAATTCAAGAGATTTATTGTAATCTTTAATTTAATAGAAATGTTATGATAACAACATCATAGCCCAAAGTTATTCAATTGAACTTTTATTAAGATATGTTTCAAAGGATGTTTGCATAATTTCAATCTTGTGAGGATCAGTGTATAGATGTTTAATTTCTCTGAATAAAGAAGGTAAAGACTTTTAAAAAAATGGATCAATAAATTAAATGAAACTATTTTAAAATGATTCTTTTTCTTTTTATGCAAGTAATCTTCCTTTTACTAGAGTATTATCATAGATTGATAAATCTACTTAGGGATCTGCCTTTTATAACATTTAATAATATTTCCAATTTTAAGGTTATAATTCAAGCAATTATTTAACTGATTGAATTGCATTTACATTATCTCCAATTTTAATATAGAAATCATATTCAAGTTCATAAAATGAAACTAAATCAGTAATATCACTAAATTATAATTATAATGAAATTACTTTTTAAAATCATGTAAATATTGTTTAGCTCTTTGAAAGTCTTTAGCTTCAATAGCTAATTAGATTTAATATAATTTAAATTCATTGATTTCAACTTTTTTGATTGGATTTTATGTATCCTTTTTAATTACATCTTCAGTCAATTTGATAGCATTAAAGGCACTTGCATAATTGGATACTAAATGTTGACTAAGAATAAATGCAATCCAATTTACTACCATACCTGGTTTACTATTTAATAGTTTTTGTCTTAGCCAACTATTTCCTTCAAAATCTCTAATATGAATAGATAGATTAGCAGTATCTCTTATTAATTAAAGATTTTCTTCTCCTTTATTGATTGCTTATATAAAACATTTGACTGCTTAAATATAATTCTTTTCAGCTTTTTAGATTAAACCATATATGTGCCAACAAAAATCAGATGCTAAATTCTTAAGTACAGCCTAATATGCTAAGGCAAGACCTGCTTCACGATCTTCAGTGTAATACATGAAGATTGCTTTAAGTGAAACAATTTCTTAATTATCTGGTACTTATTCTAATAATTTTTCTGAATGTTTCAATCCTTTTTTATAATCTTTAGCTTCTAATAATCTCTTAAAGATATATAGATATATATAATTACCATTAATGATTTAAATTCATTGTTTTGTTTTGTATTTAATTCTGTTTATTTCATATATGGTATAATTATATTATATGAATAATTAATTTAATTAGAAAATGAATTTTCAATATAGAAATTTATATATATATATTATTATTTAATTTAAATTTTTTTGTATATGAATTAAAGCAATTTAATAGAAGACTTAAATGGATCTAATGTTTCAAGATTATTAAAATAAATAAAAGAAAGTAATAATAAATGATATGATAGTCACTTAGGATGAATTATATGAGGAAATGACATAATTAAAAACAAGAGTGTTAGGATTATTAAAGGATTACCAATCATCTTTATAATAAAAAGAGAATATTAGACAATTAAATCAATAAATACGTAAGGATGTAACAAACATCAGCAATGATTATAGTTAAATAGTTGAAAAGATGAACTAGAGTGTTGATTGCACATTTATTTCGATTGAGAGTATTACACCATTTTAAAAGAATGAAAAAGTAACAATTAATAAATTTATAAGGAAATGAATAAAATGTTTAATTTGGTTGAAGAGTTTCTTGAAAAATTTTAAGGAAAAAAAGCAAATTATAATTTATATACTAGTTTTATTTCAGATAAAATGGAACGATCTGGAATATCTATGGCAGATACTAGTATTATAGATGTTAACTGTAGAATATCAATTATAAAGGATTAAATATCTTCTAATTTATCTGATAAAAAATATAGTTAATTAGTTATAATGGAAACTGTGGATGCTTTATAGGAAGCATTAAATTCATAGAAAATAGAAAAGATAAGATCTATAATAAAAAGAATAGAACATTATATGGCTTAATGTTAACATGATCCTAGTGATTTATATTAGATGTTATAAAAAGCAGTTGAATCTTGTAAAGAGAAAGAAATAGAATTATAAAATTAATCTATAATTGAAGATAAAGATATTAAAAGAAGATTTTTTGATTTAGCTTTAGAAATTAAGAGTGAATTACCTATAAATCATCCTGGTAGAAAAGTATTGGTTTCAGTTCTCTTTGAAAAAGCATAGAATATAGATGAATCTTAATGGCATGATTGGATTCTTGATTAATTAAGTTAACAAAATTGATAAATAACTATTTTAATTATCTCAGGTGTAACTTTTAATAAAACTCAAAGTTTCATTTAATTATTAGCTATAATGATGTTTTTTCTCTCTAATTTTTAGAATTAAATCTGTAACAGGATGCATTTATGAAATTGATTTAATAATTACAGTTTATCCTTTATCCATAGGTTATTCATCAATAATCATTTAAATTTCATAATCACCATTTTCATCTTAATCAATAATTTTTTAAGCATCTTCAGCAGATGATAATATTTCTACATCATCTTTTTTATTAATAATTGTTAATAATTGAGTTGATTTATTTTTACTAGAATTAGATGCTAATAATAAAATATATTATTACATAAAGAATCATTCTTTCTATGAATTGCTTATGTAATTATAGCTTAATTTTTTTTGTATTTCCTTAAACCATCTAAATCATGAAAACTTGTTTTACGTATTTGAGTTTCTATTTAATTTTATTTAAATACCATTTTATGTATGTATATCATCAGATAAAAATCTATCTCTACGAAAAGATTTAAATTCATTAACTGATTCTTTTTCCATTTATTCAATTGGATCAAAGTTTTATAAATATGCAACGTTTACTGTCATTTTATTTGATAATTAAATTTGTAATGTAGCTATTAAATTAGGATCAATCCAATCTGTACTTTTATTCTCATTCAAATGAATGATATGATCTATTTCATTATCTTACTTTTATTATAATGGAGTTAATTATGTTAATTCAATGCATTTTTCAAAAAATTACTAAGAATTCTCGTTTATCTATTGTAAATTACACAAAATATTCCATTCCTCTACTAAATAAGGTTTCAATTATTTTTTCAAATAAAATTGAATTGCTAAATTATTTTCCCCATTAGAATTCCATCTCTTTCTAATTAAATTACATTCAAGATTAAAATTCATATCCACCTTATGTTTATACCTCTTTTACAAAATACATTTAGCTATTTGTTATGCAATATCAAGACAATTTAATATGCTCATTGAATTTATAATATTATTTCAAAATGACTCATTATTATTATATATTATAACAATATTCACTCCAATTAAGAAATCTTCTCTATCAAAATCTCTATAACAGGCTTAAGCCATAAATCAATATCCTCTGACTTTTTGAGTTTCATAAGTTCCAAATTCCCATCATTTTCTGAATAAATCACCTTTAAACATTTGTCTGAATTGATATCAATTGATATAAGGGTTTCTTAATTAAATATTATTCTTACTTAAATGAACACAAATATTCTTTTGAGGACAAATGAATTATAATTCACTATTTTAAGTATTAAAAGATAGAATATAATCAACAAAGCGACCCATATCTTTAACACTAGCTTATACAGATAATTTTTAAGATTTAGTTTCAGAAATTCCAACATAATTATTCTTAAATCCTTTTGTTTCAGAGTTTCTAAATCTGATCTTTGATTTTGTCACTTCAATCGATTACTTTTTATTTAAGATTTTCTCCATTATACGATCAACCTATTTTTCTAATTCAGTCAATTCTTCAACTCTAACAAGATCTATACAGGTTTCAATTAACTATAATGATATTTTAATGACAATGTACATTTAAGAATCTAACTAAAAAATATTTTACTATCTTTGTAAAATAAATGAAGAATATATTTGTATACTCATCCATTTCCAATTTTTCAAATACTCCATATATTAATGAATGCCATCTTGAATGTGGTAGCATAATATAAAATTTGATAAAAAAAGGAGCAAAGTATCCAAAAGGAATAAGTTCTAAAAACAACATAAATACAGGTTCAAATTAAATAAAAGTATAAAGCAAAAACCTAATCTAAATAAATATTTAATACCATTTAATTAAAAGAGCATCTCCTTCTTGAACATTCTATTTTTTGAATGCTTCACATGTTTTCCAAGTTAATTGAAATCCACAATAGACACTCAAGATAATTTAAAACACTTTACTTCATTATTTTGGCTCCATATACAATTAGAGACATTAATTTTAATTAGGAATTATTTTTTATTATTATTTAAGTTCTTTATATTTAAAATAAAAGGTATATGGAGAGAACCTATTAAAAATTTAAATAAATCAGAATTAATGAAAAAAAAAACAATAATAATAATTAGATATTTTTTAAACTAATAAAATTAAAGAATAATCTTATAATATTGGTAAATCTTTGTAGATTCGATAACTCTTTTTAGTAATTAAAGTATCAAATTTATTTATATCATTTAATTATTTCCTTATTAAATTAGTATTTCTATTTTATCTTAAAATCTTTATGATTATTGTATATACAAGATACTATAGTTATTGTTTTAATAAATAATGTTAAAACTTATAAATCAGAATTATAATTGATATTCTGTATAAATTTAATAAATTTGGATATATTATATTCTCAATCTAAATATAATAATGATTAACTAAAATATATTCATATATTTCATTTGATATTTTATAAGTAACCAACAATTTCATCACATACTAAGTAACCCTCTGGAATTTTTAATTTGATATTATCTTCACTTATAATAAAGTATTCCTCAAACTTTTTCATAGCCTCCAATAAAGATTATGATAATAAGGCTTTATCTATACCCCACTTAGTTCTTAATCTACTCATTAATAGTATTCTTTATTTTTCAAATTGAGAACTTTCATCCTCAATTAAACAACCTTCTCCAGATTCTACAAACTGATAATATTTTTTCAATGTATTAGGTCGAGTTATCCTAATTAAATTTTAAAGAGAAGTTGCACCCATTCCAAATCCATAAAAATTGCTATTTCCATACCAATAATTTCTATTGTGTTAACTTATATGCTTTTCTGATTTTGCAAAATTAGATATTTCATAATGATCATATTACTATAGAATTTGATTTACTTTTGTGTAATTGCATGTTTGAATTTCAATATTAGGAAGAGGATGTATACCTTCTCTATAATTCAATTTTTTATAAAAATAGGATTCTTCTTCTATGCTTAATGAATATGCAGAAATATGTCCTGGTTTAAATTGTTCAACAAACCATTTTAAATCTTCAAGTGAACTTTGTCCAACTTCTGTAGGTAAATTATAAAGAAAATCAAAAGAACAATTATCAAATGTTCCATAAACTTTTTCAATCATACCAAGTGCATCATCTATATCTTTTCTTAGATGACTTCTATTTAATCTTTGTAAAGTCTCATCCTATAATGATTAAATACCTACAGAGAGACGATTGAACTATATACTTTATTTATTTAATACCCCTAAACTTTTAAATCCTTAAAGTTTATCTTTATTGAATGTTTTCGGATCTGCTTCAATAGTTATTTCTGCATTTGATTATTTCTTAAAGCAATTCAATATTAACTTTTTTCAAAATTTTAGATACTTGCAAACTCTCTAATGAGAGAAGAGAAGGTGTTCCTCCTCCAAAATATATTGTTTTTAAAGGTTCTCCTTAATAATGATTTTGAATATCCTTAATCAAATATCCAATATATTGTTTTTCCAAACATTGTTTATAATAGTTTTAATTTACTTCTGTCTATCCAACTACATGAACAGGAAAGGCACAGTAAAAACATCGTTTTAAACAAAATGGAATATGTATATAAGCACTCATTCAAATAAATTAATTGTCATCACAAATTATTATTATAATCAAATTAAGAGAATATTTAGATGAAAATTATATCTATTGTGTATGGAATAATTAATTAATTAAACACTTCATTTTATAATCACAAATTAATTTGAAGTAACCTTATCAAAATATATTACTTACTTATCTTTATTCAAAAATATGAGTAATAAATAAAATAATTTATGCTTTTAATTATATTATAATATATGATAATTGATTTTTTATTTCATTTATAATATGTTTTTAATAAAAAAACTCAGATATATATTAAATTTATATAAATATATTGATTGTGAATTTGTATCTACAAATAAAATTATCTTCATTTTAAATAAAGAAGGAAATTTATAAATGAAAATATAAAATATGTTAAGAATAAGATATTATAAAATTTGATTTTAAATAGTATAAAATTGATTTATAATAATATTGGTTAATTAGAGTATTAATATAGTAAAAATAAAATGTTTGAATAGGAGTATTATAAGAGAATTATTGATAAACAAATAACTCCAAATAAATGTACAATAAATACTGGCAAACCTTGGTTTCCATAATTGAAACATAGATTAGCTTTAAAAGGTAATAATTAGTAAAGTATAATATAGATTACGATTATAAGTTTTTTGTGTTGCCTCCAAATAAAATGGTGTCATTATTAAAGAAATAAAAGATTAATGTACCATCAGATGAATAGATTAGAGAATTTCTAAGAAATCATTCACTTAAACATTTAGTATAATATGATGCTTTAGACTTTAAAAATGTTGATAAGATTTGTTCATCAAATAGTCCATCTCCCTTGATGATAAATAAAAAGAATAGAAAAATATTTATGTAACAAAATCCAAATACAAATTATAAATTAATTGAATCAAAACCATAGACAGCATAGAAGTTATTTGATAGATAATCATCAGTATAACATTGTAGGATGCGAGAATTGAAATCATAGCAAATAGAAATTAGACCAAATAGAGAAAACATGGAATTAGAAGTAAAAGGAATAAAAAAGAAAATGAGAATTCATGAAATATCAACTAAATCTACTCCATAGATAGATGCATCGAATTTAAAATATTGTACATAAAGTAATAAGATAAGAATTAAGAGAAAAATAGATTTATTAAGTCGTTCTTTGAAGAAAATCAATCTTTTAGGATTATCTATAATTGATGTGATATAGAAGAATATATTTAGTAAAAAAGCTTTTTCATGTTAATTTTCTAAGGAATTTATATTTGCATCAAAATAGAATAGATTAGAAGAGATGTAAAGTTTTTTAATAACTCATCCTTATTTAGTATTTTAATATGATTATTATAATATGACTGCCCTTCATTGGGCATGTAAATATGGATATTTAGATATGGTAAGAATGTTATTAGATTATCATGCAGACTTTGATGCATTAGATTTAATGAATAGGACTCCATTGAGTATAGCAATAATAGAAAATCATTAAGAGATAGTTAAATTATTGCTTACTCATGGTGCTTATCCTTGGAGTACTAGTTTAACAGATTTGAATGGTCCTTTATAATAAAATCAAGAGATGAAGAAAATTGTTGGGTAAGCAAGAAAAATATAACTCTTTACTAAATGGAGCAGAATAAAATAGACTACTTTGTGTATTTATTGATAAGTAATCATTTTTTGTAGTAATCGTCACATAATTTGTTAAAGTCAGTTAACCATTTGGTTAAAAATTTATCTCCATAATCAAAGAATAATTCTTCTCCAATTGATATATTCTTAGTAGTGAACCTAGTAATAATATGTGTAAATTTATACATAGCAATTCTCCATCTACCTTCAGAGAATAGAATTTAAGCTTAACAATTAGCTAAATCTGATTTCTTTGTAGCATGATTAATATATCTCAAACAATTACTATAATAGGTTCCATCTACTTACCATTTATCATCAACTTCAAATAAGTAATGATTATTAGTAATCCAATCACATTCTAAAATATAATTATTAAAATTACATTCAATAGCCATACTTTCATCATCTAATAATATATAATTTCCTGTATATTCACCTACAAAATCACATACTTTAAAATTTTAAGCTGCAAATAATCCAAGTCCATTACATATTAATGATTTACCTAAAACAAGTTATTTTCTAGCTTAAAGTAATAGATTCTTATTTGAACATGATTAACATTTACATAATTAAGGATCACATTCATATCCACTAATATAACAAGGACATGAATGTTTTTATTTTTTTTCATCATAACCACATACTCTACAATCACATGATTTACCTTTCTATTAACATTAACCTTTACAACAACAATATTTATGACATGTAACACAAGTACAAGAATTAGATCCACATTCTCCTTCATGAAAACATGGTATATATTATTAAGCATAATTATTTAAATTTTATTTTTTTGATGCTTATTATTATTTACGTTTTCCATTTGTTATATGTTTCTTACTTTAACTTTTTAAAGTTTTTATTAAATAATTAATTTATTAACAAGATATAGGATAAATTCTATGAGTTAATACTTTTGCCATAAAACAACAATTACTAAATCCAAATTCTAACATTTATTCTATTGATTTTTATTAAAACTTTTTCATTTTCATTTAATCAATACCATATTTTCCACATTATGTAATATCTCTACATCTTTATTCCATTTCCATTTTATTATTTAATTTATATCTACCAAATATTTCTCTCAATAATAAAGAATTTGGTTTAAATTCAGTTTCATAAAAATTATCATGATGAGTAGGATCATCTTTCTATTAATCTTAAGGTTCTTCTTCTGGTTCTTTCTCTATATATAATCTTTGATTTTTTGAACTAAAATATATATATATCATTATATATACTGATAATGTAAACTACATAGATATAAATTACAAATTGGACAAAAATATCGATTGAATCTTACAAATTGATATTTTACATTAAAATTTACAAATTAATCATACTTTTTTGCTTGTTTAGCTAAATAATATGATTAAATTTAATCTGCTGAACAACCTATTGCTTAAGCTAATTGTTGCAATTAAAAAACAACTTATAATGAATTAAATCTGTCTTTGAATTTCTCAAAAAAAAAATCTATAAATAATTTATGTTCCAATCTCAAATAATGTTTACTATCATCTATACTTTTAGCCAATCCTTATTCTAAATTTTATACATGTTCTTCTATTTCCTCTGTTAATTTTGTTGGAATAGATAAAGGGGCTATATTAAAATATAACTAAAATTCTACTTAAACGTTCCAAAAGTACTGGAGTAGGATGTTGTAATCTAATATTACCTGGCATACTTTTATAGTAATTAGTCCTGATTGGTAAATTGTCTCTATTTCTCTTAACCTTTATATCAATTTCATAAGCTTCAGTCCTTATCACATTTACTTTGATTTCTCTCTAGATTTGACCTTCATTTTATAGCATTGTCGATTGTAGATGTTGAACATACCTTTTATAGAGAGTATACTCCTCTAATATTTATTCTTTTGTCATTTAGGTACTTTTCATTTTACTTCAAAAAAAAATGAATAAATTATTCTCACTCAAATTTATGGTCGAAATTGTTATATAAATAAAAATGTAATTTTTGGAGATTTGAACAAATATTATCAACTTTTAAAAAACTCTGAAAATTTATCAAATTACTTAAACATCTCATACTGTTCATCCTACTCAAATAGTTATTATAATGGTTTATAAAAATCTTAAGGTTCCTTATTCAATCTTCTTAATCTGGTATTTTATGCTAATGTTTAAACATTAAAAGCATTTATCTATAATTTAATATATATAGATAAATTACTTTAAGAACTTAATTGATTAAAAATAAATGATTTTTACTATTAATTATTCTTTTACCATAAGATTCAATAAATAATTTCTATCTTCTTATTACCATATCATTTATTAAATTTAAACATTGTTCATCATACCATGACCATGCTTTTTAATTTAATTAAGATATATTTTCTACTGTTCTAAATAATGGTAATTGATTTTTTAACATATAACTTAATTATATATTAGACAAACTTAATTCTGCAATTAATTAATGTATATTCTCATCATCTTAATGAAATTACAACCAATTTAATATATTTCTCATATTACCTTTCATAAATAAGGTAAGTATGAAAATATCTGAATAATTTAAATTTATTTCTATATTTTGAATCTTTAAATAAGGTTTCTATATTGTAAAATTATTAAAAAACCCTCCTTATTCTTTGATATTTTCATAGATCACTTTCTTTTTTAACTCAACATTTATGATATCTAATTATCCTTTGTAATTTTGTTCAATTAACAATATTAAATAAATGTATTTGACTATTTCATCATGTGAATATTGCACTAGTTCAAAGTTATCGAATAGTTCGTGATTCTACTAATAGTCTGCAATTATGAAGACTCGATACCTGTAATCCATATAAAGGGCACTCGCTAAATCTATAACATTCTGGAATTGATGAATTTTGGAAGTGTTCCTCTGTGAACTATTATCTTCTTTTTGTTTCCAAATTCAGTATCTTCTTATTCTTAAGTAAATTTGATATGTTGACTTGCAAACATCTCTTCAAATTCTCTTTTCTCTGTATAATTGTAAGTCAACAGAACATCAATTTTGTATGCTCTGGCTATAGCCAATATTGTACTCATCTTTCCACTTGCTCCATATATATTTAACATCTAATAATTCCAATTTTAATTGTTTATTGAATTTGATTATGAATACCATGACTCTGATTAATCTACTTAATCTTATGCCAATATAGAAAAGGAATTCTTTAACCAATGTTTAAGAAATTATGTATTTTCTTAACTAATTAACTAAATTAGATATCAAATTACATCATCAATATGATCAGGAGTATAAATATCACTCCAAATATCTGACATTTTTGTTATATTCAAATACAATATTGAACTTAGCATATTTCCAATTTAATCCAAATTTTTTATTTTTGTTAATTATTGAACTAATTATCCAAAATTAAACTCTTTCATTATCTCATTTCTATATTTTTATAACACTCTTCTTAATTGAAAACCTACTGATCCTATTAAAGGACATTTAATAAATTATTTTTATTTTTCTTTTATCTCTTTCCTCTCCTTCTTATTTCCATTATTGAAGAAATTTTAAATGTTTTGGTTGTTTTATACATTTCTCTTAGGTGGCATTTCCTATACACAAATTTTTACGCGCAAATAAGAAATATTTTAATTATCAATAATAAAAAGATAAATATTGCCAATATTTTATACTTCATTCATACAAAACTTAATAATCTTTACATTTAATAAAATCCTCTACCTTATTTATATATAGAATTTAAAATATACAATCAAAAGTCTCATCAACTTCAATTGATAAATCATCTATTTGATCTATTAAAATATCTCTTTTTCTTAAATATAAAGAATACAAAATGAATATATAAAATTTAAAGATTATTTCATATTCAACACTATTTTTATATTAGAATATTACTTTTTAGAACATATTTTCAGTATCAATATTATACAAAATCAATCAAAATTGTAAGTAAATATAAAAATAATGTTTTGATAAAGAAGTTAAAAATAATATTAAATAGATATACTAACAATTATTATTTATTTGTTGATTGATTGTACATTTTTATTATAATTTCAAACTTACTGAATATCAAATTTAAAAATAGAATGAATCTTCAATTATATTTCTAACAGTCATCATCATTTAAATTGAAATTATTAATCATCATATATAATTAGAATAGACATTTAAGATATATATATATTATAAATATTAATTTTTCATTATGTTTAATTTATGTTCTCTTGTTTAGAAATCGTATCTTAAGTTAAGATCATTTATAAACAATAAGATATCAAATTTTATCATAATATATAAAATAACAAAAGATATATTGAAGAATTCGTAGTAAAATTATCATAATGAAATGTTTTATCTCTTCTTAATAATTAAAATGATAAGGAAGAACTATATATTATTATGACTTAAATTATTGTAATAATTTAAGATTCATTAATAAAATATTAAAAAGATGTATATATATTATATAAAGATTATTAAAATTTTAATCTTCTTAAGTTGTTTAAATTCTTATCATCAGTTATATAGAATTGATTTTATATTTATAATCAAATTATTTTATCAAGTAAACTCATTCTTCTTCTAAACCTACTTGGATTTTAACCTTTTGTTTCATCATATGAAGCAATCACAAGCACTCCATCTTTTTTTATAATGCAACATCCTCCTTTTTGAGTAACTAAATGCCATGGTGTTTAATGAACAGTATAATAAACTTTTTCATCAATAATCAAAGGTTTAGATAGATCACTAGATAAATTTTCTACTTATTCTTAAAGGTTCTATTGTTGGAAAGTGGAATCAATCTGTTCATTGAATTAAATTAAGACTTGATCAACAGCGTTGTCTTCTTTTAAGAAATTGATATAATCCATTAAAATAATTTAAATTTTAAGAATTTTAATAATAAGTTAAATATTTTCATAATAGTTCATTTAAATTTCCTTCATCATTCAACCATTAATGTTACTTCACTTATTCTATAGTGAATCTTGATTTGTTATCAGGATCTAACATATTTTGAATCAAATCCTTGAAATGTTAATCTGATCTAATGATTTTTTTATCAAAATAATTCCAGAAGGCTTACCATTTTTTCTATTCAATAGTTTACCAGAATTTACACTCTGTTGATTTTGCAATGGTGAAAGGTGGATAGCCATAACAAAGAGTAAAAATTAATACACCAAGTGAAAATACATCAGATTTCTTCAGAATTTCTCCTATAATTAGATTGTTTTCCTAATGTAACTCTGGTGCCATGTAAGTGGGAGTTCCACAATGTCTTGGATATAACTTATTAGAATCAATATAGACAGATAGACCAAAGTCAATCAATTTTACATTAGGTTCTTTAGTCATCATTACATTCTCTAATTTGATGTCTCTATGAACATAGCCAAGTTAATGTAAGTAAGATAATCCATTACTTAGTTATAATAGAATTTATTTTATGGTGCTCTATTAGAGAGTGCCATATTTTGTGATTACAGAATAGAGATCCTAATTCATGAGTTCTGTAATAAACCATTTGAATTCACAATCCGACTTCACAATTTTCTGAATATTTGGATGACTGATTGATTGTAGAATCTTTATCTCTTTCTCCCTTAATTTTTTGGGACACTCTTCCTTATAAATTTTAATTGCACAAGTGTTTCCCTCTTCCGTTAGACATTTATGAATGTGACCGAACAGCCCTTCTCCAATTTGATTTTGTATTTACATTAATAAATAAATTTATATATATATATATATATCCTCGATTATCATTCTGATTGTCTTCATAGCATGGTTACTTATCTCATTATTATCTTAATCTCACTCTAATTTCTGTTTTAAATTCTTCTTTCCATTCTCCTATTAAAAATGGGTGATGTACAACTTCTTCAATTGTAAATCTATTTTAAGGATCTTATTCTAACATTCCTTCCATAAAGGAATAAAAGTCTTAATTAAATTTATTCTATTTATCAACTAATGCCCAATAACTCTACCATTATCTTTATTAAATTAAATTCCAGAAGGGACAAGATTTTAAATCAGCTTTAAATGGTGGATGTGCAAAAGCCAAAATGAATATGCATACTCCTAATGAATATACATCTGCTTTAGGTAAATCTTAAACATTTATAAGGCCAATTGTTTATAATTCAGGAGCTAAATACCCTAAAGTACCTTAACATTTTTAAACGAAATTTTAATCCATTTTTTCAGCAAATCCAAAATCACATAGTTTTAAATCTAAGTATTCATCAATTAATATATTTTCTAATTTTATATCTCTATGAACTACACCAATGTTGTGTAAATATTAAATAACACATGAAAGTCTTTAACTGAAATATTTAATAGATTTTAATAGAAAAGGTTTTTAATCCTTTGCTATAATGTCAAATAGATCCATATCATTTAAAAGTTATGTAATTATATATTTTTTTTCAATATTACTATCAATAATTTTGATAATATTTGTGTGATTCAATTATTTCAGTATATTAATCTCTTTATTAATTAATTTAAGGGAATAATTATCTTTGTATATTTTAATTGCGTAATTCTTATCTTAAATCTAAACAACTTAAACTTTGCAAGTTAAGCCAGTTCCAATAATTTAATTTGATATTTTCATTTTTTTTTATAAATAATTATAAAAAAAAAAATAAATTATCAAATTTAAACTACAATTCTTGTAACTTCTATTATATTTTTAAATATAATTTAAAATTTATTTTTCATCAAATCAATATAACTATAACTTAAGAATAGTCTCCTTATAATTTTTTTAATAAGTTCATAAAAAGAACATATATGTTTAGTTGAATAATATTTAAAAAAGGTATATTATATTCATTATTATTCTCAATTTAGCTATTCATAAATAACCTTTCTCTAATAAATTAATTTCATTTGTTTAAGAGTTTTTAGCAATATTATTCTGTTACTGATTATTAATTTAAATCAACAGAAAATTTTGTATTTCTATTTAATAAAAATAACATATATTCAAGATTTTGATTACTTTTGTCTTATAAATCTGTGTTGGTTTATATTTATTTTAAATTTTCTAAACATATTTTATATGATTTAAAAATGAAATAAATTTGCATCTCAGTTAAATTAAAAACATTCTCAACTATTTTAAGCTTTTAACTTTTGTTTAATTTCTCTTATAAAATCATGAAAATAAAGATATTTTATAAACTTTCTTTATTAAATAATTAATTATAATTCATAGATCAGCCATGATGAAAATACTGATAATTGCTGATTAAAATCCAGTTTAGCAATTCGATATCAATCCAAATCAAAAGATTTACAATTATATGAACAATCTATTTGATAAACCTTAAAAATAAATGATAATCAAACTTTCTCCTACTGGATAATAAATTGATTATGAGGATGAATTTTCAAAATATATGAGTTTTAATACTTCAGCTATAGTATTTTATGTTTTCGATATAAATGGAAACAGTATTTAGTATACAAATTCTCAGCTTAAAAAATCAATTAGCATACCATAAGAATATGGATATTGCAATTAAGAAATTGATGAAATTTCATTGAGTAGAAATTAAATACTCAATTCAACAAAGAGTTTCAATGAAGAAAAATTAGAGATGATAAATTCCCTTTCAACTAGTTTTTAGAATATTGATATTAATTAAGATTCTATGACTCTAATTTAGAATTAGAAGTGTCAATTTTGTACAGAAATACTTGATGAAACTGTTATTTAGACTCCTTGTTAGCATATTTTTCATACTAAATGTTTTAGTATTATTGTAGAAAGCTAACTTTTATAAAAAGCATCAACTTTGAAATGTTTATGCAAAAAGTAACTTAATTTCAGGATATTGTTTTTTTTAGATAATAAATATGATGCTGAAATTTTTAGATATAGATATCTATTAAATTAGTTATAAGAATTAGAGAAGAATCTATAGGTAATGTATAAAAATGAGTTTCGAAAATGCAAAAATATTAGAAGCTGTAATTTTTTCTATTTACATTAACCCATCATCTAAAATAAACACTCGTATTGTCCATACTGTTTATAGATAGATGTATGAATAATTATAGATATATATAAATAATTTATTGACATTGTTTTTGAACTTATATATTTTATGGATTTGCTAAATGAAAAATATTAAAACAATTAAATTTTAAATTGATGGGTGATTATTAAGGTGAATATCTCTAACAATATCTTTGCAATATCAATTTAAGAAAAAAGGTAAGGATTAATAAATAAGAATTTATTTAGATAAAAGAACTACTTAAAGAGAAAACAGAAATACTTTAAAAGCTTGAACAATTAGAAGTAGAAATATCACATTCAATAATTAGAAAGATGGAAATAATTAGTCATTTGAAGAAAGGAAAAAAAGATTGAGAAGTCTTGCCAGCGAAATTTAAAGAAATTTTGAATGCCCATTATCAAGATGTGGTAAGAAATATGGGTAATAATGATATTATGTTTAGAAGTGAAGGCTCATTAAATTAACATATTAAACTTAAACATCCTGAATTGGTTAATAAAGCTTGATATATAATTTTGTTCTAAATCAATTGAATTTATCATTACTTATTATGTTAATTTTAGATTGTTAAAACAATCCTGGTACTATCTTGTTAAGTGATTGATATTTATTTTAATTTAATGTTATAATAATACAATTCAATTGTAGTTGATGCCAGTTACATAAATAAAAAACTACACATAAGAAAATGTCATTAAAAAAGGACCTGACTTTTATTTAGGAATTTCATCAATCATTTATTCATATGTAGATTGAATAAAAATAAATAAAATAAATTTATGGACATTTATGTTATGAAACATTCAGAACCAAAGTCTTTTAATTATAATAAATACAACACTAAAATAGTAATTATAGCAGAAAATGAATTAAAAAATAAACAAATTTATTTTTATGTCTTAAATAGATTAAATAATTCAAAAAGAGATTACATCAAGAAGACCAATTAAAATCAAAATAACAATTAGAATTACTGACTAAATGCTTATAATTTCAGAATTCATAATTTTTAAAAGGATAAATATCTTATAAATATAATTTATACTTATTCGCTTGGTTTTCATATGTGTTATTACTAAAATCAATTGACCTGATTTCTTTTTTCAAAGAAGAACAACTTAAAGATAATATATAGTGATCAGTACTCAAAGTTTAATGAAAATATGATGAAATTGGATTATTCAAAGATTCATTATAAAATAGATTCGTTCTATTAGCTAAAATTGATAAAGTTTTTGAAGATTATTATAATATTTTTGGATTAGCAATAAAGATCTATATTCTAATTATAGGTTTATTATCTTGATAATCAATTAAAATTAGAATATCCTCAATAAGACATTAATTTTGAATAATATCTCATGTTTTTGGATATAGGAAATTTGAAGATTAATAATATTATGAGATATTTGATAAATGATAAGTTATGATGGGATAATTGAGGATTTTAAAGAGATATGAAAAGTATATTTTAGAGAATTAACTTTTAAAGAAGACTTTGAAAATGATAAAGTAAAAGATAGAGTATTTATTTATGAAGATGGAAGGAATTATTTTCAATATATATTTGTAATCAAAACAATATTCATAATGTAATTAAAGTAATTAAAAGGTTTAATATGTTGGAAATTTCAAAGAGGATACTTTTTAAAGGTAGGGAGTTCTGATTTTATTAGAAAATAAATAAATAAATAAGTAGAGTATGAGTATGGAAGATGTTAGACAAATTTACCAGAATATTTAAAGGGATGTATTTTTGTATATAGGATATATAAATAACTTTTAATTTTTAATCACTCTTATTGAAATGTAATAACAATCTGTTATACATGTAATTATTATTATCAATTAAATATTCTTTTTAGATTATTAATGATTATTTTATAATTTTTTAAATATTATATTTGCATTCTAAATGAGTTTAAGTTAAGTAAGATTATTATATTTACTTATAAGGCAGGGCGTTAGGCAATAAATCCAATTACTGGAGAATCTAGATTTTAAGCACCAGATTATCGCCGTTCTTAAGAAGTCAAGAATGAACCTACGAGGACAGCAGAATCAAGGAGAAATTTTGCAAACACTTCTGTGCCTGTTGAGAATTAGGAATAAAGTTAATTCTAAATGGATAGGATTGCTCAATTATAGGATTAAGTGTAAATGATGGAAAAGTAACTTACTTAGGAAGTCAAACGAAATTCAAAAATGTTAGTTGAGCTGGAAAGAGAAGTAAGGACAAGAGGATAAATAGGAGATGTATTAATTATATAATGGTAATAGCCAAACTAAATGTTCGAAGATTTGTAGAATAAGATGTATTCACTGGAAACCAAGATTATAGCATAAGATAGGCAAAAGAGTGAATTGGGTTCTAAAGTGGCTATTTAGGAATAGAATCTTAAGGAATTATTGTACTTTTTGAAGAACACTTAGAATAAAGATACTAATGAAGTATTATAGATGAGAGGAATGTTACAAGAAAAGATAACGGAAGAAAGTTCACATTTATAAAAAGAAAGAGAAAAGACAAAAGCTTTGTTTATGGAGATGGTTAGATTAGGAGAATTGTAAGAAAAGTTGCAGGAATCACTTTCGACTTCTCATCAACATTTTGAGTAAAGAATTAATGGGATGGAAAGCAAGATATATAATGGAGAGAAAGCTTTAATTTAAGTAGCATAGAGAGGTGATTCAGGAATGAATTTTATTAATGAAACGAATGAAAGAATAGAGAAGAGAGTGATGGCTTTGGAGGCAAATTTATTAGCATTAGGAGTATGATTATATAATTATTGGATTAGAAAGATTAATTAAAAGATCATGAATAGATTAATAGAGTTGATATGGCTAATTAGAGAATCTAAGAAGAATTTAAGGGAATGTTATAATTAATTTAATAAGATTATACTTAAAGATTAGATACTAGAGTAACTGAAGTCATTAATAGAATTGTTATGGAACATGAATAGAGAGTTAAAACTATGGAAGAAATGAAATAAGCATGGAGTTTAAAGGATTAGATTAATATGGAGAGATTATAATATGAGAGGGAAGAAGTTATTTAAAAATTAGGATCATTAGAATAATTTTAAAGAATTGATTCATAAAAGAAGGATGAAGCCATTCGTTCATTATAAACTATTATTGAGACATAAGTAAATTAAATACTAGTAAATATATAAAATGAAGAAGCTTAAAGATATTCACATGAGGTTTAATTAAGAGGAGATTTATTAAAAATATAAGAGAATATTAAATAGGAGAATGAATTATTTAAAACCCATTAAGCTAATATTACAGAAAAGATTACAGATATGATAAGAATTGAAGTTTAAACAAGATTATCAACTGATACAGAATTGAAGAATCTTACATCTGCTATTGCAACTGATATCGTTTCTGATTTAAATAGTTTAAAAGATTAAATTGAAATGGCTAATAGAGCATTATCAACTTAAGTTAAATAATTAGAAAAAGATTAAGCAGAAAAAGCAGAAAGATTATCTTTGTATATTGATGATGAAATAAATAAAGTAAAAATTCAATTTAATTATATTTATAGGCAATTAAGACATCTGCTTAGAAGTATGAAAAGGTTAAGGTAATATTTTCCAAATTTGGTGAATCCTTTAAATAACATATAACAGCCTATGAAGGTTTGAAATAAGATCTTAATTCTCGGTAGACTATTATTGAATAGAATATTGATATGATTAGATAAGACTTTTAAACTGTGATAGAAGATTAATAGACACATTTATTGGAAAGAATATCAATTGAAAAAAATCAAATTTTAGAAGCTGTAAATGCTACTGTCTAATTTTTAGAGGATAAAGTTAATAAATTAGATGAAGATTGTTCAAATAAATTTAGGATATTTAGAGAAGTTATTGAAGAAAATCAATAAGTTGTTGTTGAAAAAACTAAACTTATACTTGATTAAAATGAGTCTTATTAATAAACATAAATGAAAGGATTAAAATTAATGGCTGAAAGTATTCAGGAATTAAAGTATTTATATATTCCATTCAATTTAGATAATAATAATAATTGATTAAAGAAGACCATTAGAATCAAATTAAGGAAGTTAATTAAGCTGTTGAAAATACTAGATAAGATATTCAATAAATTAATACTAATATAAAAGAAATAAATGAAATATAGGTTTAACACAAAAGTCTATTAGATGAAAATTAAACTGATATTGAAATACTTAAGAAGGAGAATGAAACTATTATGATTAAATAATAGGATATTGATAAGAATGTTGAAATATTAAATGCAGAACAGAAAAAAATTCATAATACTTTTTAATTACTAACTTAAAATGTGGAATAAGTAAATGATAAAACTTTAACTATTGGAGAAAGAGTAGATGCTATCAATACTAATTTTTAATAATTATAAGAAGAACTTAAATAAATTGATTAAAAGAATTCTAAATTAGAAGGAGATTTAGAGGATTCAAATCTTAAAATTAATAATGAATTCAAAACTATTGAAGCTAGATTAGAAGACTCTTAATAAACAATTAGTACCATATAAGATTCTATAAGATTAAATGATGATCTTGACAAAAAATAAAATCTAGAAATTGAAGAATTATAGTAATCAGTTAAAAATTTACAAGATAGACTTAAATAATTGGCTCAATTACCAGCTTGACATTATTATTTATTTATATATATATATATTATCTATCATGTATTGCAATTTCTTTAGTATAAGGAATTTTTAAATTAAAAATAAATCCTTATTTTTAAAATGGCAGAAGAATAAGTAATGACTGTGAAATTTGCTAATCAACCTAAATTATTTGGCAAATGGGATTATGATGAAGTTCAAGTTACAGATTAATGTTTCAAAGACTACATTGCAGTCTAAACTTCAAAATCAAGAGTATTTGTTCCTCACACTGCTGGAAGGTATTCTTTTCTTTAGAAAATAGATATCAACGAAAGAAGTTTAGAAAAGCATAATGCCCAATTGTAGAAAGATTGGCTGGTGCACTTATGTTCCATGGACGTAATACAGGTAAAAAAGTAAAGGCGGTTGCCATAATCAGACATGCATTTGAAATAGTACACTTATTGACTGGTAAGAATCCACTTCAAGTCTTATCATTGGCTGTTTAAAGAGGAGGAGCCAGAGAAGATTTTACAAAAGTGGGTACAGGTGGTGTTGCTAAATAATAAGCTGTTGATGTTGCTCCTATCAGAAGAGTAAATGAAGTAATTATGTGATAATATAAATTTATATAGGCAGTCCATAATCTAGCTAAGGGTGTAAGAGAATCAGTTTTCAAGAAAATGAAGACTATTGCAGAAGCCCTTGCAGATGAACTTATTGCAGCAGCAAATGAAGATGGATAAAAGTCTTACACCATTAAGAAGAGAGATGAACTTGAGAAAGTCGCAAAAACTAATCGTTGATGCATAATAATATAAAAAAATATAATATTTTTAATGGAAATCATTAAAATGATATTATACTTATCAATTTTGTTGTTGAAATGATAAGTTCATATATATATATAAATAAATGATTTATTTCATTAGGCATAATTCTTATGTGAAAAGAATTTTGTTTAAAAATACATATAATCTTAATTAATTAAAATGGCTCTAAATCCACCAATAACTTAGACTGGAGTTCCATTAAGAGTGGATCAAGAATTCTTTATATTGTATAGAAATGAAATGGAAGGAGAATTTAAGATTGAAAACATGGGAAAGTTTAGTGCTAAAGGAAAAGTAAGATAAAGATATTTAAAATTAGGTATATGTAACAACATGCAGAATGGTTTTTGTAAGTGACAAATTTTAAAGAGAATCCTTCAAATCTTTTGATATCCCTTTGGCATATTTAAGTGCTGAGAAATTTCAGTAACCAATATTTGGAAGTAATTATTTAGAAGGCAATGTGGATCCATTATATAATCTACTTCCTGGAAAAACTCATTTTAAATTATGGTTCAAAGCAGGAGGTAGGAATAAATTAATACCTTAGGTTGTGACAAGTTTCTAAAGATCCTTGTTAGTATATTAACATAAATTAGAAGATAAAGAGGTTCTGGATAACGAGTCCCTGATGCACGCATGATGGAAAATTTTGCAAGAAATTAAAGTTAGGCCTTTATTGATCCTAATGATCCCAGTGTTATCTATGTCTAATAGCCTCATTTAAATTAATAATCTTATGGAAACACCACATGGGGAATTCCTTAAAATCCAACTTAGGTCGCTCCAATAGGAGGACCCAGTTATGGAATGCCATAATAATAATATCAATAACCACCAATGAATCAATAGTATCAACAGCCTAATCAAGGATATTACCAATAATAACAGATTCCACAATAAAATTATTAAAACGTTCCTTAAATTGGTACTCCTGTAAATTACAATTATGGGTATCAATAATAACCTTAAACAACTTACAATCAACCTGGTACTCAATAACCATATCAATAAAATACCTAACCAACAAATCCATATGCTCAATAAAACCCTCCCACATATAATTAACCAACAAATCCATATGCTTAATAAAACCCCCCCACATACAATTAACCAACAAATACATATATATAACCTGTTCAACAATAGTAATAACAACCACCACTAGCATATGAGAATTAACCACCATAATAAGTGTATTAGAATTAAGTTCCTGAAATATAATAAAATCAGAATTTTTCATATCCTTAAGAGTAAAATAATAATCAATAAGCACCAATTTAAAATAATGACTAAGCACCTTAAAATTAACAATAATAAGATTAGGTAAGAAATCAGCCAAATACAGCTTATTACTTTGGTTTTTGGGGTCCACAATTACAAACAAATTAAAATGCAATATTGTGAAAAATTCAATAACATATATATATATATAATATTGTATTCAATAAATAAGTATACATATTCATAATCAAATTTATGATTCATCTGTTTCTTGAATGACACTAGAATAATAATATATAAATAATATTTACCTTTGTAGATTTTCCTTAACTTAATTTACTAATAATTCATAATCTTATTAGCCTACTCCCCAAACCTTACAAAATGATTTAACTACTTCTTCAACGTCATCATTTCTTCTCAATGCTAATCTTCCTACTTTTCTAGGTCCTAATTTTATATCAATATAAAGGATTGGTAATTCTTTTTTGAATTATCTTCTCTATAACATTTCTGGAGGAGAAAAGGGTTGATTCTTAACTTTCTCATAGTTTTCTCCACTTGGCTTATGATTTAATTTGAGATCTTTTAAATGTTTCCTATCATTGGCTCTTCTCATTCTCTCAATGGCTTCCCAATATCCACCAATTCCAGTTGATTATGATTCAGGCATAGAATAATTAATTTAAGGATGAAAAGAACATTTACTATATTCTGATTCTTCTTTCTCTTGTTCAGCTATTTTAGCTCTCTCTTCAATCTCTAATCTATTCTTCACTTAATATAATCTATCAATCACATTAGGTAATTCTTTTTTTGAAATAATTTATGGTTTAAATGTACATTCTTACATATCTTTCATAAATTTTTCTTATTTTAAAAACTCTATCTTCTGATTAGATAATTCCTTCTTTTTATAAAGTTCATTTACTCTACTTTCTGCAAGTCCTGATGATATTTGAGATGATGATTCTTAATTTTCTTTCTTACCTGATTATTATTGTAAAGCTTCACTAATAGGATTAATTGTTGGTTTGAATGTTAATGTTTTTTCATAAGTTTCTATTAAATTTTATGCTAAAGATGCTTTTAAATAGCCTATTTTGGTTCCAGATAAACGAGTTTTTTAATATGCTTAGAATTCAGAGCAAAATTTATAGATTGCTTCATAATCAAATTCTTTCTCAGAAATTTTCTCTAAATACTCTTTAATTAAAATAGCACATTTAGATGGTTCTAATTAATTGGGATCCAAGATTATTCTAAACAAACAAAAGGCTGCTTGTATATCAACCTTCTCTTCATCGTTAGATATGATTGCAAATGCTTTCTCATGTAAATCTACTTCTTATTGTCTACCTTAAAGATTTGGTGTTACTTTTGCATAGGATTATTGAGACCTTGTGTCTCTAACTGATAATCTTGATTATATGAGATAGTTTAGAATATGTCTAGTAATGTAAATAATCGTCCTAATTGTTAGAAATTAATTTGTCCACTATTTTGTTCATCAACTTCTTTTAATGTCTATTATTGGAATATAAAATACATCATTCAATTTACGTTCCAATTTAGACACTAATATTTTGGTACTTGATTGACTGACTAATTTTTGACTTCCTTAATCATGATTAATCTTTTTATTTGACTTAGTATTTTTTGCATATATCTCTTCAATGAGCTCTTTTTCTCTGTCAGATAAATTTATCATTATATATTATTATTTATTCCTATTTAATATATATATATATATATTTCATATATTAAACATTATATTCATTCTAATGTTTAATATTCACAATTAATTATATTTTACTATAAATTTTCATCTAAACCAAGTAGTAAATCCTTTTCCTCTACTATTTCTCACTATTAAAAATTTACAGTCTCTAGAATTATAAAAAGTATTTTCACAACTTGTAAATGATATTGATTATTGTAATTTAAGTTCCCTTTTATCTAAATGAAATATTCGTATTGTTTTATTAAATTTATGAAATAATAATTTTTCTTCTTTCTAAAAGCTTATTGTATTTTCACGACTCAAGTCTACAGTACTTTCTATTCTTATTTTTCTTACTCTAATTAATTTAGAATGCCAATTATTCCATTCATATAATATTAAATTTTCACAAGTACTTGGTGATGATACAAACATATTTTAATTCAAATATACTACCATTTTCCAAATTGAACATGTTGCTGTTTTTAATTTATAACATATATGCCATTTATAACCATTAGAACATTTAGCTATAAGTATTAAACTTTACATTCCAATTACTAATTCTTTTTCTGATTCACTTAAACTCATACTAGTTGTTTTATCTATTAGTTCTAATTAAAATTAAGTTTTCTTAAATTATTATTTCTTTTCCTTTCTCCAAAATTCTACTGATCTTTCTAAAGATATTATCATTTTTTTTTCATCTTTATTAAATATTAAGAATTATATTCTCTCTTCAAAATTAATCACATTTCCTTTTACCCATAGGTTTTCTTCATTACGTTTCCAAAAACTTAGACCATATCCCATTGTTATAAATGTTTTACCTGATTTCTTAAAATATACTTAATTTATAAGCAACTCTTAATCTGAGATTATTTATGTATTAATTATCTAACCATTATTTTAGATTGAATATATATATATAACTGTCCAAGTACATCCAATTAATATTGTTGAATCATTATTTATGGTAAAACATTTAAAACATTCATTTTCTATTTTCTCCTATTGATTCACAATCTCAAATCTTTAGAAATCCTAAATCATATAATGAGGATTATTATTATTGAAATATAAACTATGCATAATACTAAATGGGCTATTAATCATAATCAAAATTTCCAATTAGAATCTGTAGCCATAGCCCAAATAAATTTATTTCTTAAAGTTTTTGAAAACACTCTTTCTATTGGAACATCATGTACTTTACAAAATGCTACACTTATTCTAGGATCATTGTAATTAGTTTTAGATGTTCCTAAAGCAATCTCCTTATTTTCTTCTTTCTTCTCCAAACCCTTTAATTCCTTCTAATATTTCTCTTAAGTTCTCTATATCTATTACTTAATCTTATCATGTTATCCTGGGAACTTCTTAATAAAGATACTATTCTTCTTCTAAGATCCCTCCTCTAATTAGACTTCTTCATCATATTCATTAGGATTCTTCTTCTTATAATGTTATTCCAATTCATGTATATATGTTTTCATACATTCTAATTTAGTATTGATTTTCTTTTTAGTTAACTCAAATTATTTTGAAATAGTTTTTTGATGATTACACAATATAGCAACCTATTTGTTAGCATTATCATAGAAATCAACCTAAATATATATTGTTAATTAATACTTTTTATTAAATGGAGTGACCATCTAAAGTACCACCCAAATCGAGTTACTATTGAAGTGTAAAACTTGCATTATAAGTTCTAAAAACTTTAGCTGTCAATCCTTCCATTTATTTTTTCAAGAAATCATTCAAATCATCCACACTTATATCACTGAATAAATTGTCTTCTGGTTATTTTCCTTTAATAAATAATTTAAGATTTTTCCAAATCTAATGTGCTAATTTAACTTCATTATTATATCTCATGGAATCCTTACCCAAAAAATCAAAGGCAACTACATCATCTTCCTTCAATTTGATATGTTCTACTCTTAGACTACAACAACCAACTGTATCTGCTTCATCTTCATCTTTCTCATTTCCTACTCTCAATGCCAATTTATCTATTAAATAAGTTGCTGTTCCTAATTATCTTTCTTTAATTGAATCTGATTATAATTTCTTTGTATAATTTTCTCTAATTTAATCAATACAATTTTTCAATCTCCTTGCTTTTTCATATTTCCTTTTATCATTCATCTACTTAAATCTCGAAGTTGCAGCAAATTAAACATATTTATGATTGTCTTTTCTAATACTTGAATCAACATATGAAAATAACCAAGTAACATCATTTCTATGCACAATCTTACCCCAAGAATGACCAGGTAATTTGCATTAAGGCACTGGAGCCTAAGTGCTTAAATTCACTGTTAATTCTTCTGGAAATATTCTAGCTTTCAATAATCCAGCCTTTGGATGTTCCCCACGTCCCTTAAATAAAGTAGGCTATTCCAATGTGTAATTACCTACTCTTTCCAAACAACCATCTACTAAAGCATATCCATAAAATAATTCTCTTTAATCTCTTTCTAATTTTTCCTGTTTTTTTTATTCATCTGATTTATTCAATCTCAATAATCTTTGCTATTCCAAATATTCCTTTATCTTTGTGAAATCAGCCTTATCCAATTAAAACCCTTCAAATTTTGTCTGCATAAGTGATTCAAAATTCTTTCTATAAATTTCCTTATTCTCATATGGAGATCCAATTGATTATGCCCAATATGTGCAAAGTTCTTCTTACTCCTCTGTTAGGTTGATCAATTTCCCATTATAAATTAGACCCACATTATGTCTCTTATAAAATGGAGGAAACAAAACTCCATGATGCTCTAAATATCTCCACTCTTGACCTTATTGTTCTTCTTCCTCAGATTCTTCAGGATTAGCTTCTTCCCACCAATTATGTGATCTTGCTTAGAATCCACCTAAGCGAATCTCTTTATATTCATCTATTTTGATTTTCTTGTCACCCATTTTATATTAAATATTTTAATTTCTTATTTCAAATATCAATGCCTGATCTATTAATATGAACTAAATATTATTTATTATAAACTAAATTTCATAATTTAAAGCACCCCACACTGTTGATATAACTACTTAATTTTCTTCATTACATATTATCTTTACAAATATTATTATTATAAAAATAATGTAACAGGAAGAGAGAAGAATAACAAAAGATTATCTTAAAAAACTTTTAAGAAAGGAATTCAAACTATATTATACAACTCCTGAGCTTAACGATTGTCTTTATCTGCATTATAAAGGGTTTGATAAGATTGAAAATTTAGAAGAGTTTACAGGATTAAAAGTAATTTACTTGGAAGGAAATGGTTTAAATAATATAGAAGGTATATTGATTCAATTATCATAGGACTTGATTGTTTGACTTCCCTAAAATGTTTATATTTATAGGAGAACATCATTAGAAAAATTGAAAACTTACACATGTTAACTGAGTTAATTAATTTAAATCTAAGTGATAATATGATAACCAAGATTGAAGGGTATGAAAAATCAATTTAAATATATAGGTTGGAATAATGCTAAAAATTATAGACTCTTTAAATCAAAAGAAACAGAATTGGGTTGAATGGACTAAGTGATTTGGAAGGATTATTATGTCTAACCAATTTATCAGTTTTGGATGTATCAGATAATAAAATAGATGACCCAAATATTTTAGATGAAATATTTTTAAAAATGCCTCAATTATCAGTATTATATTTCTAAAATAATACTGCTGGGAAGTAAATTCAACATTATCGAAAAACTCTTATAAGTAGAATAAAAACTTTAAAATATTTGGATGACAGACCTGTTTTTGATGATGAAAGGAGTAAGATTATTAGATATAATAAATTTAGGATTTGCTGAGGCCTTTGCAAAAGGAGGATTAGATTTAGAGAGAGAAGAAAGATAAAAGTATAAAAAAGAGTAGGAGGAGGAACATATGAGATAACATTAAAATTTTAAAGACATGATTCGTAAATATAGAGAAGAATAATAATAATAATAAGAATAATAATAATAATAAGAATAATAATAAGTAGATAATGGTTCTGATAATGAAGAACCTTCACATTTATCAACTTACAATACTTAATCTAATGCTAGCGATGCAAGATCATCTGCATAACAATCTGCTCAACATTCAGATAAGCAATCTGATAATCAATCTGATAATAATTCAAGAATTGCTGATGGACATAGTGAACATCGGAGTTTAGATGGAGATTAGAAAAGTATTGATGGAGCTAGTGAACATGGCAGTGAATAAGTAGAGATTAATGTAATTGGGAATTTTGGGCAACCAACTCAACTTGATGAAATTGATTGATATATATATGTAAATAAATATAAATGGAGGATTATCGAAGTGCTATTAAAAAATTGAAATTACAAGCATAATAATTAGAGTAGGAAAATAATGAATTAAAGGTTAAATTGGCTATGCCTGCAGATGAAGAATTGAGAATACCTTAATTTGAATAAATCTTATCTTCAAATACATCTTAATTATACATTCGTGAGAAGGTATTAAAAGAATTGTAAAAATGTTGCAATGAAAGAGGAATGACTGTAGAGATGCTTTTTAGATGTGCAGATAAAAGATTTACAGGTAAATTGACTATTCAAGAATTCAAAGAATTTTTAGATTCATTTTTTGATGGAAAAATAGATGGAATAACTCTTCAAAAAGTAGCTCTACTCTTTGATGATGATTGTAGTGGATTCATAATGAGAGAAGAATTCTATAGAGTTCTTATGTATTGTAAATGTAATGCTGAAGAGCATACTTATATTCTTAATACTTAAGCTATGAAAATGGGATAGCCTTTAGATGATCCAGCAAAAATTTAGGAGAGAGTTTTGGAGAAATTTATTAAGTATGTCCAAGGTTTAAAGAATACTCCTAAAGGCATTGTAGAATAAATTGATTATTAGTAAAAAGGATATATTACAACAGATGATTTATTGATGGCAATGAAAAATAATTTTGGCTCAAATGAAATCTTTATTATTATGAAATACTTCGACATCAAACAATTAAATAAGGTCAAAGATGAAGATTTTTTATTTGATCTTAAGGAATGTCTAAATCCTAATAAAACTGCTTAGCAATTATTAGCTCTAAGAGAAAATAATACTGGTTTACGCATTCTTTAAGATATGAGAAAATTTAGATAAGTTTTACGATAATATAAATTGGATCCTATGATGATTTATTATTAATGCTATCCAAAAGATGTTTAAAGAAAATAAATTACAGATTTAGCTATTTCATTTAGTAAATATATGAAAGGAACTTAATTTGATTAGATCATGAATTGGATGAGATTAATTGATACTAGTTAAGATGGAGCTGTTGATATTGAAGAATTTAAAATGGCTATACTTATTGAAGAGGATTTGGCAACTTATTAATAATTAAAGGTAGAAAGGTAAGAATAAATTGAACCTACATTGATTGAGGTAGTGATAGAGAAAATGAAGAAAAAGTAAGTTGGATTAGAAGAATTCTTTGATTGGATAGATACAGATAAAAGTTAAATAGTAACAGTTTTAGAATTAAGAAAAGGATTTTTAGCATTGAATATTGATATAGGATATGTACTTAAACTGTTAAAATTATTTGATAAAGACTAAAAAGGTTAAGTGGATATTTGTGAGTTTTATGAAGCTTTTGGTTAAGAATATAAGGAGGAAACAGATAGAATAATTATGAAAAAAGCTGCTATTAAATTGAATAATCTTTTTATTAAGAATTAAACTAATTTTGTTGCAGGAATGAAAAAATTATTGTATACTTTTAATTAGTCTTGTGCTATTATTACATGTGAAGAGTTTCTATTAGCTATGGATACAGTTAAAGACAAATGTAATTTAATGGATGGAGAAATATATAAGATGATGGAATTTGCAGATTAAGAAAAAAAAAATCAAATTTAATTAAATTCATTTTGTAATTATTTATATAGTTTACTATGAGTATTATATGTTCTCAATGCAATTATTTTATTCTATATATTAATAAAATATTTAATTATTCATTCCATTCTTTATGCAGCAGCATTATATTTAACAGTATTTTATTTAAATCTATTTTTATATCTATCAGATTCTTTATTATTTTATGGTTATGCTGAACTATTATGATCTAAAGTAAATAAATTAACAGCAGCTTGACTAGTGATCATTGATACTTTTGAATTTTATATAGGTTATGATGAAAATAAATCAATTGTAAGTGGTTTATTTTGATCATCAGCTGAGAATGATCCTCCACCTAAAGAGTTAGTTTAAAATAAAAAAGTATTATTATTATTATTATTATTATTTTATTTTTAATTAAATCCAAATAAATCATTTTTTTTTTATTAATCTTATTAGAATGATTAATATACTGTTTAAGGTTATTATGTATTGCCTTAATTGAAAAAATTCTAATTAAGTTAATTTGTTGTAAATGGATTAGATGATGCTTGAACTTACTATGAGAAGAAGGTTTAATTGGAATAGACATTTTATTATATTTATGAATCATTTTAAAATGGGAAGGCAGATTATTATTATTATTATTATTATATGAAAGGAGTTTAATACTAATTTTATATTGGTTATGATTAAAGTATATTAAATGTTTATTAGTTTTATGGTATTTAGTTTGTAATCCAAGGAGCATTAAAAAGAATACAATCAACATTAGAAGTAAAAGGATTGACTTCAATAACAGGTATTTATATCGATGGCTATTGTTCTAATTTTTATTAAATAATAAGTTCTTATTTGATTTCCAACAATGGTTCTTTAATTTATTCAATTGGATCTGATGATTATTATTTTTATTATACTTATTGTATTTATCCATCTGAATTTTAAATTGTATTTTCTTATTATTTAACTTATTGTATTTATTAAATTGTTTATTTTTATTATTCATCTCTATAACTGGGTGAAATAGGTTTTGTTTCAATTAAAAGTGTTTTAGGATTGTAATCATGCTCTTATTTTATTAATTTATTAAATCTTGTAATTGACTATTTCTTAATTATGATAGATTCTGAGGCACTGTGATTTTCATCTTCATTATTTTTTACAAGATTCTCTAATTTTTAGACTGTCTATCTTCCATTTTCAAATAGAGGTTCATCTTGGACATCAAAAATAACACTGTCAGTTCTTCTAATTGAGATTTAAGATGATTTTTTCTTTTTCTCTTTTAATGGAGAATTTTTATCATTTCTGATAACATTAATGGGTTTATCTTCCATGTATTAATGAAATTAATTTTTCTAAAATTTAATTGATAATTTTGATTATGAGAGTGTTTAAGGATCATAAGGTTAATTTTTAGTGTGTTTTGATTGAACTTGAAAATAAGTTGGATTAGGTACATCATTTAAGGAACTCCATCTTTAAGTATAAGAAGAGTAATCTTAAGATTGATCTTCTCTCTTCCATCTAGGGTTAGTTATTTTATGATCAATAACAGGTTTCTTGAAAGTTAATAGTAAGCAATATTACTTCATCTTAATTAATTGAATATTAGATAGTTGGACATTTAGAGCAATCGGTTCCTTTGATAATAGTTTTTTAATATTCATTTAAGCGAAGAAGAGATTTCTTGTATGGATTAAGACGTTCTTATTTCTTTTCAATTTAAACAAATTTATTTTTGATGTTATATGATGAATTTGAAGATTGAAGTTCTTATGGAATAGATGCTTAAGATGATTAATCAATTTATGGACTTGTATTTAAACCCAAGAATGATTTAAAACTCTTTCTCATTCTTTCAAAAGACATTAAAATCGAATTTAAAATTATTCATTCAATTTATTTATATTTATTTTAAGTTCAAATAATGTTTAATAAAGTAATCCCAATGAGAAATTAATTATTTAATTTTAAATAGAAATGACTAGTATATGTGAACATATTACTGAATAACACATCACTTGGTCAGTATAGGGACAAATGATATATAAGGATCAATGTACAAGATGTTTTGTGGAAGCTAAAAGTGATAATGGTATATAGGTGTGTTTGAAATGTTTTAATGGAGGTTGTATTGAAATGCACAGTCCTTAACATAGTGATTAACATAATCACTTTATTGTTTTGAATATCAGATTATTTGAGATTGAATAGCCATAATAGAAAGTGGAAGATATAAATAAATTAGTAATAGCAGATATTCCATAATTGGAAAGTGAAACAAGTGTGACGTGTTTGAAATGTTAGAAAACATTGAGTTCTCCAGAATTGGATGGATTGGTATAATCAATTAAATAAGCTAATTCTGCATTTAAAAGATAAGCTATAGCCTAATGGGAACATACAGCTTAACCATGTGAACATACTTTAACAATGGAATAGATACCATTAGTTGAAAAGAATCTATAAAAATGTAGAAGTTGTCATTTATCATCTAATTTATGGTTATGTTTATATTGTGGACATGTTGGTTGTGGTAGAAAAGTATATGATGGATCAGGAGGAAATAATCATGCAGTTGATCATTCTAAAGAGTTTTAACATCATTTAGTAGTCAAATTAGGAACTATTACATCAGATGGTAAAGGTGATGTATTTTGTTACAAATGTGATGATGAAGTGGTTGATAATTTTCTTAAAGAACATCTTGCTACATATGGTATTGAAATAGAAAAGTAAGTGAAAACTGAAAAAACAATAGCTGAATTGACTTTGGATGCCAATTTATCTTTATAATTGAGTAAATTAATAGAAGAAGGTTAAGTATTAGATCCAATATTTGGACCTGAATTTACAGGAATTGATAATATTGGAAATACATGTTATATGAATTCAGTTGTATAAGTATTATTTAGCATACCTGAATTTTAATAATTATACTCTCTTGATCATTAATTTAATTGCACTGCATTACCATATAATTGTGTTTTATGTTAAATTAGTAAAGTTAATCATGGTCTTAATAGTGGAGAGTTTTCAATAAAAAAAGTAGCTAAATCACCTTTAGATACTGAAGATGCTAAAAAAGATTTTTATTAAGATGGAATTAGATTATATGATTTCAAGTAATTAGTTGCTAAAGGTAATTAACACTTTCTATCTAATCATTAATAAGATGCATTAGAATATTGGCAATTATTAAATTCATTCTTTTAGAAAACAGAAAAATAATTTAAATTATAATAATTATCATCTATTTTCTCATATGATTAGACTACTATAATTAAATGTGTGAATTGTGGAGGACATAAAGTTAATGTTGTTAAGAATTAAGAATTTAAAGTACCTGTTGAATAACCTACATAAGAATAAATTGATCTTTATTATGCTCAAGAGAAATTCAAATATGAAGAAAGAATTAAAACTATGAGACCTGAAGATATTAAACCATTTGAATTAAATGATTTACCTGAATATGATACAACCTTTGAAAAGTGTTTACAATTAGTCAAAGAAGGAGAAAGAGTAGATATGTTCTGTCCTAAATGTTAATCTCTTTAATTATTTATCAAATAAGATTACTTTAAGAATTATCCAAAATATCTATTTGTACCTGTTAATAGATTTGTTTAAGAAAATTGGGTTCCCAAAAAATTGAATGCATCTATCAAAATTTAATAATTCTATGATTTTGTTGAATTCAAAGAACCTGTATTATAAGATAAAGATGTTTTGAATGATTAATAAGTATAAGAATATACAGAAGATAATTTATAAAATTTAATGGGAATGGGATTTGGTGAGAATAGATGTAAGAGAGCATTGATTAAATTTAAGAATGATATTGAAGCTGCTATGATGTATATTATGGAATCTTTGGATGATCCAACTTAAGATTAACCATTATAATAAAAATAATAAGGTTAATAAATTAATGAAGAATTTGTAGAATAAATAGTTTTAATGGGATTCAATTCAGAATAAGCCAGATTTGCATTATCTAAAACAGTATATATAAATATATCTATATTTAAAGGATAATAATTTAGAAAGAGCTATGGATTATATATTTAATCATGACTTAGAAACAGAGATGAATTAGACACAAGAAAAGTAATAATAGAAATAAGATTAATTTGAAAATTAAACATCCAAATATGAATTGTTTGGTATTTAATTTACATTAATGTTTAGCTTGTATCGTCCATTTAGGAAAGTCTGTTCATTGTGGACATTATGTATCTTATATAAAAAAGAATGGAGAATGGATCTTATATAATGATTCTAAAGTTGCTAAATCAACTGAACCAGCATTACATAAGGGTTATATGTATATTTTTAGAAGACTGGATTGATTATTTTGATAATTATAATTATAAAAATAAAAATTATTTTTCATGTATAATACTTCCTTCTATTTTGCATCCCCATAACCAACTTATATTCAATCCTCTTATGTTAGATATGCTCAACCACCAGTCAAAACCATCATTAAACCACAAAATATCCAAATTTAACATTCTGTACTTTCATAAAACCTATTATAATAGCCAATTCCTACAACAAGAGTATATCACACCTAGCCAATTATTCCTGTTAGACATAGCAATTCTATCCATCAATCTTATGCAACTAGAACAATTGTGCCTTAATCCTATCAAATAGTCTTAAATACTTCCTATTAACAATCACAATTTATGACATCTCCAATACCATATCATCCATAATAATAAACATATTCATAATCCTTTCATCAATAATAACCAAATACTCAATAGTTTTAGTCTAGACAATCCAAACCAGCTCCATAATCTATGTCAAATTATCAACCAACTCCGTAATATTAACATAAACCTTAATACTCTCAACCTCCAATTATATCCTAATAAGAAGATGATCTAGAAAAGAAGTTTCAGGATGCAATTGATAGAACTAGAGATCTAGTACAGAAGTACAATATACCCTAATCAAAACCAGAGGAAAAATAATTATAAGATCTTGCCCTCTAATATGAAGATGGATATATTTATAGAGGATAAGGATATGAACCAGCAACAAGAGAAGGCTTTGGAGTTTTGACTGATTAAAATGACAATGAAGTATATAGTGGTTATTGGCTAGACAACCAATACCATGGATAAGGAAAACTGATCAATTATTCTGCAGAAGAATTTAATGGTCCTTTTGATTATAGAGATTTAAGTATAATAGAGAATGGTTGGTTAAGTTATGAAGGAGATTTCTTTTAGGGAAAGATGTAAGGAAATGGCACATTATATCTTACCAATGGAGAACGTTATGAAGGTTAATTCAATGATGGTATGATTGAAGGGAAAGGAGTATTTATGACTTAAGATGGATAATAAATTGATGGTATATGGAGAGAAGGTGTATTAGAACATTGATTGATATAATTTATAAATTTTGTCAATGGTAATAGTATAATTATATATTGATATTTAATTTATGATTCAAGAATAAGAACATACTGTCACCTTAGTTATAAATCAATCTATAGAGATGGGTGAATTTGGAATATAAGAAGCCATATAACTATTTGAACTCTTCGGATTGTCATATTAAGAGTTGTTCAAATAATATTTCCCATTAAATTAGTTTCCAAAGAAATATTAAATTACATCTCAAACATTACCAAACTATCCTTTTGTAGATATATAATTGAAGGATCTGGATTTAATACCTAAAGTCTTAAGTCGATCAATCTTGATACATGATATCCTATACACCATGAGTAGAGGTAATACATTAGATGAGTTACCAAATAATGTATTACCATAAGCAATGTAATATATTTAAAATCCTAATCTCTCTTGTAAATGTGATATCATTACATCATATTTCAAAATCACCTAAGAGAAGAGAGTCTAATTAATTGAATAAGTATTTGGAGAGAAGGGATTTAATTGTTAAAATACTATTAATTTAACAGAACCAGACATACTTTATTATTTAATTATCACTAAAGATCAGAAATATATTGCTGGTTGTACTTTGACAAAGAAAAAGAAGAGAAGAGAAAAGAATTTTGCAAGAAATTATGAATTACCTAATCGAATATATCTAGGTCCAGTGTCTTTGGCTCATGATTTAGCTTTCTTAATGGCAAATTAAGCTTAAGTGTAAGAAAATGATTTAGTATTTGATCCCTTTGCAGGAACAGGAAGTTCTTTGGTTGCTTGTTCTCATTTCGGAGCCATTTGTTTTGGTTCTGAAATAGATGGATATGTAATTTATATTAATTAATATATCAAGTTAATGAAGGGACATTGTATTGGATATCTCAATAAGAAGAGTACATATCTAAAAGATCCAAATTATAAATAAGTCAAACCATACATTCATTTGAACTTTCATTAATATAATCTTCCTACTCCTAATTTGATATAGGCTGATGTTCATTTACCTAATTTCAATCCAAGAATAGAGTCATTCTTTGATGCCATCATTTGTGATCCTCCTTATGGAATAAGAGCATCTATTTAATAAGATGGAAATGAATAGGATCTTTAAGCAAATCGAACTGCAATTTATAAAAGAATGTTTGAAGTGGCTAGAAAAGTATTAAGAAGAGGAGGAAGACTCGTTTATCTATATCCATTATTTAAGGGAATGGAAAAGAAAGTAGATAAGGAAGAAGGATTTGAATTAATTGATTTTCGAGAGTAAAAGATGGTTGATAAAAGAAGTAGATTATTAGTTACAATGGAGAAGTTGTGAATAAAATTATAATATATATAGATATCAATTACTCATCAAATTAAATTGCTCATCAATGCAAAATTGAATAAATATACTCCAAATATTCTTATGAATAAATTTTCATAAAACTTCATTTAATTTCCTCCTAAAAGTTTTATGTTATCATAATTCTTTGACTTATTTAATCTATATCCAACATATTCAGGTATCAACAGAAATACCCATATAATTATTGGCATATAATTAGATTTTTCATATCCATCCCAAATATTAGTTTCAAATTTTCCATTTAATATATATGTTTTATCAAAAACCCAATAAGTAAAAGTTCTTCCTGAAAATATAAACATATAAAAATAAACTATCCAAAACAAATGTTCCCAACATGCTCCATTCTTTCCTTTTCTAGTTAAATTAGTCTCTTCCATAGATACATAAGGTTTCAAACTATCTGGAGTTGCATAATAAATTACTCTTCTAAAGAATACAGTAAATACTATTGATATATTATTGATTCTAAACATTATCAAGAAAAACAAACAAAACCAAAAATCGAATCTTGTCATATCTCCTTAAATCAATGTTCCCACTCTTGTACCTATTATTAACAATTAACCTTAATATATATATAATTCACTGTATTTAGTGAATGAAAGTGATAAATCCATAAAAAATTCCATTCCTAAATCTAAAAATGCATAAAGAAACATATAATATTCATGCCAAGCTACAGAATTTTAATCTTTAAAAGATTGTTTTATATAAGGAAATAATTTAAAGCAAGCCAATAGTAATCCAATTATTGTGATATCATACAAAAAATAACTCAAACCTTTAGATAGATAACTTGGCCATGTCTTCATTCTAAATGTATTGAAAAATACAACAAAACCAAGTATGTATACATAAACTATAAATAACCAATCTTCATTAAATCCAACCCAAAATATCATTATAAAATCTGTTAAGACTGTCATTATTATTAAAATAAAATATTCCATCAAAGGTCTCCCATTCTTCACCTATATTAACTTATTTCCTAATACCAATTTGTACAATATATGACCTTTACAAAATACAATCCCTAATTTAAAAAGCTGTTTATTATTAATGATAATCTTACAATCTATTATTTAAAAAATGACCATAATCTAACCCAATAGCTAGAACAATCAATTCCATCAATAAAACAAAATTCTCCAATCTCATTCTACACAACTAAAATCAAAACTTCAATCACAAAGGCTATCAAAAGAGGTATGACTATTTCTCTTGCTAAATATTTTATTATATTCTTATTATCCATGAATATCAAACTCATTTAATCTCCTATTCTATCATAATAGAATGCATTTATTTTACGAAATCCTGCACCCTTATTATTTAATGTCATATTTGATATCATAGATTAACTTAAACTATGTTAATTAATAGGAACAAGCTTTCTATTTGCAGATTTATATGTCTATAAATTGTTCCTTTAATTTGAAGGTATTTCCACAAAATTTAAATTTAGAGGCTTTTCTTCTTAAATTTCTGTGTTTAATTGTTCAACTTATACTATATCTTTCCTAGCCTCAATAGAAACTACTTCCTATTCTGATGCTACAAATTTTTAACTCTTCTGAATATTCTGCTATTTCTAATATAATTCATCTTAATTAAATTCAGATTCTAGATCTCCTTCTGAATTTATTGTTTAATCCTATTATTCCTTTACCTTAATTGACTCTTACTGTTATTATTTTGCACTCTAAAATTTTGCACTTGACGATGATGCATTAGATAAATACATTAATTTAAATTAATTAATATAACATTTTATCAAACTATTACATAAATTTATATTTCTTTTATTTTATAATTAAAAACTATATAAATATTAATAATTAATAGAATATACTCCAAATATAAGATTCAATTAATACTTAATTCAAATTATAATGCAACTTAATAAGTTATTATCATATTAATAAAATTTTATTCTCCGTATTATAATGGGTTGTGCAAACACTAAATATTCTTATCAATATCCTTTGCATTCATATCTCATTAAATAGAGATTCAATTCAAAGGAATATATAATGACAGAAAATCAAACGTTTTAAATATTTAAGAATCCAATTTTTAAAAGAAGAAAGGATTAATAGAATAAAAATTAGGCTATCAAGTTACTAAGTTAAAATCACTATGAATCAAGATATTTGTATTTTATTTTCTATTTTCATGGACAATTTCAATAGAGAAATTATAAAATTTATGAATTTCTCAGATACAATATATATATACCAATCCCCAATGAAATTAATTCAAATTTCTGAGGATTCATTATCAATTATTGAAATAATATAAATTTATTTACTGTTTAATTAATAAATTTTGAATCAATAAATATTAAATAAATAATTGTAGTCTTATTCACTCTTTGATTAATGCTCTAATAATATTTTTATAGAATCATTAAGATTATTAAGATTGAGAAAATGATTTCTATAACATTTGTTTCGTCAAATATACTTACTTTTCTCTTAAAATATTATTATTTTATTTTAAATAATATATTAAATGAATTTAAATAAATGCAGTTTTTTGGTATCGTTTTTGTTTTTTCTAGTAAGATGAAAATAATTTCGAGCTTTTCAAAAATATAAGAAATGAAGAGAGTATTTAAGATGACTAAAATTCAATCAGCTAATCTATAGTATAATTATCAAATTGATTAGAATTTGTAAAATCATCTAAACAATTAATTATAAGCATACTTAAATATTAATGATATTGGAGGTAGTGAAAATAGGCTAATAAGAACTTAAGCAGATTATTTTTATAATATAAATGATTTTTTTAGTGATCTATCATATTTCACTATTCAGAATTGTTTATAATAAAATAATTAATACTAAAAATATCTATCCTTTATAAATGATTTTGGCAGCATTTAATTGTAGTTAAGAAGACCAATAGTCCATATTATTTGATAATTATTTAAGATAGTTTTTTATCATAAACTTATTTGAACATTTATAAATTTATAAATTTACTATTCTCTCAAACATAACTATTATTTAATCATTTTATAGGATTTATGTTTAAAATGTAAAAAAAAGGCTGAATAAAAATCTGATTAATTTGATAGCTGATATTGGATTCTATGATTGAAAAAACTTTTTCATTAGAAATATGAATGTCAATAAATAAAAAGCATCTTAGAAGAATTTATGAAAAAAGTTGAATCTTAAATGACTAAGTAAGAATTGTATTAAAAAATAAATAAATTTCAATACATACTATTAGAATCTATCAAAGTAATACAAGAAAATTAATCCATATAAGTCAATTAAATATAGAATTAAAGTGAAAAATAACCAATCTTAGATTAAAATTTTAAACAATCAGAATATTTGAATAAAAATTATGAATAATTGCAATATTTCAAACTAAATTTTTTTAGAAATACAATCAAATAGAAAAAATTTAAATATGCAGTAAAAAATTATAAAATTCAAATATAAGATTATTAATTTGACAAAAATAAAGCAGTTTAAACTTATTATTGAAATAAAATAAAATTAAACTTAATTGATTTCTATTTTATACTATTAAGTTTAAGCAAAGATTTATATCATTTAGAATTATAGATTCATTTCAAAATACATATTAAATACTTCAAAAAAAATTTTAGTAAACTAAAGCCTATATTAATCAAAAATATTAATAGATTATAAAATACATTTAATCAACTTTCATATGATGTCGATAAAAATTGACTTTTATGCTTCTCAATAAAATCAACCTCAAAATCATCAACATCACATAAATATTTGAAAGCCACTCCTTTTTAAGTAATCAAAAATGTACTAACACAAACAACGACTCTTATTAAAATAATTTAAAATTACCTTGATACTAACCTAAGTTTTTAATAAAATCTAAATGTTCTAGGTAAAATGGCTGCAGTAGTCAATCCAAAAAATGATCCAAAATAATTCATTCTTACTAATTTCTTTTAAAGTTCAAAATATTTCTTTAATTATTGATCATCCATTTCTGTTTCTAATGCTTTCATAATTTCACGCTTTGTAATTGTTGTTGTATTTTCCAATCCATTTTCTCTTAATTCTGTTTAGGCCTTTCTGAATCTTGCTTATTATTCTACATATTTCATTTTTTCTTTCATTTATTTGCTCTTTTCTCTTTTCTCTTCTTTTGTTAATTCAGCCATTTATATAAATTAATAATAATAATAATAGCAATTCATCTTGGAGCACCAAATGCTTCAGGCATTCTTTCTATTGTATATTTATGATTTTAGATGAACATTATTGGAACACCAGGAATTTTACGGATTCTTCTTTTTAAATCCTTATCACAAGTGGCTACTATGAAACATCTATGTTGTTTCACTCTATTTACTAAACAATCATCAGCATAAGTGCCTTTGTGATCACATGTTAACTTCTCAAAGCGAGGATCTTTAGATAATCTCAAAGCCAATCTTGTCTTTTATCCCAATTTCTCTAACTCAGCAATCACACAATCAGAAATATATGGGATGCATTTTCCAAGTAGACAATCCATTGTATTTTTAAATATATCAAGTTTGTTTGAAATGCTGAAATTTAAAAAATTTGTATCAAGTAGAATTCTATATGGAGGTCCAAGGGCTGGATTATGTCTAAAAAATAAATGACTTGGCTCTTATGGTCTTTGATATAATAATATTAAAAATACAATTCTTTTATTTCTACATCATTAACACCTTTCTTTTTCTCCTCTTTTGGTTGTTCTAAATGTCTTTTTTAACATCTTGGATCCTTTTTTGTAATCATTCGCTTTATAGTTGCAAATTTCTTAGTTTTATGTGCTTTGCCCATATGTTAAAATTAAAAATAAGAAGTTTTGATATAGAATTTGAACAATAACTTCGATACTTTAAATTAAAGAAGGAGAACAGAATTTAATATAAACTCATTTATAATAATGTTCCTTTAATTCTTATACCTGAATCTTTTTAATCATGTCTATCTATTTCTTCAAAAATGTCTGCTTTTGATTGTTCTTCACATTGTATGGTGACTATAGTAATTGAATAAGTTTCTTTGTTTGAATCATTTTAATAGTTGTGGGACTACTCTATTACTTTTAATTTGGTGATTTCCTTTGAACCTAATTACGTCCACATTTTGGACTACCTGGCCGACTTGAGGATGTCTTCACGAATGTGAAACCTTTTTTAAAATCTGGGAGTGTATCTCTACTAGGCTTATAAGTCTCCTAAATAATCTAATTAAGATTGTTACTTAAGTTGAACCTGACATTAGCAGTGAGACTTTCTTCTTTTTATTCTCTCCATAAAATTGTAAACTTAATTCCTTGTAAAATTCATCAATATCATCATTAATATTCTCATCCTAATATGGATCATAGGAATGGAGAGACAAATGTTCGTCATCTGACATTTTTCTTATAAAAATTAATCAAATTACATTATAGTAAATTAAACTCCCTCAAAACATTATAAAAAATCTGTTTAAACCTATTAAAAACTATCTACACTTAACATCATGAAGAATATTAAATAAAAAATTACATATTCAAAGTTTCTTCTATTAAGTATAATTATTTTTATGAATAAGTTTATTTTCTTAGTCTAAAAATGTCAATAGTAGTTATTAATTTACTAGATAATTAAAATACCACTTATAATATTATCTCTATTAACAAGACAATTCAATTAATTTGCTTATACAATTCTAAATTATTTTTACTATCGTCTACAACAAATGATGAATAAAAATACAAATAAATTGGATGTAATAAATGAATCTTCTCAATTATTTAATTTGGCTCACTTATATTGTAAATAGTCTGATTATTATTTTATACTTTAATTTGAATTAATTTAATGTTAGATTTATAAAAAAGGCGATTAAATAAATTAAAAGATGTAATAACATGAAAGGAGAATTGATTATATATAAATAATTTTAGTATATAATTTTTTCGAAAATAATAAATAAGTAAATAAAATATTATAAATTGATTATCCTCAATTCATTAACATCTTCTTTTATGCAGATGTTTAAATTAAAGAATACTTAAAATCATTGCATCTTTATTTTCTACTATTTCTTTTAATATGTTTTTTAAATTTATTATAATCTAATAATACTTCTGTACTATTAAAGTTTGGAAAGTAATACTAAAATTCATAAATTTTATCAAAATATAATTAACTATTACTTGAACTATTCAAAGTACCATGATTTTATTGAAAATGAGTAGGAGACTTTTATGATTTATCTCTAACATATTTATTTGATCTTAATTATATGTCCTTTATAGATGTTTATATTTGAAATGTTTATAAAGTCTATTAGACTGTTGTTTTAGTATTATCATATTATTTTGATGGTTATATTTTTACTTAAGATGGTAAAATTAAACTATCTTATTATTGATTCAAATTCATGCAATTTTCTTATGAAGGTGAATCTAAACTTTAAATATGTTCTTGAGTTATGGATTATCTATGTGTACCATCTTATTCAACAGATACATATGTACCATTTTTGTCTTCTAAAAAATGATTTGTATAATAAAGTCTTTATTAATTTTGAATATCCTTAAATTTGGAATATATATTATACCTTTATATCTTTAAGTGAATTAGTTTTATGTTATGCTCTTACAATCCTTTTCCTATGTATATTTTTAGATCTATTATATTTTAATATTAACTTTTCAATATCAGGCTTATAAAATAGATAAGAACAATCAAAAATTTAATGATTTTAAGAATTACATGCAGAACAATTTATTCCTTCTACTGATATATTTTATAATTATCTATCCTTAATTTAATGAAACTTTTCAGAATCTTATTTATCTAGACTATTTATGAAATCTAATCTATTAATCTTATATATTTTAGTAAATCCAACACTAATAGCAGTGAATTTTCTAGATTATTATGTAAAAAATTCAATTTCTCCAAATTATTATCCAGGATTTAAAATAGTTAATTATGTTTATGATTTCATTTCAACTAATTTAATTTAACCATAATCAATAAAATATAATGATATATCTTAAAAACTATCTTAAGAATAAATAATTTCATCTGGACAATATTTATATGGTTTAATTTTCTTTGCAATTTCTTTTAAAGTTTATTCTGAAAAATTATTAAGTAGAAATTTACAATTTTAAATTATATGCTTAAATACCATATACATTAATTCATTTTTTAATTCTACAGATAATTAATTTTTAATCTATGCAATCTATTAATTATATATATATATTAAATACTAATTCATTATTCTGATTTAAAGATTCATTTTACATATATTAAAGATAACTTCTAACTCTATCTTATAATTATAATGGAATATTATGTTATTTCATATATTTTGAAATAGCATGTAAATTGAATATAAATTATGATTTTTGATCATTTATAGTAGATAAAATTGATCCTATTTTATTTATTGAAAATGCAAATACACCACAAGCCATAAACATCAATATTATACAAATTATTGTTTCAATGTAATTTTATGGTGTAATATCTCCATATCCTACAGTAATCATAGTTACTGTTGCCCAATAATATGAATAACAATATTTTATTAAAATTGATTCTTAATCAATCCCCTTTTCAATAAGCCAACTAGTATTTAAAGATTATGCACTATGTGATCCCACAAAATGCCATATACATGCTAATAAATGAGCAAATAAGCTTATAGAAAATAGTAATGTTATTAAATTAACATATTCTCTATTAATTTAATTGATATGAGTTTATTATTACAATTTACCTATTTATTCACTTAATTTTGTATAACTTACAAGACAACATAAACATAAAAAGATTGTTGCTGTAACAATATCATCATAATCTTTGCTATCAGGAATAGAAGTACTAAGTATAATGACTGAGAATATAAGTAAAAAATCTAGTAGTAAATCATCCTTAAAATATTACTTCAAAATAGAAAATCGATCATTTATTATCTATTTATTTAAGTAAAATTAATTACATTTCCTTAAATTGCTATTTATGTATTTAATCTGAGTAGAATGTCTAATGAAAAATAAATTAGAGTATATAGAATTATGAATTAGAAGCTATCCTCTCCACCCATTTCAAAACTCCAAACAAAAGGATATATCCATAAAATCGATATAAGTGATAAAGTACGAATGAATTCCCAAAATGTAATCAACATACTACTTTAATCAAATACAGGAAGTTAACATTTTTTTGTATGCAGATATTCACCTAGCATAGCAGGCTTTCTATATTTGTATGTAAAATATTACTTTAGTAAATATTTTTCAATTAGAAATTTTTCAGTAACCTTTCTGCTTTAGTTGTTGTATACATAAGCTTTTCTCATTATTTTTTCTTTAAATACTTAAACCAATTTATCCACCTATAATAAACCAAATAATTTCTAAGTTGTTTTCTTGTCTTGCTTTTTTTTTTCTTCCTTGACTTATTATTGAGAGAAATCTTTAAAAGAAACAGATATATCAAGAATTTCAGATTTGTCATGTTAATCTATATCTAATTAATTAGTTATGGGTGAATGACGAAATGGACGGAAAGCCTCATTATCATTATTGAATTATAAGTCTCTTGAATAATCTTATTCTTGAATATTAATCATAATAAATTAAATAATTCAATTTAGATTTTAATCTTTGACTAATTAGAAAATAATTTTGGATTTATCACATTATAAATATCTAAGAAGTTTATTTAATTCTTATATAATAAATAAATAGAAATTGTTTCTATTTTTCTAATGATTTTTTACAACAAGAAAATATTTAAATTATAATTATTTCATTCAAAACATTCTAATAAAATGAAAATTCAATTTTAGTTGATGATTTTAAATGAAATAATAATTATTATTTGAGCAATTTCTATTTTCTTTATTTTGTATTTGAAATAAATCAAATTACATAAAAATGAATATTAATAGTAAATTTTATAATCTAAATTTTTATTTGATAGTTTTTTAAAAAGACTTAATTTATTATTCTATATACTAAGTTGAAATATTTTTTTGTTTATAAAATAGCTAAAAATATGATCAATGTATATTTATTGATAATCAATAATATTATTATTTAAATACGATAGATATAATATATTGATAAAATTTTATAATGCTTTTTTAGAATGATAAATGAAAGAATATTACATAATTATGTATTATAATAAATTTAATGGAAAATAAATCATAATTTATATTTTCTGATAGAATCAAATTATTGTAATAATTGGGACCTGAACCAGAAAGAGAAGATATTTAAAAGATAGCCACGATGTTTAAAATACCAGAGGGAAAACTTTAGAAATGGATTAACCAGTATGATAAATATGTACTGCCTTAGAGGAAAGAGATAATAGATTCTGATGATGATTAAATAAACAAATTAATATAAGAACAAAGATAATTATGCTAAGAACTTTCTGCTTTGGTGGAATAAATAAATGAAATACATAAAAAGAAATAATTATTATATTATTAATGAAAATTAATTAAAACAATTAGAAAAATTAAATGAATTTTTATACTTTGGATATTCTTCAATATAGAATTTCATCATATTTTTCTATCTTTAAATTTGAGAGTATAACTTTAAAAAGTATAATATTAATATATATTTTGGGATAACTTTAATAATTTATTTTTAATCATTAAGATAAGTTATATATCAATATTGATTATTAATAATAGTTTAATAATAATGAATATTAATTAATTAATCAATTTAAAACTTCAAATTTAACTTATCCTTCTAAACATGACATGTAAATATATTATTTTTATTTCATTAAAGATCCCTTTTTTTGAAATAGAATTAATATTCCATCTCTTGTAAACAATCTTAGACTTACTATATCATCAACAAAGTTTAAATTCAATCCAACAATACTATCTATTTATAAACAGAAATCCTATAATTTTCCCAATTTAGAATCATCTCTACATTAATTATATAAACATGCCCAATTACCAACATTATCAATATTCTTGGTTAATTCAAAAGCTGTTTATTCAACATATCCAAAATGTAGACAACCAGATAGAAATGAAAGAATACGTATACGTATTTCTATATTATCTTGAAAATATAAGTCTTATGAGACAATAGTAGTATTCTTTTACATTGTAATAATCTTACCTCCTTCTTCAAATTTCACTTTTGGTTTACCTAATATACTTCTCTTGGTTGTTTTATCTAGAAATGATAATGTTGGCATTAAAGGACTAATAGTATCATCAAATTTAGAAATGGAAGTGTTTGTTATATTATTATTATTATTATGTGTGTAAGTATTCTAAAAATTTGGAAAATTATCAATATTTTCAAAACTATCTTTATTTAATAATAATTATTAAGTTTCACCTAGTTAATCTATTTATGATAAATTTAAAGTAATTGCTTATGGCATTGATTTAACATCAGTTGATTTCTATTCATTACTATCTTCTTATAAAATGGATTGGAAATTTAGATAAATTTATGAATGTGTAGTCTTAATTAAATCGTGCATTCTTTATTTGAATTATTAAATCTTCTTGTACTTCTGAGAATTACATTATAATGAATGTACACTCTTTTCTACTTATGATTTAAGATCATCCATATTTGCAAGGAATGCATCTTAGACTGTTAGAAATACATTGTCAAATGTTAAAGATGGATATGGATTCTATATACCATTTAGAATACAATCTTATAACCATTTATACTCATCTACATTAATATAACTTATCTACGTTAATTAATATGACAACTACTATTTTCCTTATTGTGAAGATATTAAATCAATCTAAAAAGTTTGTCTCTTTTATTCACAATTTCTTTGATGACTAAAATATTCTGGGACTCATGTTGATGATCATTTATTATACATTTTAAACTACCTAGTCAATTCAATTACCATAAAATATGTTGATACTCTTCACAATTTGAATCTATACAAATAGCTATTATAGAATCATGATCATGTAATTAACATTGTAAGTCTTTGAATAAATCATTAATTCTATAAATGTAATTTTTCAATTAGAGATCGAACTCTGACCATATGAAATTTGTATTATGAGGTTTATATTTGATTAGACATTTTCTCATAATTTAAATCGAATTATTATTATTTATACTTTTATAGTATTATTCAAGTAGTAATTTAAATATCCAAATATCATGCTCATGCATCCTCATATCAATGCTTAATAAGGTTCCTCATCAAGATCTATGTCAATATCTATGGATGATTCAATCAATATGTAAATACAACCAATTGTCTAAAAAATGGTCATTGTCAACTCACATTAACTATAAGTGAGAAAACCATCTAATTAAGCTCAAGATATTCTTCGTTCACCACCTACAGCCAGCTTAACTCCATAACAAGCTTCAGAAAAACTTCCTTAGAATGACCTAAAGGATTTACTATTAATAGATGAAGAACCAAGTATTAAAGAATAATCAATGTAAATAAACCCAGAACCTAAAAAAAAGAAAAAGCAAATTAAGAATAACATAAGTAATGCAGAGATGATCATTGATGAAAAACCTTAAAATTCATATAGTGATGTACAATGGAGTAAGTTACTTACTTCCAAAACGAGTGTCACTAATCCTTCATTCTAATTAAATTTTCTTTAAGATAAAGCTGCAGAATTCTTTTTTAAACAATCTTCTTTAAAGTGGCTCAAACCAAAATTACAAAATACATACTACTATATTAGTAGTGTTGTCTTAAGTGTTTACTTATGTTTTTTCATCACTATTATGTTAATAGATTTAGAAGATGGAATCTATTAACAACCTATATACTAAGTTATTTTAATGACATTTTGGTTGATAGATACATTTAATTAAATTCTTTTTATTCAATATAAAAACGGAGAGGAAATCAAATAAATAGAAGATCTTGTTACCAGATATTGTAAATATTAATCAATATTTGATATTTTGACTATAATTCCTATCATATTGTGTTTAATTTAAAAAAAGATACCTGCAATTTAATTATTACATCTTATAAATATATGGAAAATCAGAAGAGTGTTTTATGAATTATAAATAATATTAGGTAAATTCGCATTGTACATTTATTATATTTTGGAACTTCATTTCGTTTAATTTATAGCTTTGTCTATTATTCAATTTTCGTTGGATAAACAATTAAATTATTTTGATGAATTCATAGTATTGTTTTATAAATCAGAGAATGCTAATGTTCTTACTTACATTGTTAGGCTTCTCATTCTAATTTATTATTGTTATTTCATTTCAAGACTCAATACTTAAGACAAGTGGAAATTAAATCAATTTTCTATTCAAAATAATACTAAGTAAAAAATTAATGGATATATTAATAAATTAAAGAGTTAATAAACTGTTGATCTCAACTTCCTCGAATATTTACCTCAGCCATATATTGAAGACTTCAAAAATTAAAGGTATATGTAAATGTTGTCTAATATACCTATTTTTAAGTCTTCCTTTTCTGAAACCACACTTAAAGAAATTTGCAATCTTATTCAAGAATATACTTACAATCCTAATTAAACTATTCTCCTTTAATAGACTCCAAATCAATAATTATACTTGATTTTATCAGGAGATGTCAGAATCTCATAGAGAAGAGAAGAGACTCAAAAAAACTGTGAATTTAAATTAAAAGTTTTAAGTGAAGGTTAGATATTCAACAATAAAGCCTTTTTTAAGAATTCTTACTCTAATATATGTGCAACTTCAATAGGATTCTCTTAGATTGCTTAATTGGATATTGAATTATTTTAGGAGTGTATAAAACATCATTATTAAGAGAAATAGAAGTATAAAATGATGTTGGATTAGATTGTACTCTAAGAATTTTATAATTTGTGTTTAATGCGTTGTTATGCATGTGGTAAATTTCATGATATTGATGAATGTGATCATGTACATTATGTTCCTAAGAAATCTTTCCTGGTTTCTTACATTTAATCAAATGATGTTTAAGTAAGACATCCATAGAAAAGAATACGATGTAGACAATAGAGAACGAAATCTTATATGTTGAAGATAGAAGAGAATGCTTTACTCTATTAGTAATTGAACATTGAATCTGACATATCTGAAGATCATAAACATTTAGATGAGATGATAAGTATTCAATAACAACATTATTTGCGTGAAGTCACAAATCCATACACAGATAGATAAAATTCATTGTAACAATCTTAGTAGACTCCTCATATGGCTTCATAATAATCTTTAAGAGAATCTATACAATCTCAATAGCAGCCTGGACATTAATTAATAGATATACCCAATGTAAGTCCTGTTCAATATGTTCAATAACCTCCTAGTGCAATTTCACATAGTTCGTATGCATAATTATTGAAGGATGTATCAGGGAATCGGAAGAACTTTAATGGATCATCTGATAAAAACTCTAGTGGGAATGTTTTTTCGTTACCTTACAGTAGTAATGGAAGTAAAACAAACCCTAATAATGTTATATAGAATAAGGAGAAGGAGGATTTGATAAGTATTTAATTAAAGAAGGCCAAATTGAAAGATAGTGTATATTATCATCAGAGAAGAATATAGAATCAAATAGAAAGTGAGGGTCCACATACTCCATCTAAGTATTAGAAGTGTTAAACAACTGCACCACAATTATAGTAAAATAAGACTTACAGATCAGATCGGAAATCAAATTCTTGCATTTCTGAATCTGAAAAAGGAGAATATTAAGTGCAATAATAATAATAATAGGAGAAACCAACATCTAAATATGGCATAACATCTTCAAAATTTACTGGAGAAACTGCAAAATAATTTATGAGGAATCCTTTAGAAATGCCAAATATTGAATTTTATTAATCCTTTGAAAAGAGTAATCAATATAGTGATTACTTTCCATAATATAATGTTGATTAAGCAATTGACAGTTATAAACAATATTAATAATCTAGATCCAGTGCTAATAAATGATTATATTTATAATATAGTATGATTATTCAACTTCCTTAAAAGTATTCTATAAATCTGGTAAGAGACATTCTCTCAAATAATGCTACGATTGAATTTGATGAAATATAGGTTTAGTAATCAAGGGAGTCTTTCTTAACATTTATTAAAAACAGTCAACAACAAATATATGGATTCAATACATTACTTGGATAGAAAATGCCTCAACCTATAAAAGATCTACAAAACTATGAAACCAAATAATTAAAACAATTATTAGAGTGCAATTCTTCAGATTATTTACAATAAGATCTATGTAAAATTACATTATTTGTGCTGATCAACAATTTAATCATCAATAGTGGAATTAGTCTAAATACATTAAGATAACTCAAAGATGTTTTTAATAGTCATATACCATTAAACTTACCATCAACTAATTTTAATACATAATATTATGATGGAAGTATTAATTGGGCCATATTATAGATAATTAAAAACATCAGCGAATATGACACTATCATAATTACATTTACTAAATCATTATCATTTGCTACACTTTTATACAATACACATAAAAGTTTGAAATACATAAAAATGGCATTTATTACTACTTCTGTATCTTTTGAGGCTACCAATGGAGTCATCTGTGCATTTACTTAGCTGGTTAATGAAGTCAAATAACATCAAGGTCAGATGGAAGTTGCTTAAGAATTGTATAATCTATTGACTGTAGATGATGAAGAATCAGATTTGAATATAAGTTTGAAGAGAATAACACATAATATACTCTAAGATGCTTATTCAACAAGATGTATACCTTAAGTTATAGGAGCAGCATTAGATTAAATTAAATTCATTATTAATTAAATTGAATCTTAGGAAATAGGATAAAGAGCTTATGACTTTGAAGTAGATAGTAATACAAAATCAATCAGAGATATAATCTATAATGAATAAAATAATAATGAAACTGAATTATTATTAATAGATTATTTGGCTATAGCAGTTTCAGAAATTGGAGCTATCACTGAAGTATATATATAGTTTTTTAGTATTTCTAGAGAAGAATTCATAGGTTGATGAATCCAAAGTTAACTAAATTATAAGAATATTATGAAGAATATTTAAGAGATGAAGAATCCTTATTTGGATATTAGTAATTGGCTAATTAGGCCAGTAATTTAATATAAAAAAATAAAAAGTATTGTCATCCTGTTTCAGGTGATTCAATGCCATAAACTACTCATTTAGAGGATATCAATAATAACTTTGAAGATTCTATTTTAAAAATGTAACATATTACATATAATACAATTCAAATATTGGCAATTGATATGTTTCTTAGTTCAAGAATTATCAAAAAATTAGAATAGAAGGAAGGCAAATTGATTCATTCTAAATTAGATACTGTAGTTTAGTAAGTATTACCTATAGAGAATACCATTTAAGTTGCATAATGGTTAGAATAATTTATAAAACTGTGATTATTCTATATTATAAAATGAGTGCATATGAATTGTATATTCTTTGAATTTCATTTAATTATATTAATTATATTAATCATATTAAAGATTTGCATTAAATTTTACAAATTTCAATATTTAATAAATAATATGAATAATTTTACTGATTATAAATAAAAAAAGATATGACATAAAGAGAATTAAAATATGTTTGAAAATGAAGTTTTTAAGAAAATGAAATTTTGTAATATAATAATTTAATTAAAAAATGAAGAATTAATATGTATTTTTTTATAGCATTATCAATTGTTCTTGCTGAACTGATAATAATATAATTTATAGTGAAAAATAAGGAGCTCATTCCTAATAAGAAAAGGAAAGTTAAATTAGATATAATCATATGATCTAATTTATGGAATTATAATGATATGAAGAGAATCATTATGAGATTGATATTTAAAAGAGATAGGATAATCTATGATTTTATTACATAATCAATCAATGAGAATAGCATCAGAAAATGAATTTCCTATTTTTTTAATGGGTTTTGGTTCTGGTAATGAAGGAGGATGTGACTTATATTATTTAATTTGAGATTATGCTACTACTTGATTGGAGATTTTTAAAATACGCTATGAAATCTACTCTAATTATATAATTCGATTATTATTGCTACGAGTGGAATCTGGAAGAATGGATTCTTGTTATTTCAATAGTTCTCTCAATTCAGGATTTTCCACTTCACCCTAAAAGAATTAAGCAGTCTGTTTACAAACTAATTAAATGAGACTTCATTAATTTTCAGGTTAAATTACTTGATTATTGTTAGTATGCACATTTAATATGCATCAATTTATAATCCAAGTATCATCTATTTACATATTGGACATTTCCATTTTCTAGGAGTAACATTCTTCATCATAGTTACTAAATTTTCTAATGAAAAACACTAAATATGTTCACAAATATTGCCTCTTGCTGGAGTCTAGATTTAATTTAGATCATAGACACAATCCAAACTAACCTTTATACTCTCCATTGTCACTTCATCAAATTAATTTTATAAGATAGATAATTAAATAAATTTCTTGCTTTATTCTATTCCTAATAAACAATTTTGATCCATTTTTATTTTTTTGATAAATTCACTCAATTTATAAATTCTTACTTAAAATATTCCTAACATATATGGAATTCCTTAATTTATTCTATAAGCTTTCAATTCAGGTGTTTAATTTTATTCTCTAATAGTTAATAAATTCATTTGCCCTAATTCTAATTTAAGCTCAAGTTTTTCATCTTTTCTTTTCTTTAAAGAACTATTATGAGCTAATGGTCTAAATTCTTAAATCTTTTTTCCATTTAATTATAGATCACCTAAATCAGGCCATGAAATATCTTCAAATTAACCATCTATTTTAATTGATCTTAATTCTACTAAATGTTCTGAAGGTAAACCTTTTTTTAATTAAAATTTTGATATAAATTAATTAGCCCTCCCTTCTAATGATTAAAATATTATTGGGTCTAAAATTGATTCTTATAATTCATGTAATGGATCCATACCAATTATTATACATTCTGGACATACAAATACCTTTTTAGGTTTCTCAATTCGTAAACATGAACTATGAAAATAATTCTTACAAATAGCACATCTAAAAGCTAATGGTTTTTATGCTATTTAATTAATTTTCTTGCAAACACAATAAGGACAATTTAATTGTTCTTCTGTAGGATTTTTAAATTTAGCTAGATCAATCAATTCAAATTCTTATTTTTACTATTTCTATTATTATTCTTCAGGAATTCTTTGATTAGAATCAATTTCAATATCAATTTGTGATGATCGTGTACTTTAAGAATCAATCAAATTTTGTTAATTAATCAATTAATGCAATGTTGATATATGATGTTGAAAGTAATTATTAATACGCATATTTATATGATCGATTATTTACTTTAAAATAGGATGTCTATTGATCTTTGGCACATCTTCTAAATAAAAATAACTTCCTAAAAATAAATCACTAATCGATTTAGGTGGATTGAATATCTGTTTTTAAATCATTTTCTGTTTTTGTAAATTGAAAATGAATTCTAAAAATATAGATCTAAAATTCAACTCAAAATCCTATTAAATATTAAACTCTTTTTATAATTCATTCTAAACCTTCCTATTCATCTATTAAATAATGTCATTCTTTTACTTACTTAATTAAGAATTATTCCCTCCTCAAGATATTTTGGTATCTCCTAATTTACATCCTCCTTGATATCTTTTAGGTTTTTCTCAAGTTCTTTTCTTAACATTCCAAATTTATTTATTTAAAATATTCGATTACATATAATTTCTAAATTAATACATACATAATAATTTTAATATCTTTATACTATTCTATAATAAAAAAGTAAGATATTAAAATATATATAATAAACTCAAATATCTAATTACTTATTTACATTTATTAATATTAACAAATAAAAAAATATTATGTTTATTTCAATCTCTTAATAAATATATTTTTGACTAAGTAATATCAAATTTATATAAATAATATAAATTACGATTATATAAATAATATAAATTCAGATTATATTTTATTTATTTTAACTCAATCCCCCATAAGAAATAGTAAATTATTAGAAATATTTTGATAGTTATTAATAAATAATTGAATTATATTAGAATAGAACATAAATTAAGGAGACAATCAATTAAAATTAATGATTTCAATAAATTAAAATTTTATTGATCTCTCAAATGTGCTAATTTATAAAATAAGAAACTTCAAATATATTTAATATTCTGAATCAATTTATAAGATGGAATAGATCATTATTGTTGTATTATCTAATAACTATATTAAAGTAAATATGGTTATATCTTATGCCTTATATTTTACAGGATTTACCTAAGATGTTTAATGGATTTAAACTATAAATAAACTAGAATAAGATATTGAAATTATATTAAATGAATCTGGATGTAATGAACTTTTAGCATTAACCTAAAACCATATATAAGATTCAATATTATAATTTAAATACTTTATTAGTAATATTTGATTTAAAAATTTATAATAATTAATATTACTTAGTATGATTATTAAAATAAATTCCTAAATTAGTATAAAACATAAATACTTAAAGTGATTGATAAAATTTAACATTCAATTATCATATGAGATAAAATTTATGGAAATAAATCTAAAATACAATCAAATTTTTATAATTATCACTTTAAAATATGGATTAAATAAGAAATTATAAAGAGAGCCTGTTAAATTTAGATCTTATTAATCCTGATAATACAATTTTTAAATAAAATGAAGAAAGTTAAGGATGATAACAAAGAGATTATGTTAGTATTTATAGGTTGGAATTATTGTTTTAGTCTTGGCAGTTAATTTTGTATTGATATATAAGATAAAAAGTAAATAGTTATTAATTAAAATTTATATTGCTAAATTCAAGAACAAATGTTTGGATCCAAAATTGTGGTCAAATCGATGTAAAATGATTCGTTAGCAATAAAAAACATTTAATTCATTGTGAATTATGATATTGAATTATGAATTTAAAACATTATAGAAATCTTTGTTTTATAATTTTAGTGTATTTGGATGATAATTTTTACAAATTAATGCATGATTGAATACTAATAGTGAACATTATTGGAGATAATAATCGAATATTTGATATTTGTATTGATGATTAAGTAATGGAGGAAAATTATTAGACAAGAAAACTTATAATAACATAGACGATTAAACTTAAAATAGACGATTATAAAGAAGGATATATTTGATTGAATTATCATATAGTAACAGATGTATTCAATATTTAATAGGTAAGAATCAAAATGTGAAAACAAGTGATTAATTATTACATGATTTAGGAGTAACCAGTCAATAGTGCAGACTTTAAGGCTATGTAATAAAGAGAGTACTCCAAATAATAAATTTTTGGTGTGTGGATAAGTTTTATGGAATATCTAATAATAATTTAATGATTTTAGTATTTATCTTATTAAGTCAATAGATTAAGCTATGGGATAATAATAAAAGATTATTAATTATTTTGTAATGTGCAACTTTATGTTCTTTGATACTATATTAATTATAAATAAATATATGTTTTTTTGCTGCAATAGTAATAAGAAAGCTAAGAGAAAGGAAAACACAACTCAATAGACAATGTAGCAATAATCTAATTAGCCGAAATATTAAATTCGTACATTTATTGATTAAGATTAACATTCAACTAATTTAACAAATTTTGAAGGGACAAATGATAGAATGAACTTCAGTTCCTAAGATGTAGAGAGATTCATTTTGGATGAGAAGAAAACCTTTGAATAAGAACGTGAACTAGTTATGAGATTGATAGAATTGCCAGAGAAGACTCATTTAATAGAGTTAAATTGGGCCTTTGCCTACACAAATTATATAAAGGATGAACGTAAACATCCAGGAGAAATCAATAATAAAATTTTAGTAGAAAAACTAAAGAACAATGAAGAATTGATTTCTGAAAAAGATTATGTTTTAGTTAATGATTAAGTCTGGAATATGCTGGTTCACATCTACAAGGGTGGTCCCATGCTTACCATTCATGATCTTGAAAGAAAAAGTGATAATAATATCCTAGATTAGTCATTAAGAGTTTTTGCGTCTCCCTCCATGAACGATTTGGATAAAAAGTAAACCTAGTTTAGATTGTTGAATCAATTACCTATTAAAGAGATTTAGATTATAGGATTAGAAAATGAGAATTACTTTTGCTATCTAAACAGTGTATTATAATGTCTTATGGGAATTCCTCAGCTTAATTATTTCTTCTTATATTCTTATAATCAAGAAAATAAGTTATTCACTTAAGCCTATACTCTACTTCTTCGTAAAACTATTAAGATGCATTACAAAGGAAGGATACTCCCAAAAGAATTGATTAAGATTTTACAAAAGCATTTCTCTATTTATGAAATGCATGATAGTTCTGAACTCTTGTTATTCATACTTGATAAATTTAGAGAAGAAATCTCTATTGATAATTAGTTAGAAACAACATTCATTGATGAATTATTTAGAGGTCAAATTACATCTTTTATTAAATGTCCCCATTGTACTAAAATTAGTACAAATCAAGAAGTCTTTTATGATCTTAGTCTTCCATTGCTTGGTAAGAATTTTATCTAAAAAAAACTTACAATTAATGAATGTCTTACTAATTATTTCAAAGAAGAAATTATAGATGGAGGATGGACTTGTTCTGAATGTAATAAATTATCCAAAAACATTAAAAGACGTATCAAAATTACAAATGCTCCTAATATTCTTATTTTTCAACTAAAAAGATTTTAAAGTTATCCTCTTAAAAAGAAAATTAAAGAACCTGTTATTACTGACATGGAAATTAACATAAAGAGGTATAAATTATAATAATAATCCTTCTTAGTTGTTGTACAACAGATATCATAGACACTAAATATCATTTATAGGCTATGATAGTACATTCTGGAACTATTGATTAAGGACATTATGTTGCAGTTGTGAAGCGTAATTAATAAGTAATTCTATTCTCTTATCAATTTACTTAGTTTTTTTTATTCAATGATGATGAAATTGGAAGACTTTCATATGATCAAATATCTCGCATTGATTCTGCTTACCTTCTTATCTATCATAGAAAAATATGATTGATTAAAATTTTAACTCTAAAATTATATATAAATATATCGATATGCAATCTAACAAAGACAATTTGACTCTCGAGATATTATTAGGATTTTAATACCCTGAATTGTTTACAAAAGCCATGACTTTTAAATAATTTCATTAAGAATATACAGCAAGAAATAAAGATAATCCATTAAAATATGGGATCAATGAAAATTTTATTGAATTGGGTTAAGATCTCATTGAATTTTTTTATAATGATTTCTTCACATATTAAGAGTATGTCTTAAAGAATTAAATTATTATCTAGTCTACCTAATAAAACTCATAAAATATTCAAAACCTACTCTGATATCAGAAAATAAAAGCAATTGGTTTTATCCGAGAAAAATTTAGCAGATACAGCAGTTCAATTAGGATTGAAATCTTAAATGTTAATTTCCATAAATCCTAATTCAGAATTAAAGTAATCATAGAAAATTGAATAATTCTAGAAATAACCAAAAGATTTTAGCACAAGCCCTAAAAGCTATTATTGGAGCATAATATTTTGATAAAAAAAAAGATTTAAATATTTTAAGAGACTTATTGCAAGTGGTCTTTTAAGAAATAATTAAGAAGTCACTTGTAAAAAAATTAATCTTTATATAGGATGAAGCTATGGGTTTTCCTTAAAAAGAAAATATAAAAGGAGATTTCAAAGAATTTATTGATAAACATCCAGAACTTTCATATAAATTAAGTTATTAAGAAATCAAAAATAATATAGAATTAAATTAATCAATTTATGAATATGAATTAAAGATTAATGATATTTTACCAATTAAAAGAAGTGGAATATAAAAAAAGGCTGTTGAAAAAGAAGTCTTTAAAGTTGCTTTAGAATTAGTTAAAAGTGATAAATTTTAATAAGTATTGGATGATAGTATGAGAAGTTAACTAGATTAAAGTTTTGATGGTCCTTCCCATTAAATTTAGGATTCAATAGTTATTGAATCATAGGTTTCTAGTAAATTTCATTAAAAGTTTTCATTTCTTTAGTAATTTTCTCTAATAGATGAATAAATTTTAGAATAATCATAAATAAATGATAAAGATGAAGATAAAAAATAGATTGAACGGAACCTAAAGTATTGAATAATAAAAAAAATAAGTTTATATTCAAAAAGAAAATAAATTTATAAATATTTATATAAATTATGAGTGAATAAGATTACTAAGCCAATTCACGTTATTCAACACTCCAATCTAATAATTACTAAAGTTAGTTGTTGACTACTCATTTTGGAAAATTATTAGATAAGAATGAAGCATTCTTTAACCATCTCAAAGGAGACTGTATTTGTGGTAGATGCATATGTGGATAATGTAAATGTCCAAAAATGCTTCTGTCCAATGATTTTAAAAAGGGATAAGAATCATTATATTAAAAAGATTTTACAACACATGGTAAATAAAAGTAAATACCTCTTATTGATCACAATGTAACTTATAAGAGTTAATTACCAATGGATATAAATTCTATATAAAGAGTATCTATTTATTAATTCAATTTTAGAGTACATATTAAGCTCATCCTGATGCTAAACCAGCAGAATCTTTAAAACCTGAATAAAAAGTGTTTTTAATCCCATTTAGTAGTTCATCAGCTTACAGAGTATAAATATTGAAATATATATTTAGCTTGATTACACTGGAGGAGGAATGTCATCTCTCAAAATTAATCCACCTCATCATCCAACTGTAGTTGATATCCCTATGACTACTCATTCTACTTATCAAGATAATTTTTATAAAAAACCAATTCCAAGAGAAGAATTTCTAACAACTGCTAATAAAAGTAGTTTTAAAAGCCCAATATCTCCAGAATTACCTTTTATTCATTAATCTACCAATAGTGCTTTTTATAAACCTTATCAAACTGGAAAATTGAATAGAATTGATCCTGAATAAGTATATTAATAATTTAAACTATTTTAGAAAGTTAAAATGATCCCTGCTTTTGAAGGTTAATTTAATTCAACCACTTAAAAAGACTTTGATGATAAGAATCCAAAAAAGTGTCCATCTAGAGTTTTTTTGAACTCGTTATACAAATAAAAATTATAATAAATTGCTTGAATTAGATAAAATAAAAAATAAATAGATTAAACTTTGTATATCATTTTAACTTTTAAAGTTTTCTTATTCTCTTTCGATATTTCAAAAATTCAATAATAATAAGGATTATTCCTTATTTAATAATTTCATATATCTTTTCATAAAACATAAGTAAAAATGCTGAATTCAATACTGATTAACACAATTTCGGTGTTAAACCTAAATAATTAATATTAATGTTTTACCTTTAAATAACCCTTATATTCCTTCATTTTTTAAAATCTTTTCTGCTGCTGAAAAATATGATTTTGAACTATTTTTTTTGATATGTGTTTTGGTCCTTAGAAGTTAGTAAGGCTAATTTTTAAATATAAAAGTTAAACATATGTTAAAATTGTAGAAATGGCTTTTGAGATTGCTCCTCCAATAAAGTTAATTAAAGCTTAATTTTCTACATATTAGAACCTTCTTTTAAATGCTTCATAGATAACAAATTGAATAATAGGATTTATAGTTAAAATAAGAGATGCTTATAAGCCTTTCATTAATGCTTCCAATCCTTCTGTTTCAATTATTTTCTTAGTCTTTTAAAAAAAATTCAGATTATCTTTACAGACAGTCATTCTTGACTAAACTACCCAAAATGGATTTGTTACAAATGTTGTTAGAATAGCTGATGCTAATGAAGGTTTAATTAAATCAAATGAATTAGAAATATCTGTTTTAAATAAATGTTTAAAATACTCATACCTTCTGATAAAATATAATATTATACCAAAAAAAATAAACTCCATATGAAATATAGTTGCCTAATGCTAATGGGGTTACTCCTTTAAAAAATCCCTATAGACCTTCTTCATTCCAGACTTTAATGATAATTTCTTGAATGACTTCTTTTTATTATGATGCAGCCATTCTTGTTTTGATATTTTCCAGAGGATATAGTAAACAAGTAGAAAAAAGTCCAGCCAATGCACCAGCATGTCCATGTGCCATACTTTCAATATCTTTTAATCTATCCATATTAATTATTTATATTATCAAATAACTTCTAAAAACCCAAATTTCTCTTTCTAACTTTCCTTTACTGATATGGCATTCAAAATTTTCTTGGCTCTATATTTTTTCTTCCATATTGCTTCTGCATCATCTCCTGATGTGTAAGTATTTCTTGGTAGCTAATTTAGATTTGTCTAAAATGATCTAGTTTAAATTTTCTTTTGGGATAAGAGATCGACTTATTTCTTATCTGACGAATTGAATAATTTTCTAAATGTATCTTTACGAGTTTTTATTTTACTAGGTTAAACAGGACAAGTCATCTTCCAAATTTCAGATTTCATTTCTTAATCAATTGAACAACTACTTCTTGCAGCACCTAAAAAAATATATGAATAATTATTTTACCAATTCTCATATGTCTCAAAATACCTAGTTAATTTCTTAATTCTTTATTAGGATTCTACCTTTATGGATTTAACCTGTAAAATACATCATCATCTAAATTTTTCTGTGTTTTATTTTTTGTATTAACTTGACTCTTAATAAAATATTATTATTTTTTTAATTTATCTCTCTCTTTATCTATACTCTAATATAAATAAAATTGTATATTACATCTTCAGAATCTTATTATACTATCTCTTACATATCATTAACATTTGTTAATTTCTTTAGTAAATGAAATACATCCTTCCCTCCATGAGGTTTACTATGTTCAGAATGATTGATCGAGACATTATCAAATGATTACTAGCTAGATACAAAATGATTTGATGTTGTACGCTAGCATGATTTCATTTGAAGTTCATTACTATTAAAAGCACATCCACTTTTAAACTTACTTTCAGTAAAATCTAAACCTTTTAATCGAACTAAAAAATTAAAAAATACTAATTACGTTATTAACTTTAAAATTTGAGTTTCTAATGTATTTCACCCAATTTCGAGAGAGCATTCTTCAACATTCCTCTAGTCCTTTATTATAAATGATGTTGAAAGAACATTTTTTTGGTTCCTAAATATCTCATCAAGGCCTCTTCATCAGGATCATTCTCTTCACAATATTTCTATACCTCCTTTGTTAATCTAAAACAATTATTTATTTATTTACTCATCCACCATATCTTATTGAATAAACAATCTTTCTATTTCATCAGAGAGAAGTGACTTAATGAATTTTTGTACAATTTATAAATACTTAAATTTTGTAATTGATGCATGAACATGTTTTTTAGGAATATGAACAGTATTTAACATTTATTTTTGAGACAATAATTTAGCATGTTTAACATGAACAAACTCTTATTTCTATTCTAAAATTGTTGTAGCCAACATAGATGGCTTCTTTTATGTTGGTGTTCTGATTATCTCATTTATATACAAAGAATTTTTTAATTATTCCAAAACTATAAAAATAGTTGATGGAACCAATTCACTTAATTCTTATATATGTTTAATTAAATGGTTCACTCTTGCCACATGATTTCTCATAAAATTAAATAATCTTATCACTGCATTCTAAATTCGTTTTACTTCATTCTCATTTCTCTATTCATTCAAATCCAGTTCAACACTTGTTGATAAGATATTTAAAGTAATCTAATTATTATTATAGTTATCTGATAACTTTAAAGGTAACAGACCATTTGATGTCTCAGGATATTTACAATAATTTGTTTCTCTCATAATTTACTAAAGTTCAAATTTTTTTTCATTTAATTATATAAATTGAAATCCTAATCTATCAAAATATTCCTTATATTCTTAATAATTTTGAATTACTATATCTGCAAAAGCTAATAAATCTTATTATATATCTAATTCATTTAATTGATTATTAGAACTCTTTATTAATTCTAATAATTTCAAATCTTTTTCTTTTTCTTCTGCTTTTGGAGATTCAAGAATTTCTTATTCTACTTATTCTATTTGAGTTGTAAATATATTCATAACAGATGCAGCATTTGAGGATTGAGCTTATGATTATGATAGTTTCTTATTTTATCTAATTATTTATTATCTTTGTTCAAATTAATATTGAAATAAATTTCGTGGATCATCTTTATTTATCATCTCATCTAAAAGCTTTATTGTATTCGCATAGTAAATTACTGTGGATTATTCCTATTATTTTAGTTATATTTTTGCTTTCTTCTCATCTAAGTCTGCTATGACTTATTTTTATTATTAGATTATTTCAATTTTCTGTTAATATTTCAATCTATATTCAATATAATCATTTTATAATTCCTTTATCTCTTATTAAATTAATTAATGTTTATCAAGTAAGATTTATTTTTACATATCTTAAGCATTTTTCAGTAATTAATGATATTCCTATGCTTCCACTGCATTTTTTTTACTTTATTAAAGTAACTAATTTGATTAAATTCCTTCTTGCTAAGCAACTTCATCATCTTTATTAAATCCTTGTAATAATTCTAGAACAGAATCTGTATGCTTCTTATAGTCAGTTATTTTTCTCAAAATTGTAACAATTACATTTTAGAGTTAGTTTTGTTTAATGGTTTCTTTCTCTATTTAACATTACACACTCTCTTCATTTGTATTGAAGCTCTATCTACTCAAAGAAAACTATGTATAAGTAGAACCTTATTAAGAAGATTCATTTGAAAATGGTTGTTTTTAATATAACTGCTTACTGAGTTATTTTCTGTTCTCTTTTACTTGACTTAATAGATTTTTAAATGCACTTTCATTTCCTTAACTTTAGCATTCAGATATACGAAAACCATCCAACAGTTCTTCACTATCTAATGATGAAAAATTACATGAAATTATCTCCTTAATTCATTAAATTATATAATCAAAAAACTAATAAAAAATCATAATCATTTCTAATATTTATTAATCCTTGAAGAAATAATAGTAAAGTATTTCATATTGAACTAAGCTGGTGATAATTTATTAATTATAAATTCAATTATTTCTTTCCTAATTCTCAATCTAGACATACAAAAAAGGAAATAATTTTTGATAGGAATTCTTAGATGATAATATAAGACTGTATCCAAGCTAAAATTCATAGATAAATTATAATAATGACTATAATAAATGATTATAATAGTCATTAAGTTATTAAATATACTATTATCAATCTAAAAATTCAAAAAATTATAATGCAGTTTAGACTCTTCTTTCTTTAATTCACAGTTTAATGCTAAGATATCCTATAAAAGTAAGTTTTTATTATTTATTTTATACCATTCTTTTTTTTTCTTATATTAATTATTTGTCATATATTTTCTTGTTAGAGTTATGATCTCTAAAACTAAGTATACTTCCTAATAATGAATATATAAATCTTGATCAAAATTAACTAATAAGAATAATTATTGGAATATTATGAATTCTATTAGTTTACAAAGATAGATATACATATTAAAAAGAGAAGTGATCTATAATATCAAAACAGGATGAAAATTAAATACTTAATAATAGTTTTCCACATCTTAATACTTATAGAGAAATTAATTTATATAAATTTGCAGAAATTGAAAATGTCTATGTCGAATGCTGAATCTCAACCAATAGCTATAGTTAGTTTATAGATGGAAGATGGGATTGAAGAGATAAAAGTATATGAAGGTGAGGATGTAGAATTAGAAGTTGAGCTTTTTTGTTAAAGATACAAACTTGGTAATGATTGCTTGGAATATCTGGTGAATTAAATTAAGCAACAGCTAAAACGTGAACCTTCACCTAGATTTGGTGATTTCAATAAGTAATAATTTTTGAACAAAGGCTCATTAAAAACAAGGAGTAGTAAACAAAGTGACTTTGGAATTGTAACATCAGCTAGTTCTGATGAAAATTAAGTGTCAGCGTAAAAGAGTTATGAAGAATGGTAGAAAAAAATTAATAGGAAGATTGAGGCTAATTCAAATTCTAAATTGTAATGGAATATGCCAACATCAGCTAGGTGTAAGTTTTTTTAATAATTAGCAAATAACTAAAACAATCCTAGGTCCATTAACACAAATGATAGAATATATGGAGAAACAAATACTCAACACTAAAATAAGATTGAATAACAAAAATAACATTATTTATATAAGGGCTAGTCAGAAATTTCAGAAACTACTCTTAAATCAAATATATCACCAAATTTCAAAAATGTCATACAATAAAAAAAGAAAGCAGAAGATAATTCATTATTAAATATTGGACATTAATTACATTCAAAAGGAACAGAATAAAATATTAAAAAATAATAATAGTTATTTTAGATTTAAAAGGAGCAATCATCAATCAGATCCTTTTAACCAAGAAGATCAGATATAAGTAGTAGAAATCATTCCCAATAAAATAGATCAACAAGCAATAAAAAATAAAGATCAAACACACCTGTTAACGAAAAGCCCTACATTTAAGAAAAGGAAAGAAAATAATAAAAATTTGAACAATTGAAACAAGAATTTTAAAAAATGTATACTACTAATCCTTAAATAAATAATTTATATTAAAAAGAAGAAAATAAAAAATAAACTCAATAATAACAAGTTAAAAAGCTATTCACAGATTAAATTGAGAGGAAAAAAAAAATTGAATAGAAATAGTAATTAATTTATTAAAATTAGACGAGAACAATCGCTTTAAAATAATTCTAAGTTTCAAAATTAAATTAGTAAAGATTAGGTTTATTAAAAAGCCTATAATAAATAGTATGTAGAAGATTTAAAATAAATTGAGTTAAAGTAAAATAATAGGAGTACTAGTAATCTATCACAAAGATCAGACTCTCGATCTTAAATTAATAATACTAAAATAAACTAATTTGATTTGAATATAAAAAAGATATTCAGATAATTAGATGGAGATAAAGATGGTTATATTAGTAAAGATAAATTGAACTTGTCAGGAATTGAGGTTTAATTACTTGAATTAGTAAGTGAGGCATTATATAAAATTGAAGAAGAAGATATTGTTGCTGATCAAATTTAATTTAAAAGAATTTGTGAATCTATGGGATTGTAAGAGGTACTTAACCATTAATTAATTTGAAAACTATTAGTTATAATAAAGTATATACAATATATAACTTAAAGATTTTTTTAAAAATCAAATCAAAACTATAAAAATTAAAAATTTTATTTATAATTCTCATAAATTCTATTGCAAAAATTAATTAATATTAGAATCTTATATATTTATCATCTTAACAATTTGTGTTTTATTTTTGGTATTTTTATACAAATTCTACTTTTATTAATTAAGCAAAAATTACCAATTCTATAATTTTATTAAATAAATTATTGATGACTAGATGCAATGATAATGAATATGATTTCTTGTTCAAAATAATCTTAATAGGTAAACCTATTTTATTTAAATTATTAGGAGATTCTGGAGTTGGTAAAACAAATATTTTGTAAAGATTTCTAAAAAATGAATTTATTTTAGATTCCAAACCCACTATTGGAGTTGAATTTTCAACAAAAACCATTAATGTTCAAAATAAAACTGTTAAATGCTAAATTTGGGATACTGCTGGATAAGAAAGGTAAAAATTAAACTATTTAAGATATCGAGCAATAACAAATGCTTATTATAGAGGAGCAGTAGGGGCTTTTGTTTGTTATGATGTAACAAGGGAGATTACTTTTAGAAATACAGAAAAATGGTTAAGTGAAATTAAAGAGTATGCTCCAAAAAATATTGTAATAATGATGATTGGTAACAAAATTGATTAAACAAATAATAGAGTATATTTTTATTATATTAATAGATAGTTAGGAGTGGAGAAGCTGCTAAACTCTGTGAATAACATAAAATCGGATATATAGAAACTTCAGCATAAAATGGCTAAAATGTCGAAGAGGCCTTCTCTAACTTAGTTAGTGGTATCAATTAACTAGATTAATAGAAATATTTAATTCAATGTCATCCATATAATAAATAAGTGTTGAACAGCTCTAAGGAGATAAAATAACTTTTCAAGATGATTCTCTGAGAAAAAATGCAAAAAAAAAAAATAGTAGAAAAGAAAAAGAAAAATGCTGTTAATGAGTTGGTGATAATATATTATTATGATTATATATAACTTCTGTATTAAGAATTATTTCAAATTTTATTATTAAACCATAAAATTTGATGTATCCATGTAGAGTAATAATTTTTTGAATTTAAAAATATTAAATTCATAAAATAATTTTAATTGAAAATTAATATGTTAAATTCTCAAGAAAATTTAAGAATCTTATATATTAAACAATTATTTAGGTAATTAATCTTAGCTTCTTATATGATAATTAAAAATCAAAAACTTATAAATGTTTAAATTCGAAGGAATACGATCTTAGATGAATAGATATTTAACAACAATAGATTACATATTTGTACATTTTTAATATATTTACTGTAACAATAATGGTTATAATAAAGCTTTATGATTAATCATTTAATTAATTAAAAGAATTATTTTACCTAAAAATTATATAAATTTTAATATAAAAATAAAAAACTTTGTAAATATAAACCTTATTAAGATATATTAGTAGAGAAAAAATATTAGAATGAAACAGTATAAAAAGAAAGTAAGCATTATATTTTCATTTTTAAATATTATAAATCACTTTTTTTGAAAATATAGAGCTTTTAAGAAATTAAAGATGATGTCAAAAAAATGCAAAATCAATAATTAAAATGGCAAAAAGTTCATAATTGTATATAAAACTAAAGGTTTAACAAGTTCTACTTATTTGAAAGGTGAATTTTATGATAATATCAGAAAATTCATCTAAGAAAGGGTTTGTATAAAATTGCAGAAATATTCTAAAATGAAGAGACATAAACTTTAGATCAATAGAAAATTTAACAGATATTTTACAATGGTAAGATTAATGGAAAATGGAAAAAAATTGTCAGATATAATTATAATTTAATAAAAATAATATTTGTTGATCTTAAAAGAATAAATAAACCCTTAAATAAATTTTTCATTATATTTACTTGTTTATTTTATAGAAATCAAAAAACTAAGTACCTAAAGATCTCATTCTTTCCTATATTATTTGGTTTTCATGAAAATATTATTAAATTTCATCATAGAATAAATTTTAATTTTTGAAAACTGTAATTAGAGTTAATTAACTTCTACACAACTCAAATTCTTGAAAGGTTAAAAATGATTTTAAAAATGCTTATATGAATTCTTAAGCAATATCTTTACAATACTTATAAAACATCTCTTTTCCAAATTCTAATACTATTTCTAATAATTCAAGAATTTCATAAGATCTTGCTGTTTATATATATTATTTCAATAGAATTTAAACTACAGAATTTATATATAATCTTTCAACCATATATTTATCATTACATAAATATTTAACTATTTTTATTGAACAAGATCTTACTCCATACAACTAGCTTTATATTAATAGTCCTAAATAATTTAACAAGCCTGAGGTTACAACAAGTTATTTAGTAATTTTATTAAACATAATGAATTCTAGACATATTTTTAAAGTACTATCTAAAACTGATCGATATTATTTTATCCAGTTTGGAATAGCATCAATAATTGGTTACAAAACCCTTTTTTCCATTATTATTAGTTTAATTTTTTCATAATGAACAATATCAGATATTAATTCAATAGCAGTTATGAATTGTCCTGATTAATTGGATTCTTTTAGCAAAATTTAACAAAGTTCATCAATAAAAATCTTTTTCTAATTAAAGTAATTTTAGTCTTTTATATTGCAAAGAAGAGCAATTTATTTAATTTTTATAGCCTAATGAGATTGATATTCAATCATTTGCATTACTTTTTTAGTGCCGATAAATACTATTATTTAAACTTAAATATTGTGTCTATATTTATTGTGACTTGAATGAAGTAGTAAAACAAATAATTTTATAATTTCTAAATCATATTTTTTGTTATTTAAAGAAATTAACCTTATTAAAGTATAAATAAGGCCATTTTCTATAAAAGAATTTTCAAAATGATGTTTCTTAAGTATTTCTTAAATGAAATTTATCTAATTAAGTGCATCCAATTAATTGCTATAGAATGAATTGTCTAAATAAAATAGTATTTTTGGAATTAATTATTTCTTGACAAATTTTACAATTGACTCATCTAAATTTGGATATTATTAATCCAAATACAGCCTAAATTTTTCTATTCCAACTTGATACTCATTATAATTGTCTGAAAGCAATAAATTTATTAATTATTCTGGTGATATCTCTTCTTTTTGAAGGACCTCTATTTCTTTTTCAAAATTATCCATTAGTATTAATAATATAAAATGAATATTATATTTGATTAATTGATTACAAGGTTTTCTTTAGAAAAATTAGATGAAAATCCACTATTAATTATATTACAGAGATTTTTAAAAGATGTTGCAAAGCACTATAACCTAGATCAACGTTTTAAAATAAGCAGAGCTAGCTATGTATTTATCATTCTTGTTTTTTTGGCAATATTGATAACAATAATTAAACTTTTTTAGTCCTTAATTTTGATTGCCTTTGTGATTTGGAGATCTTTTTTAGTAATATAACAATTAATCATTTAGACATTAAAAATATCATAATAGAATAAGTCTTTAACACTTGAATTAAAGAATTGGATCTTCTTAGCCTTCTTACTTTTGTTTCATCCATTTTTATAAAAAATAGATCTTTTACCCCCTTTTATTTAGTTATTTTTGTATAATCTTCCATGGTTTTTAAACTCTAAGTAAATTATAGATTGATTATAGATATACGATTGAATTATTTGAATTACTAAATTAAATACTGCCTGAAAAAATAAAACTAAGTTTTAATTTAGATTAAGGGGAGAATGAGAAAGCTCATTTTTAATATAGATTAGTATAAGAGGCCTAAAAATAAAATAGGGTTTATTTAAGAATTTGATGTTATTATTTTGTTTAATAATTAATTAATATAAGGCAAATAAGAAAAAAATAGCAGGATTTTTTTTAATTTGTGTAAATGGTTGTGATTAAAAAAATGAATAATTTAAATGGCAGAGATTGAAAAAGAATCATCAAATGAATAAATAATTAAAGATTAAATAGAATAGGATGAAAGAATTTAAGAGGACTAATAGAAAAATGGAGAATATAAATTCAATTAAGAAAAATTTGAGGAATTAGCAAAATAGAAGAATTATAATACACTAGCAAAAATAGCAGAAAAAAATAAATCTTAATTCAAAATATTCAAGAGACTTAAATGGAAAGGCTAATTATATTAAATAAATGAATCAATTAGAGTTAATTTTTAGGATAGTTTAAGAATTGGAATAATTAAAAGAATTGCTAGCATAAAATCATTTGTTGATAATTAAGAATTGCCATTACTTTAATTAAATTGGTACTTTTCGAAAATAGATCTAGATTCATAATGGGAAAGATATATGAAATGTTTCAGCGAATATGAATTATTCCTTACAGAAATTTCAGATTTCATATTTATAGGTCAAATAATAGACAAAGTTAAAGTTTTAAGTTTAAATGAATATGATTCTTTTTTAGATGATGATATTAGTGGATAAAATAGATTATTTTTTATGAGATGCACATATAATACTGATAAAAAAAGTATAAATCCAAATCCAAATGAATTAGAGAAGGTATGCTTTTGTGATATGCCATAAAATCCAGATTTAGTGTATATTTTTTGTGAATCATGTAAAAAATGGTTGCATATGGATTGTGTACATTTAACTGAAGATGAAGCAAAGAATATTGAAGAATATATTTGTGTTTAGTGCAATAAGTGATATATATTATTTAATTTAAATAAACATTTTGTTTAATTCTGATGTCATAAATTGTTTTAGTAGTTGGTCCTTTGAGAGCTGGGAAAAGTAGTTTTATAGATGCTCTCACATATGGGTAACTTCATAAGGAAATTTACACATAGGATATAAATTTTTAAGTAAAATTAGCGAAAATTGCCTAACATAGATTTTATGAAGTTCAATCTATAGAATGGGATGGAAAACCATTAGGTCTAATTGAATTTTATTCAAATCTTGCTGATTTAGTTTTGATTGTAGTTAATATTTGTGGAGATTATGATTAAATGGATTAAGTTTATGAATTATATTTAGTAATCTCTAATTCTTCAAATAATAAATAATAAATTGTTCTAATAGGTAATTTAAATGGATTAACTCAAAGAAATTAAAAGTTATGTTAAAGTTTAAGTAGATTTGCAAAATTAAATGAAATAAAACTATATGAATTAGATAGTATAAATCTTATTAATGTTTAAATGGAATTTCATTATATAAGAAATTAATATTCTATTTTTGATGATATTTTTAGTAAAAATAAAAATAATATATTGTAAATTGTATCATAAGCTGTTACAATATTCAAGTGATTAAATATAATGTATAACAAAAATATAAATTAGATCAATTGTTAATAAATTAAAAAAAAAGTAATTTAGAATCAATCACAATATAATTTATTTTTATTGACTTTGTAGATATTTTCTCTAATTTAGTCAATTTTTGAAATAATATTTACAACTTTATTAGGATTTTCATTTCGATTCATTATTTTTTTTTAATAATCTTTGCTTTGACCATAAAAGATATTTAATTTAGCTTGGATATAATAAATATAGAAAACCTTCTGTTTCTGAAATTATAGATTCATCTAAAATACAATCATCAAATTGATTTGTTGGACAATTTTTATTGTATTTCAATGATTTTTAATTTCCATAAATTGATTTTTTAGGAAGTCTTTCAGAAATTGCTTTTTATCTATTGTCTAACCTATATTTGATTAATTAATTGTATTACTCATAGAAATCTAATTCTCCCATTTTGTTTAACTCAGTTGTTCTTACATTACAATTTAATTTTAAGGCATCTAAAAAATGATCTGATGTAGCTCTAAATAGCTATGATTATTAATTTTCATTTATACTTTCTAATAAACATCTACTATTGGTTATTTTGTTCCATTTTCTAACTTTAACTATTTTATTCGAGATTACATGTTTGCTGAATCCAATTTAGGTCTAAATGCACGCTTGATAAATACTTAATTAATGCCATATGTTTAGTTCTTGCTTTGATTTTATTCTTAAATACTACTAATAAAAATAATATTATACTCAACTAATCAGGACTTGAAACTAAATTATTATTTCTAATTTATTATCGATAATCTTCTGCTATTAAATTCAAGTGACCCAATTATTTATTTTCCTAATAATCACTTTTAATATAAGTTCTGAATCCTTATTTTGAGGATTTTCTTTCTGGTAGAGAAGGTTAGGTATTGAGAGTTTTCTTGATATCAGTATAGTTTTAATCATGGTTAACAATGAATTCTTTTATGTCGTTATAATCGATCATTGTTTCTTATTAAGTGATTGTATTTGTAATATGAAGAGTTTTCCTTTTTGTTAAAATACTCTAAATATTACTTAATTAGTTTTACATTTCTATATTTTTTAGTTGGCAAGCTGTTATTATATTTAATAACATCAACACATGAAGTTTATCCAGAAAGGTAAGTTTCAAATTTATTTTTGAAATCAATAATCTATATAGGTATTTTACAAGTCCTTTTTGATTCTGCTGTGGTTGTTGCTCTTTAACTAAATGTTTAATCAAAAATAGATTTTTGTCTTTTAATATTTTACATATTATAAAATTCTTAACCCATAAAATTATGAATCAATCAATTAACTTATTAATTTCAACATAGAATCATTTAATATAATGATGTATATTGAAAAGAGATGATTTTTATGATTATCATTTTGCTTTCCTTCGGCTGAAACTATATTTTTATATCCATAATAATATTTAGAAATTACATAATTATTATTATAAGTATAAAAAATCATATTAATTCATATTTACCAAAAGGAATATAAATCTGTCTATCTTATCTAAATTTAAATGCAATCAACTATTTATAATATTACATATCTTCAAAATATTATTTGCTCGTGCAATCTTAATCAGTTAATTAAATGATAGCATAAAGTCCCCATTCTAATAATTCTTATGAATTATTAGTAGATAACTTGAAATTATAAAATAATAATCCATACTTAAACAATTGAATGTAATTAATTATCATTTAGATTTGAGACTAAAACTTTTTCTACTTTTGCCACATAATTTATTTGAAGCTCTCTTGAATCTAATCCATCTAATAATCTAATTCCTCTCATTTTTGTTTAAATTGGATTTGGTTTTATTAATTTTTATTCACTTCTCCAGGCTTTAAATCCTAATCGAGAAAAAATCTTTTCAGTTAATGATACCCTTTATTTTTTATTTGATAAATCATGTTAATTTTTTAATTCTTCCTCTAATTCTTTTACTTATTCATTTATAATTTCTTCTACTTATGGAACAACCATTTCTTAATTTTCATAAGAATCACTATTCAATTCTTAAAATTATTTTGACAATTCATCAAATTTCTTTTTCAATTTTTCATTTGACATTGTTTATTCTTATTCTTTAGTAGATTCAATTTAGTTCGAAAATTATAATTTCTTTTGATTACTATTACTTTATTAGTTTTCTTTATCTTCTTCAAACTAAACTCTAAGTTACCTTTTAGAACATTTAGATGCAGATTAATTCACTATTTGTTGTTATACATCTTCAGGTTTTGTAATTATCTAATGTGCCTATTATTGAATCGATTTCAATATTTAATCCTCTTGATAGATTTTTTACATAATATTTAGAATGTTTCTTTATATAAAATCTGAGTATTTAGATTTCTCTTTGCATAAAGAATGAAACACAACTAATATTATAATCCATAGATTATTGTCTTTTAAAAGTTTTTCTCCTATTTGTGTTTTAACTTCAGGTATGAATACTTAGAATGATAAATGTTATTTTAATATGCTTGATTCATCAGTTAGTAATTGAATAGCATTATCAAAAGAATCATTTTTATTTTGCATATCGAATACAATTTGAGATAATTATCTAGTGATCATATCACCTTCATGATATTAATATTGAGAATTCTTCTTTGCAAGTTTAGCTGACTTATTTCCTGATCGAAGTGATTTCTTAAACAAAATATCACTATTGCTTATACCCGGTTCAAACATATTTTAAATACAAATAATATAACGAAACACTATAAAATTATGAATATTAAATCAATCAAATAGATTTAAACTATTACTTAAATATATATTATAAAGAAGAGTAAAAAGAGATAATATGATATTTAATTAAAGAATTTTGTTAAAAATTTTAATGGTAAATATTTTTAAGTGTTATCTATATAACTTAGAAAAGTTGTATTTATTATTAAATTTATAATTTAAATATTATTTAATCAAAAAAACATATTATTTTTGTAAAAATATCAATCATTATTATGATTTGTAAAATTTCAATTTTAGAAATAAGAAATTTATTAACTCTTGATTTCTTAGAGTGATATAGATTGATCTTCATTGTTTTCCTAATTTAATTAATTTATATAATTTTTACTTGATAATCACTTCTCATTATATTGTTTCTTTTGGCAATGTTTTTGTCTTAAGATCGTTTCATTTTTTTCTTATACTTTCTCAATTTATAATATAATACAATTATAGACATAATTTAAATAGTAATAATAGTGACTAATAAAACAATAACTAAGATATTTATAAATAGATACTAATTGTTCCAATCAAATAAGAAGAGTCCTAAAAAGTAAATAATACTTAGACAGTCACCCATGGAACAAGTAATTTAAAAAATGTTCCATTAACACAAGGCAATTATGTATTATCAATTATAAAATAAGCTGAATCTGTAATATTTTAGCTAACACTGTTTGCTCCTAGAAATTGAGTATAATTTGACTATAATGTGCAATTTTGGGTACAACTTTAAACATCTCGAAGTATCATAACATTTTATTGATAACATTAAAGATCTGTAAAATTATTAAATTAAAGAAAATCGAATTTCTAAGAGTAAACTTATAAAGAATTATTTTTCTATCTTAATTTGAAAACTATACTAAATTGGCTAATAGTTTTTGTTATGGTATAATTTCTTGACTTGCTCCTGATTAAGAGGAATTTGAGTTGAAAATGACATATTGATTCTCCAATAAAGGGATTTCTATATTTAAATCAATTCTAAGTCCTGTGCTTTCTGAACAATAGACTGTATATATAATAAAAATAATAAAACTCATAATTTAATATTAAATTGTATGCCACTTAAAAATGAAGCAGTAACTAATCCATACATAAATTTGTCATCTCTATTATGTAAATATAAACAGATTTTTACTAAGGATTAAAAATAAATGCTGCACATAAGTAGAGTGTCTGATATTTAAAAACTTTTAGTTGAAAAGTAAATTAATTTTAGGATTTTGAAATAGGAATCTGTATTCTCCTTTTTGTAATTAAGTATTTCTTAATAGAAGTGATTATTATAATTATTGATTTATTTATGATTAGACAATTATTTTGATAATATAGTGTGATTATAGATATCTATTATCAAATGTTTTAATAGTATTATTATTTTACATTTCAATTAATAAGAGAGAGAGAAAGAGATGTGGATTAATGAGTGTAAATTTTATAATCAATGCTAAATGAGAATAAATTGTCAATTAGTTTAATTTATTTGATTAAAATATTAATAATGTAATAATTGTTTTTTTGATTGATCTCTATTAGATGAGAAGAGAATGCTCGTTTAGATAATATTGGAAGCTATATACCTTAATATAAAAATAAATAATATCATTGTTGATTGTTTAGTTGGAATTATGATGGATAAATATAAACTGGCACTAACATTGGTTAAGGCACATATATTGGAATCTAATAGAGACAATTCTAATAAAGTTGAACATATGTAGGTGCTTATTAAACAAATGATTGTTAAATTGGTTGTTGAATTGCTGTAATATTTTATTGCTCTTAAACATTTTAATTCTGCTAACTCTCTTCTTCATTCAACTTTTATTTTTTCTCAGGTACTATATAGTATGGATTTTTTATGTTTAGATATTTGTGTCTGAGGCATGAATAGAATCTATTTTTAACACTATTCTCAGATCTTTGATTGAGTGCTTTAGTAATTATACTCCACTTCCCCCCTATTGATTGATAAAGTTCAACAATCTTTTTATCTTCTTCCATACTCCAAGGGGAAGTGTTGATTTATGGATCCAATTGATTAAGATAATGTTCTCTAACCTACTTCCCAGATCGATTTTCAAAAAAAGTACTTATTAAACACCAATTGAGACCATGAATATTAACTAATTCAAGCAATTTAGTGTCTTCTTCTTTACTCCAAGTTCTTCTGAGCTTGAATCCTTTGATACGCTTCCATCTTTGAGAACATTAAGATGGATTACGGCCTTCAATTCTTCTGGCAACTTCAATCCAATCATAGTCTTTGTTTCTTTTTAGTTCAGCTAACAACCTGTCTTCACTAGGTGTCCATGGTTTGCGTTATGATGCAGATGAGTTAGAATTTAATGACATAATTAATTTAACTTTGAAATTATAATATAGTTGTTTTAGTATTTATTCAGTTTATTGTTCCTACGGTTAATTTGCAATTAAATTTCTAAAAGTATTGAATAAATAATCAATATTCATTTACTTTTTTAACAAGTAAACTCTTATCAGTTTTTCATCCTCATTCCAAATCTTCATTACAACTGCTACAACTTCATCTGAATTTCAAAAATCATAGAAACAAAAAAAACCCCCCTCTTACTCATATTTTACTAAAAAGTACTGTATAAATGAATTAAGAAATTAATAATCAATTCAAAATATCTGACAACCTACTTGTATTATAGAATTTTAACTAGGTATAAGAACATAAATTGATCTTTTAATCAGATTTAAAATTTAAGAATTTAAATGAATAGAAATATTAACCTATCTCAAGATACCTAATTATTAAGGCTTAACCTGAGTATTTAGTTATGAATTATTGTAAAACTTTTAGTTTTTGAGTTAATTTGGTATAAAATTGAAGTAATTACAATATTATATAAGAAATTTATAATAAAAAAATATTTTAATCATTTTTTAAATAGCAATTATAAATCTTTTATACGATCTAAGCATTTTTACAATAATTTAGCCTATTGTTTATAAAATATTTAGGGTGCCATATAAACAATATTAAATATTTATTAAGTATGTTGATAATAATTATTTATTTAATAGGTATTGGGATTTGTCAACAATCTATCAAGTATTGCAATTGCTATTTAACAAAACTCTCTTAATTAAATATATTCATAAGTGGTCCACTTTTATAATTGAGCTAATTGCATCATTAATTTTATTTTTTAAATTTCTTGGCAAATTCTTTTGATTTTGGCATCTAAAGTTTCAATTAAGAAATCATCTCCTCTATATACTATATATTTATCTAAATAACTATCATTTTATCTTCTTTAAGGTTTTTAGGAATTGCAAACTTAAAGATGTTAATCAGATAATTATAGAGATATGTATTGATCACATGATAAACAATATATTAATTGTAATTAATTAGTAATTAATTATAGGGATGTATTTTGAGTTAAACTATTGATTCCATATTCTCCTTTTAATTATTGTAATAATTCAGAAGAATTTTTTGATTCATCAATTATAATACTTTCATCAGAGTGAAATGGTTATATTACCTAATAATATTACTATGTAGATTAATTAATAATTTGATTATCTTAATTCTTAATAGGAGGATTTTAATGAAATAATGGTTTATTATTTATTTATTCAAAAATAGGTTTTTCAAATATCTACTTCTTTTAATGAGAAATAGAATTATCTCTACTTGTATTTTTGGGACTATTTATACAAATACAAGGTGAAATTTATTCTCTTGGAGATTTAGTTTGTTTTATAATTTAATTTGACATCTAATTATTCATTAATTTTTTATTAGATGTAGAATTATATTATTCTTATTATGATAATAATTAATTTGATTATTATTATGGAGAACCTTGAAGAAATGGTGTAATTTGGCCAGAATTAATTCCAAAAGTATTATTATCTTAAGATTAATTTCTATTAGGTATTTAAATCTAAGGAGAAGACTATTTATTAGATCTATTGTGAATTTAAGAGTAATTGAGTTAATCTTATGAATTTTGTTCTTATGGAAATAGTTTTTATTCTAAATCTGAGGGATTGGAATTATAATATATTTATTATTATTAAGGAGTTTTAATAATGTTATTATTATTTTATAGCTGTTGTTTCTATTGTTCAATAATTTAATGTTATTATTATAATAGTTATTCTCTTTGTTACAATTAATTCACATAATGATTCTAATCTTTTTGTTATTCTATATTGTAGAACAATTATTCATATCTTTATTAATTTTCTAAACGTTACTATTACAATTCCTGTAATAATTATTGATATTCATTTCTTTGATTAATATTCAATTAATTAATGTTATGAGCCATAATTTATTAAATGTTATCAATTTTTTAAAGAATTTCATTATATTTAACATAGTTCTCTTATTTTTATTATTATATATTCATTTCTAACTCTTTGTAATATTACATAATTTGATGATATTGATTATGCATATCATTTTGATTGATTTATTACATGACACTATATCGTTGTTATTTTGGTTAATTGGAAATTGGAGAATTTAATTAAGTGGAAATACTTTATTATGATGGAGGTCTAATTAATTGAGGAGTATAATATCGTTGTTGTTATTGAATTTATCTTTCTTGAAGTACAACATGTAATAGTTATTCTTAATTTTAAGGAACAGGAGAAGGTTTAGGTATTCTTGGAGGTGTAGTGTATTGATTCAACATATAAAATAAATTATATTAATGAATACGCTAGATCAAGTTATTGAAAATAGTGTTAAAATGGGTAAATTTTAATACATAGTTCTTTTAATAATATCAATGATAGATTTTGCAGATGGAATTGAGAAAACCTTAATTGGTACTCTATAGTCAATATTAAAAACATAATGGAATTTAAATGATCTTGATATTTCATTGATGACTAGTTCATATTTTATAGGTATTGTTAGTGGTACATTATTGTGTGCATTCTATGCTGATCAAATAGGTAGAGCAAAAACATTACTTTATTCTAGTTTATTAGCATTTCTATTACTTTTATGGCATAGTTTTGCATAAAGTTTTTAAGAAATTCTAATTTTAAGGTTTTGTTTTGGTGTAATCTTTGGTACAACTATTCCTCTAGGACATGTTGTTATAAGTGAAATTGTACCTGCTAAAATAAGAGGATAAGTAATGACTATTGTTGCAACTGTTTTTATTGTTGGAAAGATATATTGTACAGGATTGTAGATGATATTTTTAGATGATTATAAATCAGGTAATTGGAGAATGTTATTAATTGTTAATAGTATTCCACTTTTATTATGTTTTATATGTTCTCTTATATATTTAAGAGAATCTCCAAGATATTACTTTACTAAATAGAATTATGATTAAGGTTTCTTGGAATTAGAACATATAGGTAAGGTAAATAATGGAACATCATATTAATTGGCAGATGAATAGAGATAGGGGATATTAGAATAATAATAATAAATTAATTAAGAATAAGAACCTATTAAGACTGTAAGATATTTATTTTCAAAATAATATATTAAATTTACTTTAAGAATTTGGATTGTTTTTATGCTTACTTCAATTATTGAAACTACATTATATTATTTAATGCCTTTTTGGTTAGGAGATTCTTAAAAAGGATTTATGGCTTAAATGTATATGATGCTTGCTGAATTAATGGCTGGGATAGTTGTATATTTTATAATAGATAGTAAAAAAACAGGAGGTCGATCAAAATTAGTATTATTATTATCAGTATTGATATTTATAACAAGTGTAATATTAATAATTTTTGAAGATTCTTTTCTTGTTTATGGTTTAACATTAATCTCTTTTTTACTGAAAGTAATGTTTACAGCAGAAATGGTAATAATGAATGAAAATTATACAACTTAATATCGTTCAATGGGAGTAGGAATGACTCAAACAGTTGGTAAATTTATGGGTGTTATATCACCTTATTTTATTTATCCTATGTATTCAGATAATCCCTATTCTCCCTTTTATTTATATGCTAGTTCTATGGTTGTTCTAGCTATTTTATCTGCTACATTGCCATTTGATATGACTCAAGT